GCGGATGCCACGTGGTGGCTCAAGGTTAGATAGTTTGGAACTCTATATTGAGGCGCTCCCCTTTTTGATTTTCCATTCCATTATCCATAGGAGTATGAGTAGGTAGGATCCATATGGAACGGGGTTCGTGTTGGTCTCTCCCGGCGGGTGTTTGTGTCTCGTAAGTTGGAATTTTGATCTTGTCGGAACTCGGTTTTTTCTCGGTTATGGAAGTTCGGTAGAGTGTTTCTCTGATGATGATCTCCGCTGGGATGTGCTACAGAGTAGTCATGTAGTCATGTAGTAATGGACTCAAATGGAGTTGAATCTACGCAAAATTTCTACTATACTGAGTACAGACGGGTTCAATTGTAATGTTCAGAGATCTATTTGCATATCAATACCTAAAGTAGGTACATTTCTATTAACGAGAATCAGCTTATCCATTACCCGCCCCTTGACAATAATAATAGACACGATATATCCTCCACTGAACGGAGTACAAAATACAAACCTACGAAGTCATGGTTTTCTATGGAAGCTATATAGAACTCACTAGTGGGAGTGGTTTGCCAGAGAACCTCATCCTTCGACCGGACCGACCGAGAATCCTGGCAGCTTACAAGGAGATACAACTAACACGTAAGACTAATGTACACAACACAGGAGTATGACTGTGTAGTATGCACTCCGTTCGTCAACAGGGTGACGGCGACATCACCGGAAAATGCACCCTGAGGCTCTCCCATCGGTCCATAGCAGGGTCAGCCCGATCCCAAAAAAAGAAAAATAGAATTTAGGATTCCAAATGGGGCCCCATTTCGCCCATCGGTTAAGCCGACCAAGTTTGAACTCAGTCGGTCCCAGCCGCCTGTATTTTCTCCATACGTCCGTGGGGTTAGTTTGCAGTCGTCAAAACTCTCTTGCGCACAATTGTGACCATGTGATAGATCATATTGTCGGAGAGAGAGAGAGAAAGGATTGGATCGGTCGTCGGTCGTCGGTTGAATCCTGCCCGTAGAGTACAACTGTAACCTGGATCATCCTCAAAATTATATCATATGTTGCACTCCGCCGACGAACCCATTAGTGAGGTGCTCATCCCATGGTAGGATTAATGAGTTAATCTATTTGGGAGGAAGACGGCGGTCTCCGACTCCGGTCTGCCAGGTTTCACCGGCACAAGTTCAACACTCATGTACGGTTCAGGGGGAGGCGCTAGAAGGCTTCCAGAAGGATTCTGGAAATCCGCTAGAAGGGTGGGGATCGCTAGTTTCTTCCTCTTTCATTCCCCTTTAGGGGGGGGTCCCCTCCATGCGATCCTTGGGTCGGGAAAATAGAATCCTTCCAGGGCCATCTATTTTAGTCGTTTTCGAGAAGCCCGAAGAAGAAAGAAAAAAAATCTTCCGTGGTTCTTCTGGGGAGGCGAAAAGAAGGGAGAAATCCTCCGGTGGATTCACCTGGAAAACGTATGATGTAATCGACCTCACACGGAGTACGGAGTACTTGCGATGATCCTCATCCCCCCATGTTGACTGAATTTTGAGGTGGTCAAGCCCTCCGAGCCTAGTCGCCGGAGGATTGCAGATCGGTGCTCCGAGGTCCGACTGAAAGCCGCCAGGAGTGTTTACTCTACCTCCTACACCGTGTAGGCTCCTACCTAGACTTAGGTATAGGTCTAAAGTACAGAGTTACAATACTCATACCAATACCGACCGTGACACCGTAAGTAATCAACACGTGGAGGATCTTCCGGGAAGGCGGTCAGGCGGATCAGCTGACTCCATGTGGTTGATGCCCAAGGCCCGCATGCCAATAGGAAAAGAGCCGGGCTGTACGTCGTCAACTTGTTTGTCACTCGCTTTGTCTTGTGTTGCTGCATTGATTACTCCTTCCTTCCTTTCCCCCCCGTATCAGCCCCTGTCTTCGCTCTCTCCGGGCGAAGGATTCGGCTCATCCATTCCCCTGGGATCGTCCGCGTTGTTGGTCATGTTCATCTCTCCATGCTGATATCAAAGATATCCTGGGGTGTTAATTTTAGAAATTTATCTGATTCCTTCGGGGCCCGGGGTCCCTCACCCCCGGGCTAGAGAAATCGTCTGTCTGGGCATGAAGGATTGCGCTTCTCTTGTCCCCCAGTTCCTCCATTTCTCCCAATTCCCCCCAATGCCCCCTGAACACCGCCATCGTGCAGACGGGGATGCTGAAAGCAGCCCGATTGACTGCAGTGCATTTCATGGCCATCGGTCAGCCAGAGACCTGTTTGTCAGGCCTCCGGCATGAAGATCACCGGCTCCAAAGTACCGCATGGACTTTCGCCCCCAACCCCGACTGGACCGCTCCCGGTCAGCGACATGCGCACTACTCCGTTCAGGAAACCCCCCCTCGTAGGTACCCAATTATGGCCTGGCTAGAACACCCTAGCATGCACATTTCATGCAGTAGTCGCTTCTCCTGTCGCGGTGCTGATTCGTCGCATTCCCGATAGACATGCTGAGGCACGCTTTCCAAACTGTTGAGCGTCGACTACTGTGGTCAGAAATTAAAGCTATTTCTTCCCCCAGCGTCGCAGTTGCCGGGGTTGTCACGTTCATTCCGAACTCCGCTGTCCGCAAGATAAGGATCTCCCAGATACATCCGCCTATTCCTAACTCAACCCCGGCTGGAGGGGAATGCGCTCGCCGGACTTGGAAACCGTTCAGCCCACGATACCCAAATGATGCTCACTAACGCAATTAGTGCTGGATCAAACGAGGATCATCTGCTTCCCACCCCCCCCCCCCCCCTTGCATCTCCCTCATTTCATACGACGGTTGCACAACCCGGTCTGGATTCGGATCAGTTCTGGCATCCTTGTTGGTTTATTCCCATCATATCAGATCATATCATTCCTGGCTACTCCGTAATCTCCTCTTGTCTTAGTGTGGCGATCATTCTCCTCTTCCTTTCGGCCCTGGTCCTTGTCTTGCCTGTCGTGTCCGGTCTACCTTCTCGTCCCCAGACGTGAACTAGACTCGGCTACATCCTAACCCAGCCGGTTTGGTCCGGTCCAGTTCGGTCCAGCCAGTCCAGTCCAGTCTACGATGGAAAGAGCAAAGAATGAAGAACTAAATCGTTTAACCCCCGAACGAAGGATTGCTGCGACTCCACAACGCGGTCCCCCAGTCCTCGGCAGTCCGAGACCACGGTCCACACCTTATGCACCGCGAGAATGGGCATAAGAGGTGCCCTCCCCAAAGGGTTTTGCTGCATGTTGCATTCTTACATGTGTGCCATGCAAGGGAAGAAGATAGGTCCTCCGTAAGTGAGGGGAACGACTGGGATCCTGTGCATAGCACATGCCACATGCCAATACCTCCCACGCACCCGCAGACCATGTTCCACGTTCCATGCTCCCATGCTTTTTTGACCTCGATGGTTCGATCGGCGAGGCGTGAGGTTACAGTACATATGTGGACGACATGGGTTATGGTGCCACGCTACATACCTGTACGTGCAGAATTTTTCTTTTCATCTTTGCCGCCGGTTGCATGCCTTGACGGAGTATCTCTATCCCCTTCCCCTCTTCTCATGCTGTTTGAAAAAACAGGATGAGAATGGATTTGCACTTGCGAGAATGGATACTTCGCTGGAATCGAACGGGCAGGAGGTACAAAAGAAAAGAAAAACGAAGAGGTAAGGGAAAGGACTCTCACAAAGCCAACAACGAGAGGAAATATTCCATACATCGAAAACGACAAACCCCAGGTCCAACAACTTCTATCCTATCTATCTATCTATCAACTTCCCTCATATTCTCCTTCTCTCTCCAATTACCCGATCCGGTAGTTGATCGACTCTTTCCTACCGAACAAGAACTAAGTCCAGACCAACCTTGTCGATAGCATTATTATTAACTACGGAGTAGTCAAGTTAGCGCTGGGCATGATTAGAGCCAGAGAGAAAGAGAGAGAGAGTAGCCAAACCCAACCATGGCATTCGTCATCTTTTTTTTCTTTTGTTTATTTTCCCTCCCACAATCAATCAGTCCCTCAACAGTACCACTAACAGTCCTAACTCCGTCCTAGACTTCTTAGGTCTCTCTACCTAACCACCCACAGAGGGCTAAGTGTCCTCGAACTAAAACCCTAGTTGCGTCACTAGAACACCATTGAAACGCCCCCCTCACAATCACATCATTTTCATCCCAACTTTTTTTTAGTAGATTAATTCAATGCGGAATCTCGGGTTTTCCCTTCCAATGAGATCGTGGTATTCGTCCAACGCTGGGAGGCCCTGTTTCCAACATTAGGTTTTTTTTTTTTTCTTCGTTAGTAGGCTGAACTAACTAACTGGTTACCTACTGTAGCCTGTAGGTGAGTTAGTTAGTTAGGTAGCTGGGCTAGAACTAGCTAGCTAGCTACATTTTATTCCGACGCTCGGCGGAAGAAAAAAAAATATACACCGTGAATGGATGGTTACTAGTCAACTGAGTAAGACTGTAAGACATGGGGAGATGTGGTTTCCTTTCTGGGGTTTTTGGGTGGAGGGTTTAAGGGGTACGGTTAACACCGTGCGTCGTTGGCTAGGTAGGATGCGGTAGTTAGTTGGTTAGTTAGTGTTGAGGACTTGGTTGTTTGCTATTGTTTGTTTACTGGTTGGGGTTAGGTGGGTGGTTTGGTTTAGTTTTTCTGGAGATAGACAAGTCACGGGTTCTCGTCTTCTCTTCCCCGGTGTCAATTTGTTTTGGGGTTGCCAGCTGGGTATACGGCGTACAGTGGTTGTAGATACGTACTCTACTGACTGGGTGCTGGGTGGACTCATTTATTAAGGTCTCTCTCTCTATTCTAGACTCTAGTTCTGATACCTACGGAGTGGCTATATCGATGGACGTAGGATCGAGATGTCTCTATACAATGTATAGATCATATGTAGTATTACAATTGCGAATGCGCAAACTGACAGGTCAGATTGTTGTCAATGGTATGTTTCTTGCTTAAACGAAGACCAAGATCCATCCATTTCCCCAGAAGTCCTACTGATCAACCATCCCGCCACCATTTGCCCAACGAACCACCCGAACCCGCCATAGCGACCACCTCTTCGAAACTGATCTCGACTCGGAACATCCGGCCGTCAGCGGTCCCGCTGCCAGCGCCGACAGGGCTGATCAAACCCCAGCTCACGAGCTTCTCCCACGCCTCGCGCGCCACGTCCCGACCCCAGACTCGGCCTGGGGTGGCGGCCGCGCCGGACACGGACGCCGACGTCTTCGCCGCCGTCAGGAGGCGCACGTATTCGGCGTACGCGGCGGGGAAGGACAGCGCGAGGGGTCCGGCTGGGAACGAAGAGCCGGCCTCGAGGCCTGGGTCGAAGAGCGCGGCCAGCCGGGTGGCGGCGAGGAGGAGCGAGAGGAGCAGCGAGGATGAGCTGGCGGTTGCGGAGGCCGAGAAGGGGAGCGGTGCGGGATCCGGACAGGAGAGGCTCTGGCTGCTGAAGGTGATGGCGGTGGGGATCTGGAGGGATGGTGTGTTGTTGTTGTCGGGATACGTGCTGTAGTGCAGCTCTCCCAGTCCGATCAGGGCGCTGGTCAAGAACTCTTTGACGGACTTTGATTGGTGATAGATTCGTTGGAGGTGAGCTTGGAACGCCTCGTCGCGCCAAAGACCCTTAGTCCGAGGTTAGTGGGCTTTCTGTAATGAACAGAAGAAGAAACTTACTTGTAGATAGTCTTTCCACCCCTCTAGTAGTCTACTCCATCCTTCCGACCTGACTAGCGCATGCTTCTCCGCATCGGTCCCCTCCACATACTCCAGTACTTCGCTCTCCTCCAGGTTCAACCCAGCAAAACAGATGTCGGAGAACGTGTCGAATGTCCGGGGAAGGGGAATGTAGACGTATCGGTGACTAAACCGACTTTTCACTCGTTTTTCCAGCATCTCGGTGACGTCCACCTTGGTCGTCAGCCCTAGCACCGCCACCGGTGCCTTCCGCGCTTGCGCAATATCAAACAAGTTATACAGCAGGGTTTGGCGCGGGTGGGTCACGAAGAGATCGAACTCGTCCAGGATGATGACGATGGACTTAGCCGCCGTCACGGTCTCCGCATTCTCCGGCGAGCCAAACAGCTCCTCGGGATGCGACAACAGAGCGAGAAGAGTCGCCATCGTGTCGGCGTAGCTGCCCACTTTTCCGGCTTCCTCTTCCGTGTTGGTCTCCCGGCCAAGCTGGCGCCACATCTCGCGCAGCGCCAATCGATCGTCGGTATGCAGGAATCCGTTGAGGCGAACCACGTGGAAATCGTTCTGGTGTTCTTTTCTCAACGACGCGATGATGGTCTCGACCATCGCCGTCTTCCCGGACCCTCTCGATCCCAGAAGCAGCATCGAATTCCCCTCTCCAACGCTGACCGTCTGCTCCAGCAGTTGTTCCACTTTTCGGTATTCATTCTCCACGCCCTTCAAAGGAATCCGTCGCTTGCCGTTCAGCTTCTCCAAGACAATTGAGGTTAACGTCCGCAGTTCGTCCGTCAACCCTGCTTGGGATAGAGTACGGAATGTTTCGGCGTATGTAGGCAGCAAGGTGGTCGCTGGGACCTCATCCGGACCGTGACCTTCTTGGTGAGTCAAGTCTTGCTGCAACTGCATCGACACCAGGTCATCCAGCCCGTCCTGGTAATCATCGACAGACGGGGATTGCTGCGACCCGTGACCCGTAGGTACAGCTCCGCTTGTATCTTCCTTCGCATCATCAAATCTCACTGTATTCCTCTTGGACCGTGTCCTCGTCACCCGAGCCGGCCGTTTCCCCTCGTCTTCTTCCTCCTCCTCTGGTTCTCGCGGCGACTCCCCAGCATCCCCTTCAGTCTGCGACACCTGCCTCGTCCTCCGCGTACTCCTCGGCGTAGTCCCCGTTTGCCCAGAAGCGGTCGTCGACCTCCTCACCGGTGTCTGATTATTGACCTCATCTTCGAATCTCTGCGGCGCTTTGCGCTGCCTTCCACTAGACCGCAGCCCCGTCCTCGAGGGTGTAGTATCCGCCTGGTTCTCACCCCCCTGTTGCGCCACATCCTGCGCGCCCGTTTGCGTTATCGTTATCCCTTCCTGGCCCGGCGTCTGCCCTGCTTTCGACAATCGACGACGTCGCGCCGACCTCGATGTACTCGGTGACCCATCTTCCTCTTCTGTTGCTTCCGCTGGATCCCCTAGCGGCTCGTTTCCGGTTGTCTGTTTGCGCGGCGTAGGCGTCGTCTCCTGCTCATCGCGCATCGCGGTGTCGCCGTCTGAATCCACGGGCTGGCCATGATCGGATACCCTGCGTCGCTTGGCGGAGCGTGGGTCTTTCATTTTGGTTTCTTGGCTGTGCGTGTGTATGGGTATTCGGTTGAGGTAGGTCAAGGAGGTGTTCGTTCAAGTGCGGTCCTCGAGATCATGGATGCCGAATCGAGCTCGGTCTTCGTGCGTCGTAGGGTAGAACAAGAGTTCGAAAATCAGCGTTTCCACTGCATCTATCGTCAAGAAAGCGAATCTGGGAGTTTCTCCTCCGGAAACTTGCTCAGCTCTCGGCTTCCGATCTTCAAGCTTAGCTCGGGATATGTCGATTGAAGGTGAAGACTGGACGATAAAAGGGAATCGCCTCGGCAATTGCAGACAATGTAACGCCCTTTAATGATATATCCCGATCGGTTCAATGGGTTGAATCCCACGAACTCATAGCCGAAGCGACGATAGGGTAGGGCGATAGCAAAGGGCCGTTGTTTGTCGGAAGGCAAAGTCCCGTTCGGGGAGAAACCTAGGCATGCGGATCTTGTCGCCTGAGGCATACTGAGTGACGCCAAGTCAGGTGATTCGGTCGTTGCAGCTTGCATATCGATTTATAGTGAAGTTTTGTTACTTAGTCCGTACGGCAAATTTACATTCATCTTTTCTTTATTGGTTCCGGAGTGATATGAGTTGTTAGACATGATCTTTGTTGTAGTAGGTGGCTAATAAGCCTGAATCGTGGTTGTATATTTTTACCGCGTCAAATGGCCGCTCTGCCAGTATTTTCAAATTCAACAAAGTAGAACCAATTGTAGACTATTTGCGATCCTGATCCTGATTATATATATATGGGGACATGCAATTATTAAGTCAAAACATGTGTAAGTCTATACTTGGATAGATCTCAAGTAATCCCCCTTTGGATTCGGCATCATGTCCATAGGTATGCATTTCATATCATTCGAGGAAGTATAAGGTAGATTCTAGGTTACATAGTTTGAAACAGGCCCCATGGTGCTTCATCCGCCTGTAGACAAAGAAAAGAAGGCAAAAAAGGGACAAAACACCATTGCGCCGCCCTGCGTTCACAAGCCAAAAGATAGAGAAGTAATAGTAAGATATAATAGGTGACAGCATGCATATAACCAAGCAGATAGTTGATTTGTTTGGGGAGATCCGAGGGTCTAACGGATCATTGTGAGGCTAACATGATTTAGGGGAACTTGACCGCTTGGATCGAAAATGGATTATCCCATTTGGTCATAAGAATTGGCGCGGGAGTCGTGTTGGAAAGGCGGTCCTGCCAACATTAAAACCGAGAAGTTGGATTGAGAATATGAGGACGAAAGATGGGCGAGAGAGTAGATGGTATCTGATGTTGGACTTTGAACTTGTCGACACGACACGGCCTTGTATTCGGTATCTTGATCGATGCCCTTGGAGACGTTCCGGAGGTGTTGCAACAAAAGACCGACGGGGTGAGGACAGAATAGAGGAAGAGGAGGAGAAAAAGATCATTTAGATCCCCATCCACGTAGCTTCATCCCTTCTTCAATCGCAGTCCATATACCCTCCACAACCTCCCGATCCCGCCAACGCCCGGCTCCGTGCACGCCGCCCTTATCATCCCATCGCTCGACCGAAAAACTTTGGACGCCACGTCCCCAGCCGCGGACATCCCGCGGGACGCCCTCGCCGCGCCATCCGACGTAGACACCGGTAGCATGCTTGAATAGCTCTGGAGGGGACGACCACTTGTACGACTTGAATTGCCAAGTCTGGCCGGTCGTGAAAACCGCCACCAGTCGGTTCCAGTAGTCCGGTCGGAAGTTAGCCGTGCTGTCGACAAGAATGAAGCGTGTGGGCTTTCTCGACGAGCCCTGTGAGCTCACAGCACGAGAAGAGGAGCTAGACGCATCGGCGTTCATGCGCAGTGGGCGTGAGATGTACAGGATATTGGAGCTAGGCATGGAGAGGGTTGGATGGTCAGGCGGCACAAAGACACCGTCCTGAAGGAATGACCGGACATTGGACATGCGGATGAGCGACGATGCTGACGGGGAGAGAAGGATGATGGGGTCTTGCGTCTTGGAGCTGCCTTTTCGGGGCTGAGAGAGACCGGCCGATGGTGCGGGTATCATGGCCTGCGGCTTGCTTCCAGGTTTGGTGCCAGGAGGATATTGCCCAGCTCGCGAGCGGTTACGACCGAGGAATGTCTCTGCGGTTTTGCGGACATGCGAGAAATCCTGCATGGAGGGGCAAAACTGATCAGTATCATGGCCCCGATTGAAGGAAACATAGACGCGCATTAACCTACCGTAGGCTTTATCCCTCGCAAAACACTGTTGCGATCTCCCAGCTTTCGCTCCCCGTTGTAAATCTCCTGCAATCTGGGATCGATGACCTTGGTGGCCTTCGCTTGCTGAGCCCCCGCGGCAGGCGCGCCGGCTCCGGGTGCACCGCTGGCAACAGTAGAGACTCCACCAGTAGCACCAGAAGCGATATTGGCAGAGGCCTGGGCCTGAGCTGCTGCCGAAGCGGCCGCCGCTGCGGCACCCTCCAAGGGCTTGATGTATTCACTCTCGTCGGAGGCACCTTCCAGCCAGGTGATGAGATCCAACCGTTCGACAAAGATCAGATTCTGCACCTTCTCTTCCCCCTCGCCTTCCTTGCGCTCCTTCTGCTTCAACGACTCGTTCAATTCTTGCGCCGAGGCGATGTATTCGGGGATTGCGACATCCTTCTTCTGCCACGCGAATAATATACTGCGCAAGTCGACGGCGGAGTCTGAGGAACTCGACACGAAACGGGTTGGCGCCGTAAGGGGAATGGTCTGTAGCTGTGGGGTTGTGAAGTAAAGATGTGTGGCCTTGGCCAGGTCGTCGGTGGCATTCTGATCTGAGAGCTCATCGGAGGTGGTCGGCGTGGGAAGACTGCCAGCTGCGATGGCCCGGCGAAGGGCCACCAGGGGGTCCTGTAGAGAGGGGTCGCTGGCCATGGTGATATGATACGGTCGAAAGAGCAGGGACGATCGCCACACCCGGAAATTGCTTAACAGGAGCCAGACGGGGGCGAACAGGAGGGGAGGGTCGGTGAAGGAGCTGATGGTCGAGGTCGAGAAGAAGAGAAAGCGAGGCGGCGGGCACGTGATCCGCCGCGATCATTTGTCGGCCATCCAACTTCTATTCCTCTCACAACCACAACCACAGTTCACTCTCAAAGAGACAATTGGTACTGCTGTATACTCCAATTTCCTCTATTTATACATGGATATCCTCATTTGGCATGTCTTCTCTACAGCATAACCCTGCAACGCACGTCAACCCTCCAACTTCGTCTCACTCGGTATCTGCAGTAGTCTCTAGGCTAGAGAGGGTCTGCGATAGTACGAAGAAATGCAGTCGGACAATGGCTTCCTTGTATAGTTCATACAGGTCTAGTAGTCCATTGACCCATCTGGACAAGCAGATTGTCGCTATGTCGCTTCATGGTTGCGCCCTGGCCTAGTGAGCCAGGTCTCTTCACCGATCCGACAGAGTAATTCCCTATGCGCTTGAGATTAGGATCAAAGGACCGATATAGATGCTTGGAATTCATCTCGAATAGACGCTGCCTCATAAACAATGCCAGCTATCAATACCTAGATAATGTCGGTAACGAAAAGTAAACCAGAAACAGTAAGATAGACCAAATCGAGCGATCAGGGTGTCTAGTTGGGAAATCCTCAAGCCTTGATAGAAAAGGATCTCAGTGTGACTGACGACCTCTCAACGATGAGTGATGAATGGTGAAGCAGTAAGTAAAGAATGGCCATCGAGACCTGGTAAGCCGAGAGACAGAGATCCAACCTCGGCTAATTCCCTCCGCATCCAGAACAGGCAAGTAGCGCAACTTATCATTTCCTTCTCCTATTCCCATTCTTCTCTCTCTTAATCTTATCTCTATTCTATTTTAGATTTCGTATCTCACCTGCAATCCTCTCTTCATACATCTTACATCCCCCCGCCCTTCATCCAGCCCATCTCACCCCCACAATGTCTTCCCCGCGGACCCGTGCCCCCGCCAGACAACTAAATGACTTCGAGGAGTTAGTATACGAATACTCCAACCGAATGGGCTTGGACGACAACCAAGAAGTGCGCCACTCTCTCCCACCCACAGAAAGCCTCTTACTAAACACGAACTCCAAAAATCTAGCACTGGGACCTCGACTCCTCCAGCAACATCCGATTCGAGTCCGCAACCCGCGGGCCCCCAGCGCGCGTTTCATTCCTGTTCACCGTATCGCCCAAACTCTGCAATATGTTAGGCAACCTGCACGGCGGATGCGCGGCCACCCTGATCGATGTTCTCTCGACCTGCATCTTGCTGGGGGTGTCGAGTCCGGGCCATTTCGGGCTGGGCGGCGTCAGTCGGCACCTGAAGGTTACGTATCTGCGGCCGGTGCCGCAGGGGACGGAGGCGCGGTTGGTCTGCGAGATCGTGCATGTGGGTAGGAGGTTGGCGTTGATGAAGGCGGAGATCTCGAGGGCTGATACCGGGGCGCTGTGTATCGTGGGGGAGCATGAGAAGGCGAATACGGATCCTGAGGCTGGGGGGAAGGTCTAGTTTAGATTCTGTACATACTACATACATACGCAGATATGGTGTTAGATGGTTAATGCCAAGAACATATGATGAACTCGAATCTTATTGACTATGAAAGTATTGACATGAGAAGCACCAGACTGTACCAAGATCGTCCCTGTCCTGATATCCAGTTACTTCTACTCGATTGATTGAGAGATCGGAAAGCAAACACGCTGATTCCAAGATTTGTTCGGGTTTGTTGTGATTGATGAGGAATGGATATAGAGAGAGGAACAAAGAAAAGCGAGATGAGTAATAAGGAAACAAAAAAGAAAACTTTCAATATTTATGGCTCAACTCAAAGCATCCAAAGCAATGATATATTATTATTCAGTCTTCAGGGGCATCAGGGAAGCACATCTATTCCTGCGCAAGACGCTGGTCTTCCCGAAGGCCCTCGACGACAAGCTCTTCACCCGTCGCCCGGCGGTAGATGTCCCGCACATCATCTAATCAAAGTTAGTACCACGCTGTCGAGTCTTCAAGAATAACTTTCAGAGTGAAACTTACCGGTCGTAGTCTCAAAGTGAGACGTAGCATCGTAGCTCTTGGAGAGGAAGATGTTCTCCTTCTCGCCGCTCTCCAGGGGCTCGTAAAGGGGAATGGGGGGTCCGAAGAACTTCTCCTCGATCTCACCCAGACGCTCGAAACCAGGCTCAAGCTCGATGTGGTGGTTAGCCTCGCTCTCGGCAATGGTCGAGACGATGGCGATGTAGTAGCCCTTGGGGCAAACGTTGTGCGCGGACGAGACCATGGCAATGTAGATATCTAAAAGTTCTTAGTAAAAACGATGTCGCTTGCCACCTTCCATTTCAAAAACTTACCGTGCTTCCGGCCAACCTGGGACTGAGGAATGATCAGCTGCAGAGAGTCGCTGCCGTCGGTCTTGTCGATGGGGTGCTTCAGAATGCAGATGGCCTTCAGCAAGTAACCGGTAACCTTGGCCTTGCTAGGGAAGTAGGAGGGATCGGCCAGGATCTTCTTGGTCTTGGTGGTGAAGTTCATGGTCGCGTTGCTGTCCTCCCGGTCCTTCATCGTGGCCTTAATGCCCGAAACCTTGCCGCTCTCGTCGTAGAGCACCTCGTCGATGTTGGTGTTGAGCATGTAGGTGCCTCCGTAGATGGCAGAGAGACGGGCGAAGCCCTGAGGAAGCTCACCCAGGCCGTAGAGGGGGTAGATGTAGGGCGACTTGCCGTACCGGGCCATGGAGTTGACGTACAAGCGGATGCGGTTGATGGTTTCGGGGGCCATTCCCGACTTGTTGATGTACTCATCGGACTGGTACAGGGCCATGGAATGTCCGACGAAGTCACGGGTGTTGTCTTCCAGGCCGAACTTGTCATAGACATCCTTCATGGTGCACTGGTTGATGCTCAAGCCTGGATGATGGTGTTAGCAGCCAAGAGCATTGCCAGCACATGAGGGGAGATTAGGACCGACAAACCTTGGTGAGAGGCGGGGTCATCCTCCTTGAATTCACCAACCCACTCCAAGAACTTCTTAGCCCTCCGCTTCTCGAACATGCCCATAAGAGACGAGCGCAGAGCTTCAGCAGAGTCCGAGGGCACCTTGGCCACGGTAGCCTTAGGGCCCTTTCCTTGCTGGACGTAGCTACCAGCAATCTGCTTGAACTCCAAGTATCTCGTCACGTCGGTGGAGACCAAAATGTTGGTCAACTCGCCGTTCGCCATCAGCAACTTGGGGACCAGGTCAATGTTCCAGTCGTTGACCCGTCCATACTTCTTCCAGGGCTCTTCACCGGGGCGGACATTGCCGTACTTCTTGAACAACTATTCGAGAGCGATCGAGTCAGTCATGAACGAAAGACGACGTCATAGGCTGGAAAGAGATATAGTGGTTTTGACTTACAGTCTCAATGTTCACCGAGGCAGCCTCTCTATTTGGATGAGTTTCTTTGTCAGTGAGGGGGTTTTGGCAAGATGAGAGGGAGGGGGGCAAGACTGCCAACTCACCCTCCGTAGTGATCATTACGGTCGATGTGGAGGACCTTGTTTCCCTTGACACTGAGGACACTATATGCAAACGATAAGTCACTGGCTTCTAGAAGGGGAGACAAGAGCATTCATACCCAGAAAGGACACACTCCGTCAAACCTGCGAGTAAGGAGGGGGAAAATTGTTAGCACGGCGGGAATGGAGCGGCGGGGTAGAGTAACAGGGTCATACCAGTGCCGAGCACGACAACATCGTATTCGGGGGCAATATCTTCCATGACGGGCAGTGATAAAGTAAGGGAGTACAGTTGAGAAGGAAGTCAAAAATCAAACAACAGTAAGAGATGCAGAAAATGCAGGTGGGAGGTGGGAAGTGGGAAGATGCGGAGACGGGAGAGGTGCGGTGAGTTGGAGGGCGAGGGAGAGAGAGGGAGAGACTAGTAATGCTAATTAGTCCGTAGCTGTCGCTGCTCTGGAACCCCCGCGGATCATCGACCGGATTGTTTGGCTCAGGCATCAACGGGGGGTCCACCGCCTCAAATAACCTTGAAACCAGGAGCTTCTTCACTGAGTAGTCCTACTAACTAACTAGTAACTGGACTGAGCGATTCCAACTGTCGACTCGCTCTCCTTTTTCTACCCCCTTTTTTTCCATAGTCTGGATCCATGGAACCAGGTCAATATCTGTCTAATTTATTCAACGGAGTACACCTTCTCCATATTTCCTTTCCATCCCCTTTCCATCCCCTCCGGTCACGTCACGACGGACGCTATTGACTCGGTCTAATTTTACCTTCTCCCCATCGGGCCCGTAGACGATTCCATAATTCCATTATATTAGGTTATTCGTCCTCGAGTCTCCTCAAGTCTCCACGAGTCCGTCAAATGTCAATAAAACACCTTCGATGAATTGGGAACTAATACAGATAATAAATAATAATCCTACATACAGTGCCAATAGTCCTGGACTATTGGAAAAGACCGGTCATATGGTGGGCTCCCCACTCCCCATTTACTCGTCCTCCTGAGGTCGGTATCCCTCTTTGTACAGTCGCTGGGCCTCTTCCCAGGCATACCACCGCTCCCGAAGGACGTGCTTGATGCTCTTCTGCGTGACGCGAATCTGTTCAGAGCATGGTCGTTAGTAAATACTTCTTAGTGAGGTCCCTATTCCAGCCCCTTAATACGAATCGACCGCAAAAGCCGGAACCACCAGATACATCCGAAATGAACAAAAATATCCGTGCGTCGCGATACTGAAATTTGGCCGAAAAGCAGGTTGGGGATTTTTGAGGGATTGAGAGAGGAAGCACTCACCACCCGGTCCCGCTCATTAGCTTCATATTCGCCGTATCCCGCCTTCAATCGCTCTCGTTCCAAGTTCGAAGTGGCTATACGGTTGCGCTCCTTGGCACACACCCACCAGAGGGCATGTAGGTCATCCCAAGACTTCTCGCGGAGCTCCTGGATGGACCACGAACGGCCTGAACAACGTAAGATTAGCACCGTTGCGACCACTAACGACAACCTCCAATCCAATGTATATAGGCGGACTAACCATGCGCGTTGTCGTATTCCGGGGTACTCAAAGGCAGACGGTCCTTAGGGAAGAAACCCCAGAGTCCATGGTCCGGGGTCGGGTGACGCTTGTCAAGGGCCTCCGGCGAGACGGGCTTGGGCAATGGGTACTTCGACACGCCCAATTTGAATCTGGGGCCGCTGCGGTGGATTGCGGACACGCCGCGAGATTTGCTGAGATCGCGGCCGGCGGCGACGGGGGTGGACGAAAAGTTCGAGGTCTGGACGGCGGACCGGGTCAGGGAGAAATGGAGAGATGGCGCCAGGTATGCGGGAGGCAACTCGGCCAGCGGAAAACCATTGCACTGGCGGGCGAACCGCGCAATGGATTGACGATGCATCTCGAACGGATTGGGTAGACTCGAACGACTGGAAGACTCGCGAGAGGTCCGTCCTGCGGGCGCCGGAGCAGAAGTTGGCGGAGTGGACTTTTCGGCGCCTAGGTCACGTGTACCACGGCGCCTGTGTCACCCCAAGTCCGCCAGCATTCAGCCGCTCCATGTAGCAAGACATCCTTGACTTACAATTGAAGACAGCAGGTTGTGTGATGGTTGGCTTGATTGTATACCTATGTATAGACCTCGTGCACCAAAGGAAGAAACGTGATGTTTACTAAGTAAGAAATGAGGATGTGGAAGATCCATGCATATCTATAGCAGCTTTATTCTTCTTACTTGAACAGCCAGACAAAACCCGAGAATTTGAAACCTAGTTCACACTTACTTACTCCATCAGATCAGCGTGAATATACTTCACGGCCTGTATTCCCATCGCCATGATTGGGGTTACGCTGAAGCTGCAGGTTAATCGCGGGCGGCTATCATGGCCCGTGCACACCAAGGAAGCGCGCGTTTGCAGCCACTCCACCTCCAGTATCCGTCGCATGAATGTGGGCACAGTTCCTTGAAGTACCAGTCCTCGTTCTCGACCTCCTCCGCTTTTGTGTGCTGGAAACTTTGTCCTTTAGATCATTGAACCCTTATTCTATCAGCAGAACTTCTAGAGACTAGGTTCTCATTATGAATAGGCCAGGTGTGTCATCTTCTTGCTTTTGTGCTGTCCGTGGCTCGGGGTTGCTATAACCCGATGGCCCTTCTGGTCGGTGTTCTCGTGGCATGTGTGGCTCTTGGCTACAGACTGGATTTTTTGCTCGATTTTGGGCTATAAGAAAGCTTTTGTTCTTGCGTCTTCCTTCCGTACCCAAAATGCAAACCTATCGGTGACCCTTGTCTCTGCGACCGGGATGCCTCGCAACACCATGCCAAGAAACCCTCCACACCTTGATCAAGGGGCCCCCGAGTGTTTTTATACAGTCGCCTGTGATGTTAAACGATGTTAATGTGTGTTTTTGATACATTAGGCCCGGGCCCACAACCTCTCCGGGGCATGTCCGGATTCCCCGCACAGCAACAAGTACAGGCTCGAAATGCGACATTGGCATCTGCACGTTTGCCAAATGGAAAACTCGGTGCGATTGCCCAAAATAAAAATTTGTGTTATAAAGGACGTGGGAAACTAACGGGGGACACATGGGGTAGGAACTGGGGCGAATTGGAACTTCAACTTGCCCGTGAGCGGAACGCCAGGAATCCAAAGCAATCAGCAGCGCACCATGGCAAACATGGGAACTTTTGCCCAAAGTCTCAGCGGATCACAGCCTGCCACTCCGCTTGATCTTTCGTGAGTGTGCCATCACCGCTGATCACTCACCTTCAGACCGCCTATAAGTCTATTTGGGATCCATGTGATCTCCGATGCGCAAATCGCACTGACAGTTAGCCTTATGACTAGTGACTTCCCTTCGCTATCCGGCGCGCCTCCGCAATCTCAAGCTCAGAATCCAGGGCACTTGGTATGGGCGAATGCCAGTCAACGAGCTATGCAACAAACACCCGTCCAGAGGCAGCAGCACCCCACGTCCCAAGCACCGTCACGAGCACCTCAAACGCAAACCCATCTCCCTCAGCAGCAATCACAACCCTCCCACGATGATGTCTTTCCCTCCGGAGCTCAGTTTGCGAACCGATTAGATGATTTTCGAAATGGCGGGCAGGGTATCAGCGGTCAGCTAGGAGCCGGAACTCAGCCACAAACAGGCAACATCGAGGAGTTCCCACCGCTGGGGCGGAATGTGCCTGCCGAGCTGGGCCAAGATCGCCGGGGCTCCTTGATGCAAAGTGCAGGTTTTGGCAGTTACGGATCAGGCATGTCCTTTGCTGGCACGAACCAGGCCCAGTCGGCACAGAATCGCAGTATGATCTCATCGGTAAACGGTCCGGAACGCATGATGTCGCCAGCCACGCCAGGAGCAGGAGGTAAATTCCATCCAAGCGCCAGGGAACCAGAACAAGTATTGACCATCTGTTTAGGTATCGGAACCTCTCGATCACCTGTCAACCAAGCAGCGAATGGGGTTCCAGGACAAGAAAAGGAGGTTTGTTTCTTAACTACCCAAAGCATTCGACCACCTACTAAGAATATAGATACAGGAATCTACCAGTGCCATCATGTCAAACCAGCGCGCTTTTGCAGAACAGCAATCATTACAGCTCTCGGCTCATGGACAGGAGCAATCCGAAACTACGCAAAGTGCCGAACAACCACCGCTCGCTGAGATGAGTGAACTGGACAAATTCGGACTCGCAGGTCTTCTTCGCATGATCCACAGCGATAGCCCGGATGTAGCTAGTCTTGCAGTTGGTCAAGACCTGATGACACTGGGCCTTGACTTGAATCAGCCGGAGTAGGTTTCGCTGCCTGTATTAACAATAGCGTCTATCGATTTTGCTAACGTGGGCCCTATCAGGCCGCTACATACGTCGTTCGCTTCGCCATTCGTTGCTTCCATGACAGGCGTGCCTCTGGAGCAAGATTTCGCTCTGCCTTCGTGTTACAACGTTGCCAACATCCAGCCACTCCAGTCGCGCATTCCTAGTTTCAGCGACGAGACGTTATTCTTCATTTTCTACAGCATGCCCCGCGATATCATGCAGGAACTAGTTGCTGAAGAGTTGATGGGTCGCAAGTGGAGATATCACAAGATTGAGAGATGCTGGCTTACTCGGGATGAAACCTATCCTGGTCCTGTTGATGTCGACAGAGGTGTCAGCGAACGGGGTGTCTACCTCCTCTGGGATCCTGCCAGCTGGAAGAAGATCAGGGTATGTAAATCAATCTGTGATGCTTCCGGTCCCTCATTGCTAACGATCTTGTCTCAGCGCGAGTTCATCCTCCGATACGAAGACCTGGACAACCGGATGGATCCGCAGCGCAATCTGGCGCGTATGGGAGTCCCGCCCCCGGGGTCATGAATTATCTGAGAGGGGAGCATGAATGATGGGATCAGCACCGGCGTTGGGTTCTCTGCCAGTTTCCTATGGGTTTTCAGGTGTGGCCGCGCACCAAGGTGTTTTCTCAACTTTAGGGGTCGCTATGGGAACGTAGGATACTATTTGAAATCAGATGACTTGTATGATCTTGCCAGTGCTCTCTATATTATGCCAGTAGAACTTCTCTGCAACAGCCACTTCGTCACCCCCAAATGTCTATCAAATGAACGGAAGTCTACCGTGCATCATAATGAGCCAATAACCAACTTCAGCCACGGTCCAACTCATGTTCGACACCACCAGCCAGCAAGGATTCGACCAATAACCAAGAGTGGCTAAGCAGCATTACCTACTAAACAGAAAGTAGGTAACTGATTGAGGTTACCTCGTATCCTGTAGGAACTATTCCCCTGTCAGATGGTGGCCACCTCCCGTCCAATGGTAGCCGGGCCCGTCCCTAAGGTGCTCCGGAGAGATTCTCGGACACTTTTTCGTACGACACTTGTCCGCGCAGGGTCAACTTCACTGAGGTATATATACTACAAGCAAAGGTATAAATACCTCTTCTGTGTCGAGGGATGGAGGTTGTCAACTTAGGTTCTTGTTTCTACTCATCGACCATTGTTTCTGAGCTTTGGTTTTCTCTGGTTGCTTGACTCCGAGGTAGTCAGGCCATACCGATCTATATATATATATATATATATACAACTACGTCATACAGTACCCTAAGTTCCACTTCCATCTTCCATCATGGCCATGAAACCTGAGATAATGGCGATGTACAAGCAGCAAGACTTTGCTGTTCGGTACAAGATCGCCGAAAAGGTCACCGGCCCGTTCGCCGAGGCGCTGATTGACATGTCTGGCGTGACTGAGTCAACTAAGAAACCGCTGGTTATTCTCGACAATGCCTGTGGCACGGGCATCGTTGCGAGATTCCTCCGTCAGAAAGTGGATGCTGAGGCCCAGAAGAGCTGGCGACTCACCTGTGGCGATTTCAGCGAGATGATGATCGAAGTCACGAAGAACACGATCGAAACTGAGGGCTGGGTCAATGCTGAGGCTAAATTGGTGAATGCTCAGGATACTGGACTTCCTAGTGAAGAGTTTACCCACGTCTTTGCGGGCTTCGGTAAGTGATCGATTAGGTCTGGTTTTCGGATGTGGATGAGGGTCTGATGCGGATTGTCTTTAGCGTTTACGACGTTTCCCGATCCCAAAGCTGCTGTGAAGGGTAAGTTCGCCTGCTTCAAGTGAAGCAAATGATAGAATGATGAGCTGACGAAGGAAAAAGAATGTTTCCGAGTCCTTCAGCCAGGTGGTATTGTCGGCAGCTCGACTTGGAGTTCAAGTAAGCCATTGGCTAATAGCCTTAACATCAATGCAAAAATGCTTGACTGACCCACGAACCAGCAAACTGGATCGGAATAACGAAAGCTGCTATCGAAAGAATACCACCCGGATCTCTTGCCTTCCCATCGCCGAAAGAATTCCTCGCCATCTTCAATGAAGGCTGGGACTCCGAGTCCTATGTACGCTCCCAGTTCGAGCAAGAAGGATTCCAGGATATCAATACCACCACGGTCATTAAGTACATGTCAGTCACTGTACCGGAGTTCATGCAGCTTGTTGAGCCGATAGTTGGCGCGGGGATTGGTAAATTCTGGACCCAGGCACAGCGGGACAAGCACGAGAAGGATGTTCTCCCGGCGATTAGGCAGTATCTGGAGGAGACGTATGGTGCAGATGGGCTGGTTCCTTTGGAGCCTAGAGCAGTTCTTGCGACGGCTCGTAAGCCTTTGTGGGTCTGAGGTGGCCATCATTACAAGCATTGGCTGGTTTCTTGAGATTGGCGTGCATTTGTTGTTGTAAGGGAGAAAGCTAAGTCAAATCGTGACTTCAAAGGGTTAAACAGTGGGTGTCAGTTCTATTGTTGTCATGAAAGTTGTATCCTTGACCTTTATCTGAGAAGTAAATTGGACAAGTCACTTGAAACATCTGATGATAGTTCATTGTTCTTTATGGTGCCGTAGCGCCAATCTTCATATTCAGTATATGTAAGCGAATCTGGATGTACTATGAACGGATCCGAGTGACTCGAGGTCGAGTTGAAGGTTGAGAAAAGGCTTGGATGATTTCGTCGAGACCCAGCCTCGACGCAAGTCCTCGTACGACGCAAGCATGAAACATACAACGTAGGTTAGACGGAGTGAGACAAGGAAATGTCGCCGGATTCCATGGGACTTCTTTGTCCAGGCCCGTCACGTGCCTGCCCCTCATGCTTACCTCATGCCCGCCGGCGCCAAACCCAAAGCAGCAAAGCATAAACACCCGATGATTCTTGAAGCGGCGCCCGCCAAAACAATAATCCTCTCAAGTCCATTCAAGTCCGCCCAGTCCCTCTGCGAACTCCCCCCGCGCCCCCCATCGATTCCCTAACGCCCTCCCATGCGCTTGAGTTTCTAGTTGATGGGGCTGGCTTGGAGTTGCAACCATGAGGATTACGGAGATCGTTATTGACGTGAGTTTTTCGTGCCGCTTCTTGCGCAGTCAAAAGAGAGGGGAGGGCAGAAAGAGCGGTGATTGCTAACAATCGAGGCGATAGGGTTTCAAATCGTACGCCGTGCGTACAGTGATTTCAGGATGGTATGCGCTGTTCCAATTTCATACTCTGAATTTATGTTGCTACGGGTGCAAATGAAAGACCGATGGCCTTTCTTTGAGGTCTGCGGCTTTCTTCGGTCGCAAACGGTGTTGCTAACGAGTTCACCTCTCCTATAGGGATGAATCATTCAACTCGATCACGGGCCTTAACGGCAGTGGTAAATCCAACATCTTGGATGCCATTTGTTTCGTCCTTGGTATTACGAATATGACCACCGTTCGCGCGCAGAACCTGCAAGATCTTATTTACAAGCGTGGTCAAGCTGGCGTGACCAAAGCCAGTGTGACAATCGTTTTTGACAACCGCGACACCGCAAAATCGCCCATCGGTTTCGAAGAATATGCCAACATCTCCGTGACCAGACAGATCGTTCTCGGCGGCACGAGCAAATACTTGATCAATGGCCATCGTGCGCAGCAACAGACGGTGCAGAATCTGTTCCAGAGCGTGCAACTCAACATCAACAACCCCAATTTTCTGATTATGCAGGGCCGGATTACGAAGGTTCTGAATATGAAGGCAGTTGAGATTCTGTCGATGATCGAGGAAGCGGCTGGTACGCGGATGTTCGAGGATAGGCGCGAGAAGGCCGTGAAGACAATGGGCAAGAAGGAATTGAAGTTGCGCGAAATCGAGGGCCTGCTGAAGGAAGAGATCGAGCCTAAGCTGGAAAAACTGAGATCTGAGAAGCGAGCGTTCTTGGATTTCCAACAGACTCAGAACGATCTCGAGCGGTTGACTCGCTTGGTTGTGGCTCATGACTACCTTCGTGGGGGTGAGCGATTGCGGGTTACCGGCGAGGAGTGCGAAGCGAAAAGACGCAAGGTTCAAACGCTCGAAGATAATGCGACGAGGCTTAAGAGTGAGATAAACCATCTGGAAGAAGACGTGAAGCGAGTGCGAACCGCTCGCGACAAGGAATTACGAAAGGGGGGCAAGTTCCAGGCTCTCGAGGATGAAGTCAAATCGCATTCGCATGAACTCGTTCGGCTGACCACGGTGTTCGACTTGAAGAACGCTAGTATTTCTGAGGAACAGGAGAAGCAAAAGGAGGTCCACAAAACCGTGAAAGACCTGGAGAAACTTCTGAAGGAAAAGAAGAAGATCTACGACAAACTGCAGGCCCAATACGACTCCGCTAAAGCCGAACTGGACGCTCAAACCGCCGAGGCGGAACAAAAGGAGGAATTGCTCCAGACATTGCAGACCGGTGTGGCATCGAAAGAAGGCCAGGAAAGTGGATACCAAGGTCAACTACAAGATGCCCGTAACCGTGCCAGTACCGCTGCCACGGAGCAAGAACAAGCCAAGCTGAAGATTGCGAACTTGGAAAAAAGAATCAAGGAAGAGGAACCAAGAGCGAAGAAGGCCAAGGAGCAGAATTCAGGCCTTTTGAAGGACCTCGAAGGTCTCAAATCGCAAGCCAAGAAGCTCGATGCGGAGCTGGCTAAACTTGGTTTTGAACCAGGCAGAGAGGAGCAGCTCTACCGGGAGCAAACGACTCTACAAAAAGAAATCCGCGAGTTGCGTCAAAGCGCGGACGGCCTCCAACGCAGGGTCGCAAACATCGACTTTCAATATGCCGATCCTCACCCCAACTTCGATCGGTCCAAGGTCAAAGGATTAGTGGCCCAGCTGTTCGCACTGAACAAGGAGAAGCTTCAGGCTGCCACTGCGCTGGAGATCTGTGCTGGAGGTCGTTTGTACAACGTCGTTGTCGACTCCGCAGAAACGGGTACCCAACTGCTCCAGAAGGGAAGACTCCGCAAGCGAGTGACGATTATCCCGTTGAACAAAATCTCATCGTTCAAGGCATCTGCCGAGAAGATCGGGGCAGCCCAGAACATTGCTCCCGGGAAGGTAGACCTGGCCTTGTCACTCATTGGATATGACGAAGAAGTCACGGCGGCCATGAACTATGTTTTTGGCAATACTCTGATTTGCAATGATGCCGATACGGCGAAGAGGGTCACTTTTGATCCGGCGGTGCGGGTGAAAAGCGTTACATTCGACGGCGATGTCTACGATCCTTCTGGTACTCTCTCTGGTGGTAGCTCTCCGAACTCAAGCGGGGTGCTTGTTACCCTGGGAAAGCTCAATGAGATCACGAGAGAGATCAGGAGCAAGGAGCGTCTGTTGGCTACTTTGGAAGATACCATGAGAAAAGAGAAAAAGAAGCTTGATGCTGCTCGCTCGATCAAGCAGGAATTGGACCTGAAGAACCACGAGATTACGCTCACGGAAGAGCAGATCAGCAACAACTCTTCCTCATCGGTAAGTGATCTCGAAACGGGACTGAATGGTTTAATGCCGAAGCTAACACGTTTTTAGATTATCCAAGCGGTCGAGGAGATGAAGGCAAACATCCAGCAGTTGAAGAACGACATTGCCGACGCGAAGACTCGTCAGAGTGAAGCATCCAAGGATATTAAGCGAATTGAGAAGGACATGAGTGAGTTCAACAACAACAAGGATAGCAAGCTCGCAGAGCTGCAAGAGTCGCTGGATTCTCTTAAAAAGAGTCTCGCGAAGAACTCAAACTCCGTCAAGACACTGCAGAAGGAGCTTCAAGATTCACGATTGGAATCGGAACAAGTTGGTGGAGATCTTTCAGCGGCCGAGGAGCAAAGTGCCGAGGCCGAGAATACTCTCCAATCACAGATGGAAGAGATCGAGTCGATGAAGAGGGACCAAGCTCGTATCAAGGTAAAGAGCAGTCTATGCTTATGAATACTAGCAAAGATGCTGACTTAACGTCAACAGGACGCCCATGATATGGCTCAAGCACAGCTTGACGATGAACGGGCCAAGCTGACTGGTTTTGACGACGAGCTGCGGGACTTGGACGCGACGATGAAGGCGAAGAACTCTCAGATTACCGAAGAGGGTCTCGAGATGCAGAAGCTTGGTCATCAACTGGAGAAACTGCAGAAGGACCAACAAGCTGCTGCCCAGGCCGTCGCTCACATGGAAGACGAGCATGAGTGGATCGCAGATGAAAAGGACAACTTCGGACGGCCCAACACTGCGTACGACTTCAAGAACCAGAACATCGCCGAGTGCAAATCGACATTACGCAACTTGACAGAACGATTCCAGGGAATGAAGAAGAAGATCAACCCTAAGGTGATGAACATGATCGATAGCGTGGAAAAGAAGGAGGCTGCGTTGAAGAACATGATGAAGACGGTCATTCGAGATAAGCGCAAGATCGAGGAGACCATCATCAATCTCAACGAGTACAAGAAGGAGGCTCTCCACAAGACATGGACCAAGGTCAACGCCGATTTCGGACAGATCTTCTCCGAACTGCTCCCCGGTAGTTTTGCGAAGTTGGATCCTCCCGAAGGCAAGGATATCACCGACGGTCTGGAAGTCAAGGTATCTCTGGGTAAGGTTTGGAAACAGAGTCTGACAGAACTGAGTGGTGGTCAACGGTACGTGAAGTTGTTTTGGATACTGTCGAAATTCACACAGACTGACATCCGTCTAGATCTCTCATCGCTCTTTCGCTCATTATGGCTCTCCTGCAATTCAAACCGGCACCGATGTATATTCTGGACGAGGTCGATGCGGCACTGGACTTGTCGCACACGCAGAACATCGGTCGTCTGATCAAGACCCGGTTCAAGGGGTCTCAGTTCATCATCGTTTCCTTGAAGGATGGCATGTTCCAGAATGCCAACCGGATCTTCCGAACGAGGTTCAGTGAGGGAACCAGTATTGTCCAGGCTCTCACTCCTGCGGACATGAAATGATCGTGCTGAGGTGGAGGGCTCTGCTCTTTTCGTGCCTAATTATAGTGTCTGCATCTTTCTTTTCTTGCTGTCCATATTCTTACGTTGTTGGTATTTGGTGATTGATTTCTCCGACAGTTTGGTCATTTCTGGGTTGGCATTGCGGGACAGGTCATGAAGGACTTTTTATGAAGGTGTTTCTCGGATCGTGTATATGGAGAATATTTTGTGTGATTTTGGCTATTTTTACCTGTGATGATACACGCTTGATAATGAATCCATGTTATGGAACCAGAGAACCTGAGGCATCGGCAAAGTAGGCAAACACCCGAGCCCCAACCGACTAATCCAACGGGTGCTCGTCCTCTCCTTTCTTCTTCTCACTCCCCACCTTCTTCCTCTCTTCACCCCCCACATCTCTTGTCGCTGTCACCGACCCCTGGAGGCATCATTGTTGTTTCTTATTCAGCGCCTCTGTGACGTATTCCGCATCTGTACTTACAATCCCCACTTCGCCGGTTAGTGCGAGACATTGGCGTTCCCGAATTCACCGCCACATAATTACATTGTCCATTCGCCGCGGCATCTCTATTACGCCGATCCACTTACTACCAAGCGTCCGGGCGATTTCTTCGACGGGTTACCGGAAAATAGCCTCTAGACAAAAGAGTGCAGTATTTCGATACCTTCACCTCAACCGTCAATCATTCCGACACCTCCGCTGGATTGATTCCGACCGATCGTCCACATCCCCGTGTCCATACCCCGTACCTCACCTCTCTCTCCACTCCACCCACACCCGACACAATGGATGAGGAACCTTCCCTGAACATTCCCTCGCTCCTCACCCTCGCGGTTGTGTCTTACTTTGTTATCCGCTGGTTTATGAACCGGGATGGGTCGGCTGGCACAGGTGGCGGTCGGAGTCGTGCCCGTGGCGTCGTTGATCCAGCCCAAGTCGAACAAATATCCCAGATGTTCCCTCAGTTGAGCACGCGCGATATCATGTGGGATTTGCAACGCAACGGAGGCAACGTTGCGGCAACAACGGAGAGAATCTTGACTGGACGGGGGTTGGAAACGGTACGTTCTTTCTTCCTCTTGTACATTTTGGCCGTGGCCTTTGCGCCGGGCTGCCCTGCTCGGGGATCGGTCGTGTGTCATCGTTTACTGATATCGATATTATTTAGCCACCGCCCTCATTCCAGCCCCAAGTCGCCATCCCAAGACCGACTGCGCAGCCGTCCGCGGCTTCGACGGCGACGGCGAAGGTAGAAGGCCAGGATTTGATCTCGCGATACAACCTTCAGGAGAAGGCCAATGGCGAGGATACAGTGAGCGCGCAAACGGGATCTAGTGGATGGTCGCAAAACAAGGAAGAGCGACAGCGTCTATTACAGAAGCGGAGGGATGACATGATCCTGGCCGCGCGGAAGAAGATGATGCAGAAGCAGCAGGGCACCGCTCAGTAAGACTGGGAAATTCTTCGACGTGAATTGTTTGAGGATGGGAGTTTTGATTTCGCTATCGCTTTCGAACTCGACAGAATGAACGCAACCGCCTCCCCTTTTCTTACCTTTTCTAATCATTCAGGACGCATCTTTGTTTTGTTTCCTACGAGAATGGTGCCCTGTCGGTTGGGCCGGCGCTGTAAGATTAAAGCAGGGATTCACACCTAGGAAAGTTCGTTACTTTGTCCTCAAGTCGATACGCAGCTGCCTTTTTCCGGACCAGTTTGTCCTCTATCTTGTCCTTCTCCTCATTTGACACTTACCGGAGTCTTGGTTGCCACAGCGTCGCATGTTTATGGTGTTGTAGGGTTGAAATCAGGGTACCTGCGATTATAGGAAATGAAGGGTATATATACACATAAATCAAATCCAAAAATGAGACTGTTTCTTTGTACACCAATAACTCCAGCTCGTGAGGGTCAAAAAAAGACGATATGCTTTAGAATTCCATGTCATCCTCGTCGTCTTGCGTCGCGTCATATGCGCCGTTGGCCATGTCCTCCGCCATCTGCTCTCTTCGGGCTTGTTCCTTGGACGCGCCAATACGCCTGTTGGTAGGTGAGATTCCCTCCCATTCCAAGATGTCCAGAATGAAGTGACATACCTTAGTCCATCCACAACACCCGCAATGAATCCTCTCCCCTCGGCGATCTCCATTGCCCCGACGCCGGTCAGGGCCACACCACCTCCGCCCGTTGCAGCCGCATCCAGCACGTCGGTCCCGGATCGGATCTTCGCCGTCCGCACTTCACGCAGCTCCTTCAGCAGCCGCCGCACCGTATTTGGCTCCACCAGATCATCGCTCGCGACGTCTAGCAACATCGTGCCCATCTCCAACCAGTGGAACGGCAGCGCGGGCGGCTCCCCAGCAGGGACATGGTCTTGCGCGACATTCTGGGGCAGAAACGGCGAGGAGGGGTAGTATCGTTGACCGTCGGGGGTATATCGAGGGGTAGCTACGGGTCTTTGGTGCCCGCGCTCGCTGAGACTCGGCTGCCCGGGGAGAGGGGGCGGAGGGGAGAACGCGTTCTGGTAGTCCTGGTGTTGGGCCTCGATGTCCAGAATGAGCGAAAGGGACTCGGGATGAAGCCAGGGCGGGGGGAGAATGTTTGCGCGCCGTTGGCGTTTGAGGAGCAGCGCGAGCCAGAGGGGGAGGGTGGCTCGGCGGGGTGGGAGGAGTGGTTCAACGGGGCCCTGGGAAAAAGAGTTATGACGCGGTCAATGATGAATAGGGAGATATGGGTAAGGGAACCTGAAGTACTTACGCCGAGCAGCTCCAGGCCCTCTAGACGTTGACGCGGAAGGATCGTGACCATCTCCATCTCGGCCAGAAACGAGATCTCCGGGGGCGTGATGCCCCGCGGGAGGGGGAAGGCCATTGACCGTCAATGCGAGCGGGATCGAGGGTCAGGAATGTTCGCCTTGGGCCTGGAAGTCGCGGAGAAGAGCAATGGAGGACCGACAGAGGGAGGCACAGGCGAAGAGCAGGGCGAAAGAATGCCGGATCGCGAAGGCATCCCACCGGCCTTGTTTGGCCTGTTTGCAGACTTGCCGTTTCGGGCAGGCGTGCATCGACTTTCTTTCCTCCTCTTTCTCTCTTTCTTCTTCTGCTTCCTCTTCTTCTCTTCTTCCGTTTCGCCTCGGATTTGTTTGCTTCCTGCCGACTCTCTTGGTCAATGGACCCCCCGTCTATACCATGAATTCTCTCAAACCCGACTCGGGCCTGGCTCGCGCCGCCCGCTACGCTGTTCCCTTCGTGCTGCTGCTGATCCCCATTTGGATGACGAAAGTCAACACCGTCATTCCAGAACCCTATTTGGACGAAGTGTTCCATGTCCCGCAAGCTCAGGCATATTGGCACCATAAATGGACGCATTGGGATCCTAAGATCACGACGCCTCCGGGCCTGTATCTGTGGTCCTATGTCATTTGTGCCGGTATTCGGGCCCTCCGCGGCACTCCGACCGAACTCGACCCGGAAGCTCTGCGCGCAACCAACATGGCGGCCGGAACTGTGTTCTTGCCCTTAAGATTGCAGACATTGCTGGATACTTTGCGCAAGCAGCGTAACACTCGTCCCGCGGGGGCCTGGCTGAGCCATACCGTCTTGAACATCTGTCTCTTCCCGCCGATCTTCTTTTTCTCCGGCCTCTACTACACCGATATTCTCTCGCTGCTGGTGGTGATCGAAGCTTACAATTGGGACCTGAAGCGGACTTCGACGATTACGACTGTTCCTTATCGACATCTCGTGTTCATTGTATTCGCGCTGCTGTCGTTGGCCTTCAGACAGACCAACATCTTCTGGGTCACACTTTTCTTGGGCGGGCTGCAGGCGGTGCGAACAGTGAAGAAATATTCCAACAATACTGGCCCAGAGGCGAAAAACGGCTTACATGACCCTTTGGTGTCGGAGGCTGCGATTGGAGGTGAGCTACTTGTGTAAGTGCGAATTCAATAACACTGCTAACTGAGCTAAGACTACTTCCAAACGGCCTTTTCCCTGGGTATCGCCGTTCTGCGCAACCTGGGTCGCATTATCGTGGCGGCCATTCCCTATGCCATAGTGCTCGCTGCCTTTGGTGGGTTCGTGGTGTGGAATGATGGCGTTGCTTTGGGTAAGTCTAGAGTCCGAGACGGAACAGTTAGGGAAACCGAGAGCTAACAACAGTCCAGGCCATAAAGAATTCCACTCTGTAGGAGTACACCTGGCGCAAATGCTGTACATTTGGCCGTATATCGCGTTCTTTTCGTGGCCAATTCTCGTTACGCCAATTCTCAACTTGCTGCTGCCGCAGTCGTGGTTGCCCAAGGTCTTGAACTATGGATTTCCCGAGAAGCAGAGGAAGCTGCCCCGATTCTGGACAGCTTTGGTACTTATCCCGGCCATGCTTGCCGTTGTGCATTTCAACACCATCGTTCATCCGTTCACCCTTGCCGACAATCGCCATTATATGTTCTATGTATTTCGCGTGCTCCTCGGAAGCCATCCTGCCGCTAGATATGCCGCCACCGTCGCCTACTTTCTTTGTGGCTGGGCTGTCATTTCCGCGTTTGGGTTCGTGATATATCCAGCGCCTCCCCAGTTCATTCGAGTGCCCGCTTCAGCATCTCCACAGTCGAAGAAGCAGGGGGCTAAGGAATCCGGCTCGAAGCCGAGAGCGGAGCGCAAACAGAAGCCTTCTAAAAAGACCGCTGCGCCTGCACCCGCTCGGGCACCACCCATCAGTCCCGAGGCCTATGCTCAGCTGCAACAACATATCATCCAGCGTCAAAGACAAGAAAACCAGGGACCGCGAGTGAGTTTTGTACTCGTCTGGCTTGCCGCGACCACTGTTTCTCTGATTGTGGCTCCTCTCGTCGAGCCGCGGTACGCGATTATTCCATGGGTTATGTGGAGGCTCCATTTGCCGCCGCAGCCTACGCCGCAAGCGTACCGGCAACAGCGCCCTCAGAATGAGAAGGAGGCGCTGCACAAAGAGATCGCAACTAATTTCCCTCTCTTCTTGGAGACGCTGTGGTTCCTGGTCATCAATGCGGTGACGGGGTATGTGTTCCTGTACAAAGGGTTCGAATGGCCCCAGGAACCTGGCAACATCCAACGGTTCATGTGGTAATTATTTTTAATCATCACCTTTCTTGCTGTGTGTTAGTATAATAAAATTGGGAGGAAGAGGTTCATGTATGTATATAGAGCGAGGCTGTCGGGAACCCGGCAGGTGGTTGTATGATATTATCGCCTTGTAGTTGTTAGTAAGACCAACGTCGTCTGTCTAAACTTTGATTTCCCGTTCTCATCCCTTCATTCTTCCACTTGAAGGGCATCGCAAAGCTAAAGTCCAACATTGTGCCTGATAGCGTATAAATCAAAACCATCCATGAGGCTGACCCGGGTCCCCTTCTCGGGCAGGTTGTCTTCGCGTGAAACCGCATCCCGTCTTCCTTTCTCTTCTCTTCCCCCATTCATCTATCCAACCATGGCGCATGAAGACGCCAACCAGCCCGCCAAAAGAATAAAACTATCGTCCACGGACACAGCCCAGGCGGGACATACATCAACTGCCCCTTCAGCATCGCTCTTGGCATCTCTCCACCGACCCATCAGTCCGCCCTTGCCGTCTTCAACGTCATCGTCATCCCAAACGCCAAACCCCAACCAACCGCTCAATTCACTCCCAACTACATCCAAACCAAAGTTACTCTCATCGCCTTTCCAACTCACCCATATCCGTGATTTGGGGTCATCCTCCGCCAACAATGTCGACACTGTCCGGTTGCGTGATCTTCTCGGGGATCCTATGATCCGCGAATGCTGGCAGTTCAATTACCTCTTCGATGTCGATTTCCTGATGCAGCAGTTTGACGAGGATGTTAGGGCCTTGGTGGATGTGAAGGTCGTGCATGGCTCGTGGAAGAGGGAGGCGCCGAATCGAGTGCGCGTTGATGTATGTGACCCCCTTTCTTGTTTCCCTATCAATCCAATGTGTTTTGTGTCGCGTGCGGAGTTTTATCGGGAGTGTTGTTTGTCAATTGATTGATTAACTGATGACAATGCTAGGAAGCATGCTCGCGATATCCTAACGTCGAGCCTATCGTGGCGTATATGCCTGAGGCGTTCGGGACGCATCATTCCAAGATGATGATCTTGTTGAGACACGATGATCTTGCTCAGTATGGCTCCCCCGATCTTTTATTTATGGATTATCAAACCCCGAGCCTATAGTGGCAATAGGACCAAGTCTAGAAACACTAAACACTGACCCATTGCTACAGAGTAATCATCCATACGGCCAACATGATCCCCGGAGACTGGGAAAACATGTGTCAGGCCGTCTGGAGCTCTCCTCTTCTTCCGCTGCAGACGCAGACGCAGACGCAAAACGGAGCCGAAGAAGCATCGACGACCCTTGGCACTGGATCGCGCTTTAAGCGCGACCTTCTCGCCTATTTGAGTGAGTACGGGCCGAAGAAGACAGGTCGTCTGGTGGACCAGCTGCGCAAGTTTGATTTCGGCTCTGTGCGAGCAGCGTTGGTGGCGAGTGTTCCGTCGAAGCAGAAATTTGGGGGACTGGATTCTAGTAGGAAAACCGTTTGGGGATGGCCGGCTTTGAGAGATGTATTGGGGAGTGTGCCGATTCAGACGGAAATAAATCAGGATAAGACACCACATGTTGTTTGTCAGGTTCGTCTATACAGCGCCCTCTTGCCCTGATATTCTTTTTGCTTTCTTCCTTCTTCAAGACGTTGCTATCGATATACCCCCGACCCCCGACATGCACCGTCTCAACTAACAAGGAAAACATAGATGTCTTCCATCGCATCGCTCGGACAAACAGACAAATGGCTAAAAGACGTCTTCTTCCGATCCCTGTCTCTAATCAAAAGCAACGGAACAGGACGGAAGAGCAACGCACCCAAATACTCCATCATCTTCCCCACCGCTGACGAGATCCGTCGCTCCCTGAACGGCTACGGATCCGGTGGCTCTATCCACATGAAGATCCAGAGTGTCGCGCAGCAGAAGCAGCTGCAATACATGCGGCCGTACCTACGCCATTGGGCCGGAGATGCTGCCTCAGGCTCGGCTGCTGCACGAGAACGAGAACGAGATGCAGGCCGTCGTCGCGCAGCGCCACACATTAAGACTTACATTCGGTTCTCGAATCAAGAGATGAACTCGATTGATTGGGCGATGTTGACCTCAGCGAATCTCTCGACGCAGGCATGGGGCGCCGGTGTCAATGCCAACGACGAAGTACGTATATGTAGCTGGGAGATTGGGGTGGTTGTCTGGCCAGACTTGTTTGCCGAGGATGCGGACCGAGCAAACGGATCGGTGATGGTACCGTGCTTCAAGACAGATGTCCCCGAGAGCAGAGAGGAGGACGAGGGAGGGAAGGCATCGGTCAGAGTAGGACTTCGGATGCCATACGGTCTGCCTCTGGTCGACTACGCAGCCGACGAGAAACCCTGGTGTGCGACAGCCAGTCATAGTGAGCCGGACTGGATGGGCCAGACGTGGATGGATGATCCTCAGTAGAGTTTCCCGGCTTTCACTCATCGCAAAAATAGTATCGAATCCCTCACTACAATCCAAACCAGCCAGACCACAAAAGCCATAACAACAAAAATAGAGATAATAGAGTCATCTCAGCATTCGTAACTCATCGAAATAGATGCTATAATATAGGATATGTGATCCCCCACAACCTTGTCTTCTTCCAACCACCTAACAACACAGGATCCTCAAAGGTGTATCCTCTAAGCAGAGCGAGTGCCGATCTTCTCGATCAGGGCCGCAACCTCCTTGATGTACGAGGCCTGGGCCTTGGCGGCGGAGATGTGGCTGATTTCCTTCCACGCGTTGTACTTGTACTTGGACTATTGGGTATCACATTATATTAGCCTCTGTTGGTCTGGTTTGGTCTGATCATAGGTAGAAGAGAAACGGAGAGACGGAGAGGGAGAGGAAGGCTCACCTCGATCTGGTAAAACGAGGGCTCAGCGGGCTTCTCGCCACGGGCCTGCTTGAAGTACTTGTAGAGCTATATCGTATCACCAGCGTATTAGCATTCATTCATCTAACCATGGCCTATGTACCACTCGAGAAGACCATGTCCTGGGGGGGGGGGGGGGGGGAGAACAAACCGTCAACATCTCCTGCTGACCCGGCTCCTTCTCCAACATCTTAACGACCTTGGTAGCGAACTCGAATCCGGCCTTCAGGGCCGTGGCCTGCTCGCCCTCAACGGAAGCGGAGTCGTCGCCGGCCAGGACGATCTCGACGGCGACCTTGAGCAGGTCGGCGTTGATGCCGGCGGCGGCGGACTGCACCTCGGAGGTGAACTGGGCGCCGGACTGGGCGGAGGAGAGGGCGGTGAAGTAGCTGTCGAGGGACATGGTTGCTGAATTGATTTTCTGGGGTTTGGGGTGCGTGATTTATTTGGAGATGGGTAGATAGAAAAGAAGAGAGAGAAGTGAGGCAGAGGGGAAGTTGAAGTTGGTGGGAAAGAGGGAAAGTGGGGTTGCGCGTTGTTGATGGTGGGGTTTTGTTGGTGCTCGGCGGTTGGGATCATGGGATGGCTCGGTCCTTCAGGTCTATCTTATATCTTATATTATATGTCTTGTAGCTTCTCTGAATAAAGAATACATGTGATGGTAGTGAAAATGTTGCTTGACTAATATATATACACTTCATCTTTGGATCAAAATCCAGTCCCGCCCAGTCAAGCCAAGTCAAGTCAAGTCTATTCCAACGCCTCCAATGCATTTACATCATACCAGGGATATTGCTTGAATGATACTCCGTAGTCTGTATCAAACTGAATCACCAATCCACCGCCCATCCATTATGTGTCAAGAACTCCTCGCACGCCGCCTTCAGCGCGTAGTTCGGTCGCAGGTCGTTGGTCGTCATGGCCACGCGTGTGATGGGATCGACTCCGGACTGCTCGACATACTTGACGATGCCAATACGGTCAAAACTGGTGCCCGATGGCGTGATGACCGGGTCGTGCATGATCTCGAACGTGATGCCGTCAACCAGATGGTCGGGTACGACCTAGAAATCGCGAGGACACCCGTCAGTACTCAGTCCGTTTCGCATGCGATGTGACGGTCTCAAAACTTACCCTCTCCTTAACCTCGCCCTTGGACGCGATCTGGAACGTTTCCCGCAATGTATTGACCTTCTTCTCCGTATCCTCGCGAAGCGCTTTCTGATCCTCCACGAAGCCAATGTGTCCGATCTCCTCGCGGTCCAATTTGCCTTGCAACCCCTCCAATGCCCGGTTCAGCTCCGCCTCCATTAGTTGCTCCACATGGCCCAAGGTCTCGTTCATCTCGCGCAACCGACTCGTCTCCTTCGCCGCCCAAATTTGCTGCTTGGCGCGCAGCACCGTCTTGGACAGATTCTCCGTCTGCACGCTCTTGACCGCGAGACTGGCCCGGTAGGCATCAATCGCCACCTCGTAGGCCTCCTGCGGCCGCTGCAAGCCCAGCAGGGCCTGCGCCAGGTACCAACAGCTCTTCAGGCTAGTGGGATTCTTCGCACCGTAGAGTTCGACCGCGGCGCGCGCATCGTGTTCCACTCCGGCCCATTTTTCGAGTCGGATGCGCGTGAGGGCGCGGTTCGTGAAGAAGGTAGGTTCGCGGGGATTCTTTAGGATGCTTTAGGATCAAGGAAGTCAGAGGTATGGTCAATAATCAAAACCGGATTTTCCTTGAAATCGTAACAATCCAAGAGAGGGGGAAGGTAATTAGGCCTGGCTGAACAAGGGCCTGGACTTCCCCTAGCAATGTACCCCCTCACGCAACAGAGTTTCAGGCCACTCACGCTTGAGAATACAGTTCCTCGGCTCCGCTGTAATCGCCCTCTTTGAAGAGCTGATTACCCTTTTCTTTCAATTCGAAGGACATGGCGGTCTGTGCGCTGTTGCTGTTGGCACGGTAGTATAAATTATTACCTCGAACTTTTCTTGTTCGGCGCCCCCTATTTCTTTTCTGTCTTTGCTTTTTTTTCTGGACCTCCGAGGGTAACTTGACGGAGGGTTCGGTAGATGGTGGGGCCGGAAGCACGTTTGATCCACTGAATTGCGGAGCAGTCGACTGCGTTCCTGGGAACTAGAACTATGGCCAGAAGACGACGGAAGGGGGTGGAAGAGGCGGACTTGAAAAGAGGAGGAGACGAGGAAAGCAGCTGTTTAAGGTCAAAGTGTTGGATGGACTACAGACCGTCAGGCAGGCAAACGGCCACCAAGTCGGCGTTTGGCAGGAGCGTGCGGCCTACGGAGATGCGGCCGGCCTCGATTGGACTTTGATGAGACACGCAACGATGGAGCACGAAGGGACCTGCCCGATTGGAGGGAGTTGAGAGTCATGTTGTGTCCAGAGACGAGTGTTGGATGATTGATAAAGGAGGATGAAAGTGAATCGAAGGCCGTCGATGCCCGCAGAATCCCCAGATGACTCAGCCGCCATCGGCCCTCGACGGCCACTTCTACTCTCGACTTTACTAGGGAACTACGGTTGACCATTTGGAGGTTCCAAGGAAAAGAGTCCAGGCAAAGATTTCATTCAATCTAAATTCCTAACCCTAAGAAGTAGAACTGAATAACAATCAATTGGCCCGCCAGATTTCATGCCGTTCACTTCGTGGTATCATCGAGTCGTTTGGGATGGGATGGGTTGCATTTGATATGATGTTCAAGGAAAATATAGTCGCGTAGAGACGATCATCAATTCGGATTGGGTGCTTAGGCTTAGCATATAAAAACACGGCGGGTGTGGAGGGCTGTAGTATACAATCCCCTCCGCTAGGTGTTCACAGACGAAAGGTCGCGGTCAGAGTGCCAGCGGTTGGGATCAGGCGAGCATAGTCCCGACAGACAGGTATTGGTATCATCGGAATTGCGTCTGACGAGGCAGGAATCCGCTCGTTAAGAGCACATTTACTGAGCGGCGGCCAGCTGGGTCTCGTAGTCGGAGATGGCCTGGACCTTGGCGGCCGAGGCGCTCTTGGGGTCGAAGCGGTAGGTCACCCACTCGTTGGCCAGCTTCTTCGCCAGCTCGATGCCGATGACGCGCTGACCGAAGCAGAGCACCTGAGCGTCGTTGCTAAGGATGGAGCGCTCGACGGAGAAGGAGTCGTGCGCAGTCACGGCCCGAATACCGGGAACCTTGTTGGCGGAGATGGCAACGCCCAGACCGGTACCACAGATGAAAAGACCACGGTCCGCCTTGCCCTCCTTGATCAGTTTGGCGCCCGCCACGGCAGGGTGAGGGTAAGCCGTCTTGTCAGAGGTGGAGTTGACACCGACGTCCTGGATGGACTCGACGAGGGGGTTCTTCTCCAGCGTGGCCTTGAGAGTCTCCTTGTACGGTTGACCGGCCTCGTCACAGGCGAAGACGATGCGGAGGGGCTTAGGATCGGCAGACATTGTGAGGTGTTGGTGATTTGTTTAAGTCAAAAGACTTTGTAGCGGTGCAGAGAGAATGAAGTGTTTGTAAAGGTGAGAGGATGATTGAAAGTTGTAGAAAGAAATCTATCAGCGGAAGGGGAACCCAGTAACCTTTTATATCCAATTCATTCAGCGCTTCCCTTCTCCGGATGAGTTCCCTTCCCCTCCGTCGTATTTGCGGAGACCGAGCCGTGCCTCCTGCGCCCCAAGGTTCAATGGATGGAGACCGCTAGACAGCGAATTGCATTGTCGCAATCCACTAATTAATGCACAACATCTCGATGCGACGGGCCCCACCGACGATTGTCCCAAGTCGCAACTTTCAAGAGCAACACGGTCTGGATGTACACCGTAAGAGTTCCAAACGCCCGAGCAAACCGAGACCTGGTTGCGACTGCCCCACGCATGGCGTCATAGTCGACCGGGATGTCTGCCTGTATCCTAGGGAATACTGAGTAGTGTTTTACAATCATAGGCAGAGAAACTAGTGCCAAACCTCCTCGTCGAGGAGGGACGGAAACAAGGGAACCGATAATGGCTTGACGGTTCTGCATGAGCCTGTCTCTGGTAAGATACTAGTCGGATCATTTAGGAGGCTACCGTCCATGGCGCGACGGGGGAATGACGCCACTGGTTGAAACCAATTCCGTATAGCCTCGTTCCATTTGATTCTCCTGGCGATAACGAAGATGTGGTCAAGGAATATGATTCCTGGAAGTGGAGCTTGTTTGTGAGGGGCCAACGGGGTTCGGGCTTGGAGAGCGTCTAGCGTCGGAGACTATATCTGGCTGGCTGGTATCAAACCGGTTTGGAGCTGTGTCTGATTGACTGGATAAAGTGGATGCCGATCTTCTTTCACATTCATGGCGTGGGAAAGGGCAACAGACAGCGGGAGAAGGGAGGTACGTGTTCTGCATGAGGCTTTTCCCTGTCCTATCCGATGCGCGGATGAAGGCAGATGCAGAAGGACGAAGGGTTGAAGAGACGCAGAGAGAAAAGACGCAAGACGGGATCAGGTGATCTGCCAGGTTTTGTGTAAACCCAATTGACGGCATTCCTTCCCAACATCCTGGTAGTCTGAACCTGTTATGGATTATGCCCATTTCGAGTCTCCTCTCCCCCCTCCTTCTCCCCTCTGTTTTCCCATACAAGAAAACCGACTTCCCGAATAACCCGGCAGCCTGGCATCTCCCGATTGGGCCTTCCGAGTGCTATACTCCTGACGGCCTGCGCTAACCCGAATCTGGACAGATCCAGCAATCCGACCCACCGCGGACTCGCTGATGATTGGCGGAGAGGAGGGATCCGCCCGCAGGTGACAAGTCCGGAATGGCTGACTTGTTTCTCAGGCATTCGAGTTTCCTCGCTTCAGTTGCTCAATTCGATCTGTCTTTGCTTTCTCTTCCTTGTCTCTTCCTCGCCCTCCTCTTTCTTCCGCTTCAACTGTCAATGCCACCTCGAGGAACCCCTCTTTCATCGCTTGGCCATTCTGGACTCCGTCAATCGCATGTCATGGAGACGTCCACTAGTTTTCTCCAGGTTTTCTGACCGTCGCTCCACTTATTCCATCCAATCACTGACATCATGCTCTGGGGATGCATTTCGCGTGGGCCGATCTGCCTTCTGGTCCTTTTCTTCTCTCCACCTTCCCCGTCCAAAATCTCGACCGAGTCTTTCCTCGTGTCCGTCGTCTGAAAGTGGAGGGTCGCAGTACTAGCGTTGCGACCAGTCCGTCAGCTCTTGGCTGTAGTTACACCGTCTCATAATCTCGACCGAGTCGGTCTAGTGGTTTGGAGTACGGTGTACGGGCAGTCTCCCCCGCCATAACTGCCTAACTGTGTACGCTACCGCGCCGTACACTGGTTCTGGTTCCTGTCCCGAGGTTACAATTGCTATCGTCTCACTCTCCTCCATATCCAAACCAATCCAGAAACACACACCGTGAGAAAAGAAGAACGGGCATTGGCCTGATCCAATCAAATCGGCAACCATGGCGTCCCAGCAATCCTACCCCGTTCTACCCAAGAACTTACTCATCATCTCACTGAAGATGTATTTCACCCCGTCCCGCACCCTCGAGTATCTCCGCGCCCTGCTGGCCCCCGAGAACGATATCGTCCGACCCCAGAACCGATCCAAGCTGCTCCTCGCCCTAATTCCCGACTTTCTGACCATCTACCCCTGCAATGAAATTATCAAGAACTACGAATCCTCTTCGACCACCCCCGCATCCTCCGCCTCGCTGCCCCCTCCCTTCTTGCTTGGCGCCCAAGACTGCTTCTGGGAGCCTCTGGGCGCCTATACGGGCGAAGTGTCCCCGCAAGCGCTGAACAGCATGGGTGTCTCCATCGTGGAGCTGGGCCACGCCGAACGTCGCTCCATCTTCGGCGAGACGGACGAGCAGACTGCTCGTAAGGCCGCCGCGGCCTGTGCGCACGCCATGGTGCCCCTCGTCTGCATTGGTGAGATCACGGCCCCGGGCGCCGTGGCGTCGGAGGCGGTTGGTCTGGCCGTAAGGGAGTGCGAGGTCCAGGTGCGCGCCGTTTTGGCCGCCATCCCGCCCGAAGCTCCCGTCATCTTCGCCTACGAGCCCGTCTGGGCCATTGGGAAGCCCGTCCCCGCCGGAGTCGACCACATCGCCGCCGTGGTGCAGGGCATCAAGACGGTCATTGGCAGCCGCAAGGGTGAGGTGCGCATTCTGTACGGCGGCAGTGCGGGGCCTGGACTATGGGGTCCGGGAGGTCTGGGAAAGGCCGTTGACGGCATGTTTTTGGGTCGATTCGCGCACGAGGTCGAGGGTGTGCGGAAGGTGGTGCGAGAGGTCGAGGAGACTCTTTGAACCCTACCTGTAGTGTTCATGTCGCTGCTGTCATGCTAATGCACAGACAGCCTGCAGTATTGACATGTATGCGGGCTGTCAAACAACACATGAGGAGCGAATGACAAGACGCAAGGGATACGAACACCCAGACCCTGTCGCGGACACGGGCTCTGTAATGGTCTATCAATGACTGATTTTCGGGATCTTTGGTTTATAATGCATCAAACTATCACTGACGACTATGCATGATGATTTCATGAGGCGTTTCGAGGCTTCATTTAGCATTTAGCTAGATTCGAATCTGCAAGCCCTGCGGACTAGTCACCGCCACCTACACAGATGGCTTTCCTTTCCAACCCTTATCATGTCGATGATGTTGTCTTGTTTTGGAATGGTGAGAATTGGCATCGGCTTGACCAATTAGGGTATAGTCAACCAATACCTGTAGGACTGTCATGCATTTGATATACTTCCGTAGGTGTAGACAGTAACTTGACGTGTGATAGAATATCATTGGAAACGTTATTTACAGATAACCCTTTATCTTTTCTTTTTGCTTTTGTCCCAAATTGGTCCGGTGATACATACAGACAGCTGTCTAATCCTTCTTCAGCTGTCTCTCCTCGCGCATCTCCTGCTTGACGCGAGTCACGGTGCCCACGCCGCCATACACGACACCGGTATACATCATGGCCACCGAGGCACCCGCGTTCAGAGCCGCCTGGGCCTGGGCGCCGGTCGTGATGCCTCCAGACGCGAAGAGAACCTTGCGAGGGAACTGCGCCGCCACGCTGGGCGGGTCCACGGGGGGCACGTTCTCGGCGTCGGGCTCGGCGTGGACCACGCGCGCGGTCTCGGCCTGCGCTTCTCCGGCCAGGTCCGGCGTCACGGGCGTCTCGTCTAGCAGGGCGCGGTACCGCGCGACGAGGGCCACCGTGCGGTCGAAGAGCTGCGGACCTGAGTATCCGCCCGTCTCCTGGAGTGTGGTCTGCTCCTTCTGGGGCAGGGTGAAGCCCTGAGGCAAGGGCTCCGGACGACGGTTGGTCGTGTTACCCACGATGACCCCGTCGACACCGGATCCCCAGACGGCCTCGCAGATGCCCGAGACTTGCTCGTCGGCGTCCTCATCAGGGCTGACCTTGACCATGACAAAGGGCTTGGTTGCGCGGTCGACGCCCTTGGCGGCGCCCACGACGGCCTTCAGGATCGCCGTCAGAGGTGCGGTGGCTTGGAGGTCACGTAGACCGGGGGTGTTGGGGCTCGACACGTTGACCACCAGGATATCGGCGTACTTGGCCAGGCGGTCGACGCAGTAGACGTAGTCGCGCTTGACGGCTTCGATGTCCGAGTCCGGCGTGGCCTTGTTCTTGGCCACCTGTACGGCCAACAGCTTGCCAGGGACAAGACTACCGGGGGGAACGCTGGCCTCGCCGTTCAAGACCCGCTCCACGGCCTGCTCATGGAGCCCGAAGCCCTGGGCGTAAGCGAAGTCACGCACCCGCTGCTCCAGGATGGCGGCCATGTGGTCGGCTCCCTTGGAGTTGAGCCCGTACCGGTTAATCATAGCTTTCTGCGATGGCAGACGGAACACGCGTGGGCGAGGGTTGCCATCCTGCGGCAGTGGCGTGGTACCACCAACTTCGACGATGGCAGGTCCGATCTCGAACAGCGGATCGGGGACTTCGGCGTGTTTGTCCAGTCCGCCGGAGATACCGATTGGGTTGGCGAGCGTGTATCCGAAGACCTGAATGAGAGATCATTAGCCGGCCTCATTCCCCCCCCTCAGACAAAAGCCAGGATAGTAGAGATAGGACCAACCTCAGTCGTCAAAGCACCGTCTCCATCCGGGTTCCCGCGTTCCCGAGGGTGCAGTCCATACTGGTACAGCGTCTTCAAAGTATCCACGCCGAGATGATGCGCATCCTCCGCATCAGGGTATAGGAGTCGGATCAACGGAACCACGCCGTACCGGTGCACGCTGGCTCTCGTATCCGTGCCATACACATAGCCGACCAAAAGCGCCAGAGCCACAGACGTGCCGAGCACGATCCTCCGAGCTCCACGGCCGGCTTTCTTGGGCGCCTCCTTCACCGTCTCCGCGGCAGCCTCGGTAGTGGCGGAGGCGGCATCGGCGGCCTTGGTGGTCGTCGTTTCAGAGGCAAATCTAATGGCTCCGTGCCGAGGAGCAACGGCGTGGTTGCGGAAGATCGACGGACGCTGCGCGCAGCGGAAAGACGGCAATGAGCGGGCTCGGGGACCTGCGGCCCTCCAGGCCAGCGCGACTGAGTTTGCGACCATGGTTTCTGGTGTAGGTGGGTTCGTTTTCAACGGATGTCAATCAATGGAACATACGGCGATTCTTTCCGCAATTGGCCCTATGGGTCGTCGTTAGCTATTTGGCTCAATTGTACCCGCGTTAAACTTCAATTGGCAGTCATGTCGTGATGAAGACCGAGAAGACGCCCCAAGCATGAAACATGCACCCATCGATTGCTGAGTAGACGCTCTATCGACCCCAGATGTTGTCCGACAATCGGCTGCTCTCGGTAAAGGACCTAGGGTAACTGATGTCCGATGACGACGTCGCGAAGAAGCAAGACAAAGTGAACGCAGGCGCAACTTACCCACAGGAGTTAAAGAGTCAATTACTTCTGAGCAATTGATATTTGCGCCACAAACATCCCCAAGTATATCGACTAGTCAATCCTCACAGGGATGCCGCACGAGGATGGATCCGAGTCGTCGAAGACCGTCCGCCGGTTTGTTTCTTGCGTCAACGCATGCGGCGGGCGGTCGGCAATTTCTTCGGCAGAATGGAGTTGGTACTACGGGCGGTGTAGTAGGGCATCTTCATGACCCTCGAGGAAGAGAGGATTGCTACTGTTGCTGGCGTCAATTACGTCGATAGATAATGCTCACTGTCATATGGCCCAGTGGCCCACTGTTCTTTTGTTTACAAATTTGCATTGTCCAAGTGTCGTTAGTTCAAGGGCTGGTCTATTCTTAGACTACCGCCAACACGGCCAATTGCCTAATAGGTATTGCATACAAGAGAAGGAGAAAAGAAGAAAAAAGAAAGAAAAGACAACAAAAAAACCCAACCAGAAAGTCTCGCTAGATCGAACTCCATTTTAATTCATGCCACTCAACGCCTGCTGTGTTGCTAGCAGTCTCGACTTAGGCGGACTGGCCCAATCCCAACTGCATGCAGCATATGCCCAGGAAACCGCACCGGGCAAAGAAAGATAGGTGAGAGGAACTGGGTTCCAGTATCTCCCAGCATTGTCACAAGAGACGGTATGAAGATGTGCAGATTATGATGATTATAAAGTCGGAAGTATACAAGTTGATGATCGTAAGAATCCAAAATCATTGTCACGGAAGAGAGCTAAAATTCAGAGGCCAATGCATTCACTCGTCGTCACTCATCCTGTCTGCCTCACCGGGTGCATCCTGATCTATTGATTGCCGATCAACACTGGGCTCGCGATCTTCTGCCTCGGCATATTCCTGGGGCGACTGTGGTTCATCTGCGCCCTCCGGTGCCGGCGGCATGGTTTTCGCGAACTTGGGATCGATAGCGGCCCTGTGTAATGCTCGCTTGTACACCTCCGCCTCGTCTGGATCGCGAACGACCACTTGAATTTGATCAACCTGGTCCTCTTTGGTCTTCGGGCGCGTAGGGGCCAGACCGGCCTGCGCAATAGTACGGGCTCGCTCCGGCTTGAGACGTGTCTTTCCAAGGATGGGGTAATAATAGGCCGCCTTCTGCTTGCCCTGCTGCTCTTCATTGGCATTCGACGGGTCGAAGATAGTCAAGGCGACATCTCTTTGCTTCTGGTCATTGCCAAGGGTCTGGGCGCTGGTAGCGTAGGTACGCACCCGATCAAACCGGTGGAATCTGGTGTTGTCGGCGCCCTCGTGAGCGTAGAGACCTTCGTTGTCCCGCTCAGGGTTGGTCATGCGCAAGCTTGCAAGGACGTTTTTAGCGTTTTCCTTCCCAGGGAGGAAAAGGTCGTAATCCCAAGGAACAGGGCCGGGATCGGGGTATAGATTGGGGTTTGTCTTGTGCAGAGTTGCTTTCGTTGTGTGTTCCTGGCAAACGCGCTCCTCGGGCGCAGACGGCAGCAGAACAGCTGCATCCATTCGCTTATCTCGCTTTCCAGAAATGTCTTGAACGGGCGCCTTGTCAAATTTAAATTGAACGAAACCTCCGGGATCGGGGAACCCTGCTAGGTCGGGAAGCAGCGGGAAGAACCCAACAGGCTTCAGCTTGGGGTTATCGGGATGTACTGGATGAGCCCATGCATCGTGCTCAAGTTTTGTCGGGTTGTGACCCTTGATTCTGCTTGGCGTATCCTCTCCAGAATGCTTACTATCCGGGTATGCAATGTCGAAACCCTTCTGGATGTACTTCTTGACGTAAATGGGATCATCTTGGGACATTTTCGTCTTCTCGTCTTGACGAGACTTCGATCTGATAGGTGTGACCTTGGGCCCCTCAGGGGCACGAATTCCTGCGGAGATGTATTGCGTGCGACGGAGAAAGCTGACATTTGTGTTCTTGGGCGCCGGGTTTCTCAGCTGGTCCAGAGTCATCAGAAGAGGTAGGTCGGCGGGGTCAATTGGGTCGGGGTTTTCCGGGGCCATGATAGCTATTGAATTGGATTTGTATCAGCACAAACTCTTCACGAAATCACTGTCAACGCGGAGCTACGTACCACTTTCATCGCCCAGATGAAGCCCCGGGATACCGACGAGATCAATCGGCATACCACCCTCCGCGTCCACATCAATGTTTGGCTCCTCGCGTCTCGCCAGACTGGAAGCGAATCCCGGGGTGAGGAATCGGTCTAAGCCCTCATGAGGAATATCCAGAAACTTGGGGGGCATGTCCGGAGGAGGTAGATCATTGCGATAGCGCGTTGAGGCGATGTACTCCTGGTGAAAACCCCCGGAGGAGCCACTATCCTTAGATTTCGACATTCTGGTCGCAAGGGTTCCGAATCGATCGAGCTTAGGAGGATCAGTCGCCGGCGGAGTGTTCACTATTAGCGAAGCAGATCGATGTTAGCGATAGCTCTTGACGTCGCGTTGCGATGATTGCTCGTAGAACTTACATGGACTGGTAAGGAACAAAGGAAGTATTTCAAAATCAGGTATAAGAGATCCGGTCGAGTCCGGGAATATGGAAACGACCGGTGCGAGTCCTTAAGAAAAGCAAGAAAGAAAGTTAGAAAGATGTTGAAGAACAGCATCTGGGAAACGATTGGAAGACAAACTTGGGGTTTGCGGGCTCATTCTGCACAACCTCACCGCCTGGAACTTAGAGCTTAGCACTATCAGGTGATGATCCACAAGAACGTGATCTGGGTGATGCTGCCGGGTTTATACTTGCACGGCACAGTGAATGAGCCGGAATTGCCCTGTTATTCTACAGAGTAGGCATTCACCTTGAAGGCATCGCTGCCTGGGCCAGCTATCCTACAAAAATGTTTCTACTAATTGAGATGGAGGTGTCTAGTACATTTCACAAGTTCCAAATTGGCCAATCATTCATCTAGGAGTACAATGCGTTTCAATAAGGGATCTCATAACGTCAAGTATTATCATATAAAGAACAAAGGGGCAAAGAAGTGGCCACAAACCAGAAGGAAGTGCACTAGCCCTGTTTCAGTAGGCCCACATGCATTTATAGGCCATCAACCTATGGCCCAGCCGATCGTACTCCAGCTGCCCGATCCAACTGTCATTCGTGCCGCTCAGTTTGCCAAAGATACTGGCACCTTTCCAAACAACTACTTGCGGGTCAAGGTCTCGTGGCGGAGACCCAATCATGATCTCTTTGGCAAACCCTGGCCGAAGAGCCTGAAGCCGCTCCTCCAGGAATGAATGAAAGCCGTTGATTTGACTGCCTCCTCCCACGACCATGATGCCACCGAGGAAGTCGCGCATTTTACGTTCATCCGACCGAGCCGCATGGGCGATAGAAGTGAGAATCGCATTGTCAAGCGGATAGACGGGGAGAATGTCGTCGCGTTCTTCAACCGCCGGCGCTCGCGGGTGCGACACGTTCTGGGTTTGCCCGCCGGCACCGGGGGTGCCAGTTCCTCCAGCTTGAGGCGTGCCGACAGCCTCGGGGACGGGGGAGCCGGCCACGGAGGATCGAGGAGTGGCGTCTAGTTCCTGTACACGACTGAGGGCATTGAGTTGTTGCGAGCGGCTTGGCGTAGATTGCACATCCAGAGGGTTCTGCTGACTCTCGCCGTTGATCTGGCTGGGCGATGGAGGAGCAAGGGCGGCCAGGATTTCGGACTGAGCTGCAGATGTCGGATCGTTCGGTTGACCATCGTAGATGTCTACCGAGCGGGAAATCAAATTTCTTCGTCCCTTGAGCTTCAGAGTATTGTCGAAGATAGTCGGTTGGAAGAAGCCCATCGGGGCCAGATGCACCTCATCATATGCCTTGAACGTGTATTTGCTGGTGTCTTGACCGGATACGCGAAGATGGAAATCATAGACCTGCACGGAGACACTGGCCTCATTCATGGTGCAGATGTTCTTTTTCAGCTCCTCCGCTAGGAGGAAATCATATCGGCGCCATAGATTGATTTCGGCGTAGGGGAAATGATCGTAGAGCATCATCTTGACGAACGTCTCGGTGACATCGGATCCGCCGTATTTCAGATTCACCCGGGAGTTTTCAATGCACATGCCTTCTTCTACGCAACAGATCGAGGTCTTCTGAGCACCGATATCGACCACGCAGGCAGACGTGAACCCGCCACCGAAGGTAGCTGCCAGACTCTCTTGGATGAAACATGTGCGCGCAAACGCGAACTCTCTCATAAGCATCTCCAGCGCCTGAGACACGTATGACTTCTCGTATAGGTCCGGAATGACAAATACACACGAGTACTGGGGCCATTCCTTCTTACTCGTGAGGCCAAGTTGGGTTTTGATGGCCTCCTCCAGTATTAACGAGATGTCCAGGAACATGAGTCGTTTGCTTTCGTAGTCTCTCTCGTTGCACCACCCGTATCTCATCGGCCAGCACAGCTTGTAGCGAGGCTTGGAGGCATCCGGTATCCTCAAGGCGTCTTGGCCCGCGATGTATTCCGGCGCCGGATCGGGGATCTCCGTCCACTCAATGCGCGAGGGATCGTTGTGTTCCGAGATGGTCTCCGGGACCGTTCTTCGATTGTAGTTGATCACCATTTCTTTAGAGTTCGGAAGAGTTCGGCGCTTGTTCTGGCGCATATGCGCCTTGAGCTCTGCGGACATTGTAGTGTACTGCGAAGCAAACTGTATCCAAGAACCACGTCAGCGATTGGGTCTTTGAGATGGCGCACAGAGTACTCTCAGTGCTAGGCGACAAACCTCCGGGCCAAACATTTTCTCTGGCTCCATTTCAGAACCATCATCTAGCTTCAGCCGTTTGGGATAAGGCTCATCCCGATCTTCCGATTCACTCGTGGCGGCTTTCCGCGCAATCACCATAGGGACGGTTTTCGGCAAAGCGTCGCTGGAGAGGCCAATTCGCAAATTCTGACTGCCGACGTGTATCACAATCACCTTCGAGCCAATCGCTTCGGAGCTAGACTCGTCCGAGTCTTCCATGTTCGCATCGCCATCCACATCCGCTTCCGTCTCGGGCAGACCTAGATCGTTCGCTTTTGCCATGGCAAGGGCACGGTCCCGGTCTTTGGCATTTTTGGCCATTCGATTTCGCGTCTCTTCATTTTGGAGTCTGAAAGCCAGATATTGATCATCGCGCTTGAGATAGTCTCTGTAGGCAGGAGAAGTGATTGTGTTAGCGGAGGATGATTTCAAGAGTAGATACCCATCAACAATGGCCGACCGAAGACGAGAACCAGTCCTGTCACATACGTATAATAGTTCTTTTGGTTGATCGGGGGAATCTGCGGCCAGTTCGACAGTTCCATATTGTTATCCGTCCTTTCGAGGCCTATATGCAACCCGGAGTTAAATCATTGACAACACGACGGTCGCAGAAACCTGAATAGACGACCAACATACCTTCATCCCGGAGGAGAGCCTTTCCAGACTTTTTGCCAACCATGATGGGCAGCGACGGCCAGGAATGGGATTGAACGGGCCCTGCGTAGCGGCCTAGGGAGGCAAAAGAGAGTCGCAAGGAGTGGAGCGGTACGACTTCAGATCGGGTACTGAGAGTGCAAGATGACAATCCGGTGGAAGGAGTGGAGGGACAGGAGGGCCGCAAGGAAAGAGGAGCAGGGAAGGAAGAGGTCGCAAAGCGAAAAGCCTCATCAATCACCGACTCGACTAGTGAGGATCAATCAATTCCCCGTCAACTCGGACGGTCAAGCTTGGGCCAGACTGATCGGCACTGCGGGCCAATGGTTGCCACCAGGGGATTTAGTCAGCTCTTGCTCTGCTCTGCTTTCTCTCGTGTCGTCTCGAGCGATGGATGATTTTCCATTCAAGAACCCTCCAAGTCCAAGTTGTTCGCCTCTATCTCTGTTCCTGTTCCTCCGCAGTCAAACGGCCCTTCACCGCTCTCTGTTTGCCTGAAATCGCACCTCCGTCATCGTCATCGCCTCCTTCCGTCGCCCACTACTGACCTTCTCTCCCCTCCTGTTTCCCTTTCTTTGTTTCAAACACAATCATGGGCGGCTCATTATCGCGTCTCTGGTCCTTTTTCTGGTCCAAGAAGGAAATCCGCATTCTGATTCTTGGTTTGGTTCGTCTTCTATGATCATCCACAAAATGTTTGCCTGGTTGCGGAATTCGGGACTAATCCAACTGCCTTGTATATAGGATAACGCTGGAAAAACGACGCTTCTTTACCGACTGAAGGTAACCACAGAAACCCCTCTTTCCTTGTCTCATCGCTCTATGGTTGTGATAGTATACTGATCAAGGACCTTTTCTTTTTTCTGCTAGATCGGCGAAGTCGTCACTACGATACCCACGATTGGTTTCAACGTCGAGTCGGTGACGTATAGAAATCTGAATTTCAATGTTTGGGTATGGACATATCCGTGGGCATCTTTGGGCTCGGTGTGGAAGGGGGAATACTCGTTGCTGATCACTGTTTCTATTTTAGGATCTGGGAGGCCAAACGTCCATCCGTCCCTACTGGCGATGCTACTATGCCAACACCGCCGCCGTCGTCTTCGTAATCGACTCTACGGATATTGAACGACTAGGTACGGCGGCAGACGAACTTGCAGCCATGTTGAACGAAGAGGAGCTTCGCGACGCGGCTCTGTTGGTCTTTGCCAACAAGCAAGATCAGCCGGGTGCCAAGGGTGCTGGAGAGATCTCGGAGGCGTTGAAGCTGGGAGAGCTGCGCGACAGGAACTGGAGTATCGTGGCTTGCTCTGCTATCGACGGGAAAGGCCTGAACGAGGGAATGGACTGGTTGGTGGTAAGTACTCTGCGTGCCTCGCTTGGAGATTCATCCAGCCACTAACCCTGGTTTTACCGCAGCAAACTCTTCAATCGGAAAACGCATAAGCGCTGGCGTCATTGTGTGGTGCGATAGATTTTACTCGACATATTCTTCACCTCTGTTATGACGGATTCGGACATGCTGGGGTCTACCCGCTTGGGATGCCTTGCTTTCATTATATCTCTTTTATTTATTTTTTTCTCTTTCAAGGCTCTGTTTTGGAAGACAGGGTTTCATGTCGTTTATATTGTATACCTCTTTTTGACCGGAAGTTTTGAAGACTTAGCATAATATCCTAATTGATTGAATGATGGTGAACTTCGCGGTTTGTCCTTTGGATTAGATACTGTATTCTCCTTCTGATAAAGAACAAACCACAATCTTCTCTTCGTATCGCCGATAGCAGCGATTGATTGCGTCACGGAAATCGGCGCGTTGCGCTGTTATCACCGTCTGCCTATCGATTGGTCTGATACAGTCGGGGTAGAGGCGACTAGGAACTCTTAACCCCCACATCTACTCGACTATAAAACCTTCCCCTCAATCTATGTCCATGTCTATTATCTACCTTTGATTCTGGGTCCTTACCTCGTTCTATCTCCGCATTCACCATTTTCCACCATGGCCATTCCCTCCACCCAGACAGCCGCGGTGCTTCCTCCGGCCGGTGCAACGGCAAGTGCAAGCCTACAAATCAGACATGACCACCCCGTACCTTCGCCCGCAGAAGGAGAACTGCTTGTCAAGTTGGAATACTCGGGATTGTGTCACTCGGATGTGCACAGCGTTCGCGGGGAAACGCCAATGTTGACCGACGTGGCGGGGCATGAGGGGGTGGGGAAAGTGGTCGAAGGTGAGACATTCATCTTTCCTACTTGATAGTCAATCGATCTGATGCATCGAAATCGTCGCAGTTGGGTCCGGTCTCAACAAACAGGACTGGATTGGTAAGAGAGTTGGCATCAGGTCGGTCTTTCACTCGGTCCTGCTATTGAATTGTCCCAGTAGATTGATGGATAGGCATCAGATGGCTTTACAGCTCTTGTTTGAACTGCGAGATTTGCGCCATCAACAATACGGCATGTCCGTATCAGAAGAATGCCGGGGCTGTATGTTCTATTCAGATCGTTCTCACCATACTACCTACGTCGAGGTCAATAACCGTGCTAACACACCATAGAATGTGCCCGGCACTTTCCAGCGTATAGACTCTCTCAGTCCTTTCAGAATTCTACACGTACTCACCAATAACCAGAATATCTCGTTAGTCCGGCAGTTCATGTGACAAAGATTCCCTCCCAGCTGGAACCAGATGTGGCTGCTCCGCTTCTATGCGGTAAGTGGCCAGCTTTACCTTTATGGTTACCGTTTTGACTCCTCGATGCTCTGAATTATAGCGGGTATTGCCATGTACTCATCAATCATGAAGACCAAAACTCGCCCGGGTGACTGGCTCGTTCTTCCCGGAGCTGGAGGAGGCCTAGGGCATATGTAAGTGTTGGCTCGCTGACAACGTTGGATGCGAGCTAAGAACCTACAGGGGAATCCAGATTGCCGCCAAGAAAGGACTCAAAGTGATTGCAGTGGACAGGTACAGTCAGCACTAGCGATAGCTCATCAAACGCTGACTCCATTCTGCAGCGGAGAGAAAAAGAAGCAACTCTGTCTTTCGTTAGGGGCAGCGAGCTTTCTGGACTACAAAGTGGACGATATCGAGGCGGAGGTGAAGAAGCTCACCTCGGGCTTGGGTGCCCATGCTGTCATTTGTACCGCAAACAGCGAACCGGCCTATATCCAGAGTATGCGGCTGCTTCGTCGTCTGGGGGTTCTTGTCTGCGTCGGTATACCCAGCGTGCCATTCCGACTCCCTGCAACGCCATTTGATATGATTGTCAAGGGTAGGCGCATCAAGGCATACATCTGTAAATTAGAAAATGACTAAACTGTTTTCATGGCAGGTCTGACGATCATTGGAAACTCCGCGGGTACAGCGAAAGAAATGGACGAATTGATGGAAATGGCTGTAGCCGGGGACGTGACCGCGCATATTGAATGTTTCGAATTCGACAAAATCGACGAGGTATTGCAGCGCCTGGGGCGCTCTGAGATTGAGGGTCGAGCGGTGGTGAAGATCCCCTAGAGTACCTCATGCTACCTGGGAGTTAGGGCTAGGACGCATCACGCATCGAACCAAGGATGACCCCCATGCAGGTCGATGCCGTTTGGGGAAAGGGAATCCGTTGTAGTTGCCCATTTATCCATATTATTGCAAAAACCTCGAATGGAACCCTCGTTGATCCCCAAATGGATCCATAATTCTATGCGTGAATTCCAAAGATCTTCCGGGGGTGTGCCGAATGCAGGGCCGCTGATTGGCGGGCGGCCCCAAGTATAGAGGGCGGTCACATGTGGCCAGGCGACGCTCTCACTTGTCCGTCTCGTCCATCTCCGTCTCTCGTCCTTCCTTTCTCTTTCCTACCCTCCGCTCCTCCGCCACCGTCTGGACATGTGTGTCGCTGATAGGGTGTCAGCTACGGTTCCTCGCAATGGAGGCATCGTCCCAAGGTTCTTCGCTAACCCCTTCTGCCCATTGGCTAGGCAGTATGGGGCCTCATGTTTGAAGATTATCGCCTTTGTGCCCTCTGTAGAGTGGTCAATGGTGGGGACGAGTGAAGATATTCATGCTCGTGCTTGAATACTGGGGTGGTGGTGGTGGGGGGCCGGCTTTATAGTCAAGAAGGGACCGTTCCCTTTCGCGACCCTGATTCCTGTCCGTCAAGTTCTTCTCGACTTCCAATTGCATCGTCATTCGCCGCATTTACGGCCTTTTGTGATCCTTTCTCTTTCGCTATGGACACCCCCGAGGGTAGTAGTCCACTGGCCGAGCTGGTGAGTCGCATGGGTTGGCATCATGTGTACATCGCAGGCACGGCCGTACTGGTCGTCGCGCTCGTCGCCGTCGTTCTCTTCCTTTCCTCCCGCCGGGGCAAGATCGACTACAACAGCGGTATCTTCCCCTACGTGAAATTCGTCTACGCAAATTTTCTCAAGCCTCATCAGGAGAGCGGGGAGGGTCAGCAGGGTGCCTTGGAGAGTTTCTACAAGACCCAGGTATGAGACTCTGGCTGGGGGACGTTTGTCAAGTGGGAACTCACAAACTCTAGGCTGGAGTGTACGATGCCACTCGCAAACGCCTTCTGCGCGGCCGAGAAGACATGCTGGGTCTCGTGGCGGCGCAGCTGAGATTCAAAGCGGACAACAAGCAGCTAAAGAACGGAAAAGCCGTCTGGGTTGATGTGAGTGTCTGAGTCGTGCTCTTTGCCATTGTTTAGGATGCTCTTGCTGATTTTTCAGATTGGTGGAGGAACTGGGTGAGCATTGCCCGGATCAAACGTGCATTGAATGAATTCCTCTAACTGTATATCTAGATACAACATCGAGGCAATGTCCGCGTTTCTGCCCGTCCATACCTTCTTCTCCCATGTATATCTGGTGGATCTCTCTCCATCTCTCTGCGAAGTCGCCCGAGAACGGTTCCGGCGTTTAGGATGGAAGAATGTCAGCGTGGTATGCCAGGATGCACGGTCGTTTCGCTTGCCAGGGGTCGAAGATGTCGACCCCCGGGAAAAGACTACTACTGCCGACACGGGTGCGGACGTGATTACCATGAGTTACAGTCTATCCATGATCCCAGGTCAGCAGTTCTCCCTAATCTTTCATGAAGGCGAAATATTAACATAATATAGATTACTACAGTGTGGTCGATTCATTGACGGACTTGCTAAAACCATCCGGCCTACTCGGTGTTTGTGATTTCTATGGTAGGTGTTACCCATCGTGGGCATGAGGGCATGGTTGACAACTGACTATCTGCACAGTTCAGAGTATCGTCGACGTCTCGTCACGTAACTACATCGGTGGCGCTTTCAATCGCCATGTCAATTGGCTTGGTCGGGTCTTCTGGCGTGCCTGGTTTGATGCAGACCGGGTGAGTCTTGAGGCCGCTCGTCGGGACTACTTGGAGTATCGGTTTGGGACAGTCGTTTCTGCCAGCGAGAGAAACTACCTTCTCGGAGGTATCCCCTATTATATATTTCTCGGGTGTCAGAAAGACATTACGTCCAGCCAGACAGGTAAAGATACCATCGAGAAGCTCGATGCTTCTTTCACCGAGTCGCCCTACTTGTCGCCTGCCAACCACCAAAAGGAGATGGAGAAGGCTGCGGAAGCCAGCGCACAAGAGGTTCGGTCCAAGGCATACGAGTCAGCAGTCGTCAACCTTGGCTCGAACCTGCCTCTGCCTTCGTCCTTTTACCAAAACCATCATTACCGCATCTTTTACAACGACCTGCTTCCGAAACACACCCAGTTTCAGAACGAATATATCTACGCCTTCAACTGGGAGGATCCTCGGGTTGACCACCGCCTTCTGGATATTCAACGCGATGATGTGATCCTGGCTATTACCAGCGCTGGTGACAACATTCTGGATTACCTGCAGAAGAGCCCACGACGAGTACACGCAGTGGACCTGAACCCAAACCAAAACCATCTCCTCGAACTCAAAGTGGCTAGTTTCATTGCTCTCGGCCATCGCGATGTTTGGAAGATCTTCGGAGAAGGAAAGCACCCTGAATTCCGCCAACTTCTCATCTCTCGTCTAAGTCCGCACCTGTCTAGTCAGGCGTTCCAATATTGGTTGGAGCACACGCACGTCTTTACATCGACATCTGGAAAGGGTCTTTACGAGACCGGTGGATCCCGGCATGCAATCAAAATGGTCCGTTATCTATTCAAGGTATTCGGCCTCGAGAGCCAGGTGCGCCAGTTATGCGATGCCCAAACCCTCGCCGAACAGCGCCAGATCTGGCCTCGGATCCGATCGGTCCTGATGAGCAAGCCTCTTCACTGGGCGGTCGTCGGAACGGAGTGGTTCGCATGGAAGGCCGCGGGCGTGCCTCGCAACCAACGTAACATGATCATCGATGACTTCTTCAAGCGAAACGGCTTGAATGCGGATATGAAGCAAGCCAAGGACATCAGCGGCCAGTCTATTTGGGAATACGTCGTCGACACACTCGACCCGGTGGTCAAGGACACTCTGATTAGCTCCGACAATTACTTTTATTTCTTGTGTCTACGAGGCCAGTTCTCTCGAAGGTGAGAACCCCCGATCACTAATCGACCCATCGCATCATCTCTCTGACAGCTATGTAGATGCCATCCTGCCTATCTGTCACCCAAAGCACATGTGAGATTGTCCTCACCAGGGGCATTTGACGGACTCCGCATCCACACCGACGAGATCAACGAAGTGATCAAGCGCATCACCCCGCGAAGCCTCACTATTGCCGTTGTGAGTTGTTCCGCTTAACCCAGCCCCAATCTGCGAACATATAGGAACTCCATCCTAACTTCCTACCTCCACAGATCATGGACTCAATGGACTGGTTCGACCCCTCCGGCAGCGACGCTTCCATCCAAGCCCAGAAACTCAACCACGCCTTGAAACTCAACGGCCGCATTCTTCTCCGCTCTGCGAGCATCGAACCCTGGTATATCCGGAACTTCGAAGAGAATGGCTTCACGGCTCGACGAGTCGGTGCTCGATTCCCAGGAACATGTATTGACCGGTACGTTTATATTGCGCCCTTCTCTCCAGCTCCAGTGCCTCTAGACCATAACACTAACGGGATGAAACAGAGTCAACATGTACGCCTCTACTTGGATCTGCACCAAGACGAAGGAACTGGAACGGCCATCCCTGCCGGATCGATCGATGTCCGTGCTATCGCTGGGCGATAGTACGGGGAAGCGGTCGAATAGCGTGGAACATCTGGAGATATGAGACGAGACGAGACGATACGATGTGGTTCAAAACGGATTTCGCTATCTTTGTTTCTCTGCGTCTTTTCTTTTCTCCCCTTGCCCCGTTGAACAGTACATATATATCGTCCTGTTGGAATTAGGCTTCCTTTTATAGTGTTTGGCGTGTTCATATTACCTTCCCCCCTTCCCCTGGCAGACAAAAGGCAGGATCTTTGTTTATACATTTAATAGAACTATGATTTCAGCGCACCAACTATCATTCGCACCAGTATCTCATCAAACCTCAATTATCACCTCCAAAAAGACACAAGAACCAAAGCATAGAATCATACAACAGCAAGTCTATTTCAGCTAGCACTAAAGACGAAGGAAGTAATGGGGGGAGAAAGACTACCAATACAACTCTGAACCACGTACATGACCGGGCATCGCCCACATAAAAAAAAATGGAAACATGAAGTAGAAGTAATAGGGGAAAAACCATCAGACTCATGATAAAGGGCTCTGTACAAGTGTATCAATAGTATTTCAGCTCATGAAGTCAGGTCACACGAACGGTCATCAAATAAGAGAAAGATATTAGATTATGCATGCCACTCCTCCTTTTGTTTAGTTTGCCACGCTCGTTACACGGGTTCCCTTTGGCGGACAGACTCAATCATGGAATAAGAGAGGGGACAGTCCGTCGAAAATGAAACCTGAGTAGATCGGAAGCGATAAAAAGAGTAGTAAGAAACATTGATCGAAGTTTTTAAAGGGCCCCTGAATCGAAATACCCAGAGGGCAATGTGAAAAGGAGGATAATAGGGGGAAAGTCGTCATAGGAGGAAATCGAGATCCATTTATGAACGGCCGTACCGCGTCTTTCCGAAGGAGAAAGGCACGTAACGGTACTTGATCATGTGCTGGATCTGGCGTCGCACTGTATCCAAGCGATCAAGTCAGCAAGCCAAATTCAAGATGTATACACAGCGGAACAGATTGGACCGCCCGTTCTTGATAGATTTGGAAGAATGGGTGGAGGATACGCACTCGTCAGGACAAACAGGATGATCCAGTAGACCACCAGAACGGGCCAGAAGACGGGGATGTCAAAGACGCTGAACCACGAGCACAGAAAACCAATGGCGATGGCGCGGGTGGCCGAGTGCCAGAACTTGAACTCGGGAAGGCGGCGGATGAAAGGCCGGAACTCGTCGTCTTGCTTCGTGGGCAGGCTGGCGGCGGCGTCACCGTCCTCCAGGCCCTCGTCTTGCGTGAGCGACGGGTCGAACTTGGGTTGTAGGAAAAGCAGGAAGAGGTTGAGCAGGTAGATGCCTAGGGTGTATGCGACTGTGGCGAGGAAGTACGTGTTAGCTGGCTGCGCGATGATGTCTCCCCCCGACTAACTCTTCAAATTCCCCGACTGGAGGTTTCTAATGCGGTCGTGGAGTTTATTCATGCTGGGCGCATACCGATATACCAGCCCTGGGCCAGGACAATTCTCAAAAAGAAAATGACGAGCAGGACCGCCGTGCCGATCCAGCGATAGACCGTGAAAGGCGTCGAGGCATCGAGGTAGGTTTGGTATTGCTGGAAGCCATTAGCATCGACCGCCACCTTCGCAATGACCCCAGAAAAGCCGGTGCCATGTCTGGACCCTACTAGACCCGCGATTGACTCACTCTGGCAAGTTTCGAAGTCTGCGCCGTGACGGCCGTGAACGGAGACTGCTCGGGCTCAGGAACGTCCATGGCGTCGGAGAAAGAGCACAACGGGATTTAACAGGGAGAAGACGAAGAGGGGAAAAAAGGAGAGAAAGGAAACTCGTCGAGATCGTTCTTACACTCAGCAGCGCACAATCAACTCGGCGATAAGAGAGAGAGTACAGAATGAGAGAAGAGGGCGTTGGGCGGACGACAACAACCGCTGGAAAAGTGTCCACTGCTGGCGCTAGTCCGTTTTCGGTGCTAAGCCACAGAGGAGGCTGATGCGTCCGCGCTAACCCGTTCCTGGAGAACTGACTAAGCCGTCAGCCCGCATCCGTTCACGTGCGCGCCTTGCCTCGGGGGAACGGCTCGCTTCGGCATTTTGCGGGGATCATGTCATCATCCGCTTTGCTTGGTATACCTCGCTGCGTCCTCCCCCTTCCCCGGACTTTCATCTTCTCCTCCCATACGCATTCTTAACAATTGTTCTAATATTCTAATACCCCAGACCCTATCTCTCGTCATGTTCGCTCGACAGTGCTCCCGTCTCGTCTCCTCTCGAACCGCCGTTCCCTTGACGTCCTATCTGGCACGCGTGAGACCCTACTCCTCCGCGGCCCCGGCCTACGAGCACATCCTCACATCGAGCCCCAAGGCGGGTGTTGGTTTGAGTGAGTACCACCAGACAAGACAATCAATTCAATTCCAAGGTTCAATCCATATTAACCATGACACTCTTGACCAGTCACATTAAACCGACCCAAGGCCCTCAATGCATTATCCAGCCCTCTCTTCAAAGAGATCAACGACGCCCTAACTAAATACGATGAGGACAAGGACATCGGGGCCATTATCATCACGGGCAGCGAGAAGGCCTTCGCCGGTATAATTCCCATTGAAACCCCTTCCCTTCTCACTGCTGCTCCTCCTCCCTCTCCCTTCTGAGTTCCACCCATCCACAAGACCAAGATCAGCAATGCTAACCAACACCCTTCTTCACCTACAGCCGGCGCCGACATCAAAGAAATGGCCCCCCTGACCTTCGCCTCCGCCTACACCAACAACTTCATCGCCCCCTGGTCGCACCTCGCCAACGCCATCCGCAAACCCGTCATCGCCGCCGTCTCGGGCTACGCGCTAGGCGGCGGCTGCGAACTGGCCCTCATGTGCGACATCATCTACTGCACCAGCGGTGCCACCTTCGGCCAGCCCGAGATCAAGCTCGGCGTAATCCCCGGCGCCGGGGGATCGCAGCGCCTGACGCGCGCCGTGGGTAAGAGCAAGGCGATGGAGCTGATCCTCACCGGCAAGAACTTCAGCGGCAAGGAGGCCGGTGAGTGGGGAGTCGCCGCGAAGGTAGTGGATGGGGGCAAGGATGAATTGTTGGAGGAGGCCATCAAGACGGCTGAGACGATCGCGGGGTATAGTCGGGTTGCCGTGCTGGCTGGCAAGGAGGTCGTGAATAAGAGCCAGGAGCTGTCGTTGAGGGAGGGGGTGGAGTATGAAAGGAGGCTGTTCCATGGACTTTTCGGGAGCAAGGATCAGAAGATTGGTGAGTTTTTTAGTTTCCCCTTTCTGCGGTATTAAAAAGGGGTATTCGTTGCTGACTGGTGGACAGGAATGACTGCGTTCGCCGAGAAGAAAAAGCCGGAGTGGTCGAATGAGTAGATGGCTTGTTGTTTACAGTCCCAGGAAAATCATTGAATATATTAGCGAATGCCAATCAGCAATTGAATTCGTGAGTGCAAAACACTCCGCACAGCCAAGGAGCAAGTCATCCGTTCTGTCATCGTAAGCGGCCATCGTATTCATTATTAAAGTATGTACAGTATTAGGTATGTGTGTAAGTATACATGTCAATATTACAAAGATATAAGGAGATCAAATGTCCCGCCGACGTCAAGCTTGCTTCTCCAACCCAGCGGCGTCCGTCTGAACTGTCTTCTGGGTCCGGTAATCGTCGACCACGCGGCCCTCGATGGTTTCGTCGAAGACGTCGACCCGGGTGCTGGCGAATTTGCGGGCACTGATTCCCCGTTCGAAGAGAACGTCCAGCTCGGCGAAAGAGCGACCTTTCGGCTCGGGGACTCGGAAATAAGTATAAATGATGCAGCAGAAGCAGAGGCCTCCCCAGAAGAAACCGGCGTAGTTGCCCCAATCCCATGCCCCGGGGTTCAGCATGTACGGCGTCAACACGCCACAGATGATGGCGACAATATTGTACAGGTTGCGTCCGAGGACCACTGTCTTGATCTGAAGCCGTCGGGTGGACAGCTCCGCCACGAGGGAATAGGCAACCGTACCGACGGTGAGCTGGTAGAACAAGGCCCAGACAACCATCATGGACCCGGTGGCAAGCGATGCCTGTGTTCGGTGCTCATCAGGGACCAAGCCGAGAAATCCCATGACAATCAACATGACGCAGAGGCCGCATAGACCGTATAAATAGAGGGCCCGACGGCCGCATCCCACTGTCATGAGGAACCACGCGCCAAACACGCCAGCCATGTTGATACCGTATTGACCCATGGCAAAGGCGTAGGCTTTTGACGTGTCCAGTCCGGCCTGTTTGAGGAAATAGGTGGAGTAGTTGGAGAAAGAGTTTCCGCTTAGGTTCTGAATAGCCCAGACCATACACACGATTTCCGTCCGCCGTAAATCGGTACCCCTGAAACAGTCCAAGTAACTGGCACCCCGCGTGATCTTCGCTTCCAATGCCGTAGTGTGGACCATCATGGCGACGGTTTCGTCCGCGTCGAAGTCGTTGTCCTCCCGCACACTGGTTAATCGTAATAGGGACTTCTTTGCTTCCTGCGTCTTGCCGTTGCGAACAAGCCACCATGGCGACTCCGGGGCGCAAAAGATACCGATGAGGAGGGGAAGCGGCCACATCCATTGAAGACCGTAAGGAATCCGATATGACCATTCGTCGTCCCGGTTGATCATGGACGAAATCACACCGACGCCAATCAGCTGACCCAGGCCCCAGCAAAAGTTAACATAGGTCGTAAGGTATCCTCGGAGCGCAACGGGGCAAACTTCGGAGGCATAAGTGACGGCCAGAGTTTGAAACACGCCCCAGGGGATACCGGCGAGGATTTCGGCGGCGAGCAAGGCCTGGACGTTCGGGGCCGTAAAGAAAATGGCTGTCCATGCAGTGATCAAGATGAGGCAGGCGATGATGGTATAACGATATCCGAAACGTTCCGAAGCCCAGCCATTAATAAAAAGACCGATAATTTCACCGACATAAGCACCGTTGCTCAAACCTGCTTGCCACTGTTAAAAGTCTGTTAGCTACCATTGCACGCTCGCCGAGGCGGCATTGCCGCCAAAGGGGAAGGAAGGAAGAAAGAAAAGGTGATAAATACCCTTGCAGGAACTTCGTAGTCTCCGTTGGCCAGCTGCTCGCCGTACTTTTTGCTGAATTGCGGGAAAGCATAGAAATTGTTGATCAGACTGATGTCGTACCCTTCCATCACAATAACGGTGGAGATGAGGATACTCCAAGCCACGGCCTTGGGATAGAGCTTGATACCCTGCAGCAGGGTCATGTTCTGTTCCTTATCCGTGGCTGCCTTTGCATTTTCTACAATCTTGGCCACGGACGACGAGTCCCGATGATCGTCTGACGAGCGATCCACGGAGGCAATGGCATCCTGAGCCTTGGAGGCAGCCATGCTGAAAGCAATTGCAGACCCCGAAGGGAAGGATGAAGAACAAGAAAGAAAGAAAAAAAGAAAAAAAGGAAAAGAAAAAAACAAATCCCCCTCCAAGTAGAAACGAAAGCAACGAGAAGATTGAGAACAAGAGGGGAACCAAGAGAGTTGTCACAACTCACGACGTTTCCGCACCCGGCGATTGGTAGGAAGTGGGACGGAGAGCGATAGAAATTTATGGCCGTAGCGGGGCCGCCGGAGGTCTTTTTAACAGGCCCCCCACAATGCCGGTTCCCCTGCTCGCGAGGCCAGGAACATGGCCCAAATGGTCCGGACCGTGAAAGGATTGCAAGGCTAACGGAGAAAGGGTTAAGGAAGACGACTAAAAAAGTCAGATGAACAGACTACAGAGAATCGCCACGAGACCTGCGGGTTGTATTGCGGGGAAACGGAAAATTCTGGGTGGACGAGTGGACGCACCGAGAAGCAGATCAGCCAAGGCCGTCTAATTTCCGCTAGCAGTGCGTCCCGAGATGAAAGACTGGAAGTTGACTGGCTGGGTCGAGTCCGCGGGGAAGGAAGAAGGAAGAAACTTGAAGTTGTCACCAGGAAGACTGTTTAGGGATCCCGCCATCACATGATTCCAGACAGGCCTCAGGCAGGATTCACTCTATTTCTATTTGGATTTCTCTCTCTATCTCTATCTTGACTCTGAGCGGGCATACGATCCATGTTTCACATCGTCCACGATCCTCGCAGCCTTCGGTTCCCAACCCAGAACCCTCTTCGCCTTGGCCCCCGATGCTTGATTCTCTGTCGACAGGAACTTCATCACAAACTCGCCCCATTTCCCAGCCACCTCGTCTGCAGGCGCCGAACGGACAGGTAGACCGGCCGTCTCCCCAATCGCCTCCGTCAATTCGCGGAATGTCACGGTGTTCGACACGCCATTGAAGACCTCCCCGGCCTGTGCCTTCTCCGCTGCAAGAAGATACAGTTCGGCAGCCTCGTCCACATGCACCGCCGAAGTCACGGCCGCGCCTTCACCAACATACACGACCTCTCCGGCACCCGCAAACATCTGCGTAAACAATCGCACGCCACTGCCGCCTCGGCCGTAGACGAACGGCGCCAGTCGGATGGCAGAGACCTTGATTCCCTTCTCGCTTAGCCTCAGAGCATTCTGTTCCGACTTGATACGATCATTCAGTGGTTTCTCACACAGCGGCGACACCTCGGTCGTTTCGGCCCCGGTGGCCTCTACCACTAGCGTGCCGGACGTGGTGACGAGCGGCTTGTCGCTGCCCTCCATCCCGGCTTCGAAGGCGCTGATGGCAACGGCATCAAGGCGCAAAACCTCGGCATAGTCGGTTTGTAGTCCCGCGAAGGCATCTGCCAGGTGCAGGACGATGTCGGCTCTTGCACTCTGTTCGCGCAGAACATCCAGCGATTCGAGGCCCCCGCGGACGGGTACTACGCCCAGGCCGGTCAATTTGACGTCGGTGGCTTCGGTGCGCGAGATGCCGTATACTTCGTAGTCTCGGGCGAGGGCCAGTTGGACGACCACGGAGCCAATGTATCCGCTGGCGCCGGTCATGAAGATTCTTTGCTTGGCCATGGTGGGAGGGATGAGGGTTATCGTAGGAAATGAGATGTCAGCGATTTAGTTACTCACTGTGTTTGTAGTCCGTGACTGGAGAGGGGCCTCTAGCAATTGTTATATGCGTTGACGATAGTCACGTAACTCGATCGAATCGAGACGGACTTAAACCCATCGTTACTTAAACTCCGTTGAACCCGGGACATTGGAGAAGGATTCGAAAGCCGGGGCTGAAGAGTAAACACCATCAAGCAAGCTACTGGCATAGTGCCGGAGTTAAGGCAAAAGTCTTCTGAGCAGAAAAGTGAGTTAATTGATATTTAGCATGGGCTGCTCGGAATGTTAATCGACCAATAGTGTTATTTCCGACTTTAACTGCTTTAAACGCATTCTAGCATCACTCAACAAGCCCCTCTCGGGAATCAGCATGAGCTCCGCTACTGTCCTGTTCGCCTGCATGTTAGTCCCATCATCCGATAGAGCGCCCAGCAGTGAGTACAACAGCTCAGACTGGCCCAACAGTGTTGCCTGGTTGATTGTTATGAGCTCTGTCAAATGTGGTCTCTCATCTCTTATTCCTCGATGCCGTAACTGACCTGACGGACGGGAACTCCGATCCTCGACGTATCATGCTGAAAGCTTCGCTGTGAAAGTAGGGACCTATACTGAAGCAGAGATGATCTGTACGCTGCTTTGGTACGGTGGCTGGTCTCACTGCTGCCATTTCAGCCCCAGTCGGCATCCCGACCCTTGCGGGCTCCTATCAGATCTGGTTGATTGACATCAACGCCACCATTTGGTTGCAGATGGCAGTCTAGACCATGATTTTCGGCTCCAATTGCGATCCACGTTCAATAATCCTCTGTCTTGTATGCCGTCGTACAGCATGGCCATGGCTGAAAGCATAAACTACATTTCGGTGTTTTTTGTTGGTTTCGTGGCTATTTCAGCCATCTGGTGTGCAATTTGAGGTCATGGCATTGTAATCGATTGACTGAGCTCCGATGGAGCAAATGTCACTTGAAATATATCCCTCTACGGAATTTGAGTGTTCAAAGCGACAATACATAATATGGAAGCGATTGAGTTGGCTAGACTCAAGTTTAGCAAAGGATTCCAGCAGAGATATACATCTGCATATGTCTCTAAAATAGAGACAACTTAGATAAATTGTTTTCTCTTTAATCCGAGCGTCTTTTCCTCATAATGCAGTTGCTGCTATTTTCCCATCCAAAGCTCATTGCTCGCAGTCGTAGGGGCTATAGGGAAAAGCGATGCCGGGAGCACCCAGCCGGGCTCGGTGCCTATAGTACTAACCAGACCGTGGTACTTGGTGATAAACCCGATGGCGTGATTTGTCGCCACTTGAATCCCCCAGTCATGGCCGAAGAGCTGATCGGGAATAACAAAGAAACACGTAGGCCCAAAGCCTATCTGCAGCTCCGATAGGGAATGGCAGGCAAACACGCAGGGACCGTAAGTTAGGGCTCGGCCGTTTTGGGAAGTTGATGGGAGTGGGGCTGCAAGACAGGCACCCCGACGGGCCTTGATCGGAGTACTACGACTCTATTATATTCAACATGTAGTATTCAGCATATGATCGGAGTACTGAGCATCGAAGTTGGTCTGAAGAGCCCTGACCTTTGATCCGTTACAAACCGCCACTATCCAGGGCTGAAGGCATGTCCACACAAGGCACTCCGTAGAAGCCGCTTCTACTGACCCTTCTCTGCCGATCATCCGCTTCTCTACCTACTATGCCTTTGCTTCAAAGACCCAATCGTCCAAGGGTGGAAGTCCACCTGTCGAACGAGACTCCAGGATGTGTCAGTACATATACAACTGGCGATCGGATTCAGGGGACTGTCACCATCACGGCGGAAAATGATATTCCGTTCGAACATATCAGCATCTCCTTGCATGGTAGGCCCCTCATAATAATAAATTCCACTGCATATGCGCGACTGACACGTAAAATATTGCTAGGATCTTCCAAAACGACTATGGAACGAGTATCATCCATACGAGGCGTAAAACGCGCCCATCATAACTTTCTCCAGCTTGACCAAACTATTGACAACGCCAACTTCCTTTCTCCGCGAATCTTTCAGGCGGGTTGTTCATATCTCTTTCCGTTCACTTTCTCTGTCCCGGGGTTTCTTGTTCCTCAATCATGTGTTCATCCTACGGCCAGCCCACTCGTGCAAAGATCTCACCTGTTGCTCCCACCCACATTGGGGGATGCAATGTTCGTCAGTGAAGGTCGACCATTGCCAGATAATATGTGTCCCGATGCATGCCAGATCTCATACCTCATTCGAGTCTCCGTGACCGACAAAAGCGACATACCAACGGATCCTCCCAAAACGTTGGCCGACGTCGGGAAGAAACTACGCATCGTGCCGGCCTTTGACGAGCAGCCTCCCTTGAACATTGCCGAAGACGACGAATATTATCGCTTCAGCACAGTGTCTGACGTGAAAAGGGGGTTACTGAGAGAAAAGGTTGGCCGTCTGGAAGTGACTGCATCTCAACCCTGTGCTCTTAAACTACCTAGTCCAGGGTCCTCGTCTGATGCCGAACTCAGTACAAAGACAACAGTGGCTCTTCGGTTCACTCCAGAAGGGAACGAAATGCCTCCTCAGCTCGAAAGCCTCTCCATCAAACTCAAGGCGTGTACGTTCTTCGCTGCGAACTATTGGTCCAATACTCCGACAAACCCCCACGGGTTGGTCTTCCCCCCGAGAGACGAAGCTGTGTATACCAAAACCGTACCCGTCCTATCCAGTTCCATCTCATCCGTTCAATGGACCCCAGTATCTGGCGAGAGAACATCGTCCCAAGACTCGAGAACGTCGGACTCGTCGACAGAGTCAATGCCTGCCACCACGAACACCTATTATACCGCCTCAATCACAGCACCTATAGTCCTGCCCCGGTATAAGACCTACGTCCCGACATTCCATTCCTGCCTGATCTCGCGCATCTACTCGCTGGATCTCAAGGTCTCATATCACGCTCCGAATACGCATCTGTTGAGCGCATCCACTTCGCTGAGACTCCCGCTTCAAATATGCTCGCCACACTCCACGACAGAGCCCGCGGGGGAGGTCTTCGGTTTCGCTGCGGAGAATAGTAAAGTCGACGAAAATCTTCTAAGCTCGTTGGACTTCCCGCCCCAGCACGTCCGCTATTTTGAGCCGATTATTGTGTCCCTTACGCCCTCGGAACGCTCGGATGATTCGACTGCCGCTTTTACTGGTAATAATTGAGCATCCCAATATGTTAGGAAGGGTTTGACCTTTGGTGATAGTGGTTTCAAACTTTCTCCAATCCCTTGCGAATGAGGTCCAAAGCGCTGATTCTCTATACCCCGATCTCTTGATACTGTTTCAAGACTTTTCTTTCTCTCTTTGCCCTTATTAGTTGCGCTTTATTCTTTCCCTTTATGCTCCTGGTATTAACCTCCCGTAGATATAGAATGTAGAACCAGAGTAATTTCCACAATTTTGACAGTCCGAATATATTTCGAAAGTACAAACCAGAAAGCAATCGTTCCGACATAATTACACATCATCCACATGAAAGAAGCCCCCAGAATATAGTATGCGATCCCTCAGCCCCACGCCTACTACGAGTCAAGCACGAACAATTCAGCAGAATCAGCCCAAATCCCCGGATATGACAAACGACCAATCGTGGGAATAATCAATGAAGTTCCGATAGGTCTGGAAGGTTTGAGCATCGAGGGGAACAGGGTAAGTGAGCGACGCCTGCACGTCCGGGCGAAGTGGAATGCCTTCCGCGGAGACATTTGCATCGGGATCGTAAAGCTCGGGGTACGTTGCGAATAACGCAGGATCGATTTTGTAATGCGAAACACCCCGGTTCATGTTGAGATAGTTGAACGCCACCTGGCAGTATTCCGGGGACGCGAATAAAGTGGCCAGATCAGGGGCGGGGAGGCTGACGCTGAATGCTGCGTCGCAGTCAACATGAGATGAAGATGAAGATGCTGAGACGTCGATCTTTGCGGCGAGATCGGTCACTCGAATGTAGGCTTTTATACTCGGGGCTCCGGAAATCAATTCGGACATTGACGTTTCCACGACATAGCTGCTCACGACGTCACAGAATATTTGATCGATCTTGGGATTGGCGGCGTGGAGTCGGATCAGGCGGTTGCGGATAGACGGGAACGGGATCCAGTCGATCACGGTGGGATAGTGACGCTGGAGTTGAAGTTCCGTGGATTTGTACTGGGGATGGATTGAATCGAACGTTTGGGGGCAGGGGTACACCTGCCAGGCCGTCAAATTGACAATGTGGTAGAACCGCGTCTTCGCATACCATCGCATTACGTCCGGACGGGTCATGCTGTTGAATAGGGCGAGTATCATCAAGACTTCTTGATAGAAGCTGTATACGTGTGTTAGCGGTACACTCAGTTGGTATGTCCATCGGGCAACTTACAGATTCAGTTTTATCCCGGAGAGCGGCATCATATATCTCATCTTTTGATTCATGAGGCGTTGGAGAACTTGAATGTGATCAGAGAAAGGGGAGTTGGAATCTGTCCATCCTCGACCCAGGGCGATACTTGAATCTTGACTTCTCGTCAACGCGTTGGCATATGAATCAGGACCCATTTGGTACTCGAAAGACCAGAGACTCGGAATTTGCTGCGCAAGATTGTCAAAGGTTTCAACAAGATTGAGGTCAGGGCTGCAATCGTCGATTGGTTGAATAGATGGTTTCCGAGCAAGATCTGTCCCCGGCATGGCGGTGAGATCTAGATCTATTAAAGAATGATCTGTCGCTGAATCGATACCAGATGACAGGACTTGGCTTGTGCTCGACAAAGACTCCTTGGAGATAGGCGGCTCGTCCGCGAGATCATGATGAGAATGCGTCGAATCCTCCAAAAATCCCTCTGGAGAAGGATCAGCAAGAGCGCCCGACACCGTTGCAGACAAAGATTGGATATTGGCTGTAAACCGCGCGAGTTTTGTCTCTACTTCGATAAGGGTTTTGCGCAGGGCGCTGTTCTCCGCCCGCAGATTCCGAATCGTCACATCGTGAGGCTGGTCTTTCGAATTGGCGTGAGATTGCTTTGCTCTCAAGTGATCTGCCTGCCGCCGACGAAATGCTCGTTGCGCCAGACGATTGCGAAGTCTCCTAAGTCGGGGTTAGATACACGGAAGTGCACACATGAGCTAACCGCGTACTTCTTATCGGCATCTTCACCTTTTCCCTTGGTTGATGCGGTGGCGGGTTGCATGTTCTGAACTGTGGGGGTCCGTTGGAGTGTCGAGTGGATGGTATCATACCTATGCGACGCAGGGACCCATTTGGTTTGAACGGCAAGAATAGAGATTTCACCAGAACAGTCTATAGAGGCACGGATAGTGGGTTGTTGTTCCCTTGAGAATTGAAGGAAACATCCAGATTTCTCAACTTGCAAGCAGCAAACCCGATATCTCGGGAATGGCGGAAATCGGGGACGGGAATGAACGGAAATAAATGACTCGAAAATTTTAGTTACTTAACAATAACAATAAAGAAGTAACTAAATAACTCTAACTAACTAACCAATTAGTTCTAGTTCCTTATTGGAATCACTGACTGGAGGACAACGCCGGATCGTCGTCTATTGCTACAGTGGCCGCAGGAACCGATTAAACGATTATTTCATCGCTTTGCTTAACCGATCACGGGCTTATAGTTCGACATAAGTAGAGATTCAAAACAGAAAACCCCCGGGCATCAGATGGTTGTTGAAGGAAGGATTCAGTAACCTGGCAGGGAACTAGAACCCCCACCTGGGCAAATACCACTATCGACACCAACACAGGGCGATGCGACATCCACACTCATCAACCGACACCATTGAGCAGTGAAGGGTCTTTTCGAGGATGAGACTGTTTCATGTGGATGATACTCAAATCTCAATATGCGGGTTGCGTGGGTTGCGGTATTGAAGATTCTCGTCATAATGGTTGTCAAATAAAGGTAGAGGGTCCTGACCATGGCAATTGTGCATGTTCCTAAGAACTTTAGCAAGGGTTTTGTCTAGCTCCCGTTTTCGAAAGTGTGTAGGTTGTCTTTTCGATAGGCGAAAGACATAGACAGGAATCAATGTCTTGCATTCATGAGCAGTTTCATAGTTATAATCGGTATTGTTGAGGTCGAGTATAAAATAGGAGTGATTCCCGCGGCAAATTTTAACGGCGACAAAACGAGTCTTATTATCCGGATCGTATTTCTGAAAACTCTGCTCGATCTCCGAAACAAATGGACGTATAGATTCTAAATAATCTTCGGGGTCAAGAATGCTATTTGGAGTATCACCAAGTATTCGTATCGTACTTGAGCCGATGTCTCGCGGAAATCCAGAAAGAACCACTTGGATTTGGTGAAGAATGTGTTCGCGGATCTGTCTGGTTGAATCGTCCATGATGGGGGTGAAAATGACAGAGAGATACCTAGATGAAAGAAGGGATTTACATGCAATCAAGGAATGGTGGTAGTCGGCAGAAGGATTTATAATTGTCCGTGTTGCTAAATTGAGGCCTAGCAATATTCCTGCAGTTTATTGCTATCAGGCTCTTGTGCCTGCCGTGGTACATACATTTTGACGGTCCGTGTATGCGGTGTTGGGATCGGTCCAATTCAATCATCTTGGTGACAGTTTGATTTGTTAACTTCTTGGCCCTCGAGCAATCCGAAGCGTTCATCAATAGTACTCTGGAAGAACTCGGCGGATGGTTCAGTCTGTACGGGGCGATAGATAAACAGGTCCCTTAATATGATCCGCAAAGAAGGGTGGTGCATTTTGTCCTTCGTGTCGGTGCAATTCTGCAACGTCCCTAGCGACTCGTTGATCCTCAGTTTGTTGTCGGAAGAAAATCCACCTGTTGCTCTTGAAGCGGAGAATGTAGACCGGAACAGAAAAGGTCTGTTTATGAGCGGTTTCAAAGTGGTAGCGGTCGTTGTTGATGTCAAGAATGACGTATGCATGTCGAGGATATACATCAACAACAAGTAATCGCACGAGATGTTGTGTTTCCAATTGCTTTTTGAAAGGCTCGATCAAACTAGCTGCTGAAGCAAAATAATTGTCAGAGGCCAGAAGCTTCGTAGGTATATCGGCAACGATACGAATTGTTTTCGTGTCCTTGAGTACTTCGGACACTTGTTGGTTGACGTCGTCCATAATCAACGATTTACGATGGAGAGAGTAAGGAGAGAAAGAGAAAACTGTGGCCCTTTTGTAGGCGGTCGCACTTAACCCTGCCGCTGTCTTCTGAGCATTGTCTGGAATACGCGGTTAGAGACTTTCGGCAGTCTTCGAACATGAAATTATATGAATCTAGTTTCTCTTATTTACACCTCCATTTACTGAAATATCCATTCTATCTCAGGCAGGCTCGACAGTCAGTGTTCCGGTCTTGGAGATCAGATATTCCTCGATGGCAACATCCTTGCCGGCTTCTTTGCCGTAGCCCGACTGCTTGAGACCGCCAAACGGCGACTCGGCGCAGGACGAGTTACCTGATGTGGATGATCAGTATCAAATTGATTCTCACATTGCAAGAGTATGATTGTCTTACCGGTATTCATGCCAACCATGCCAGCCTCCAGATTCTCGAGCATGCGCCAGGTGCGGTTGACATCCCTGGTAAAGAAATAGGAAGCCAGGCCCATAGAGGTGTCATTAGCCAACTTCACCACTTCCTGTTCTGTTTCAAATCTATACAGACCCAGAAGAGGGCCAAAGATCTCCTCCTGTGTCGTTAGCATCTTGGGGGTCATGTCCGAGATAATCGTGGGCTCAAAGAAGTAACCGGGTAGATTCGCGGGCCTCTTGCCACCGCACAGAATCTTTCCTCCGCGCTTGATTGCGTCCTCAACGTGTCTCTCGAGCTTCTCAATGCCCCGGCTGGTGGTGAGCGGTCCCATGGTGGTTGAAGTCTCCGCGCCGTGGCCCACGCGGATCTTCGAGGTTGCTTCCACAATCATACGGGCGAACTGGTCATAGACGCCGCTTTGCACGTAGACCCGGTTGGCATGTGTACAGGCCTGACCGGCCGTACGCCACTTCAGAATCATCAGTGCCGCAACAGCCTGCTCGAGATTGCCGTCGTCGAAGACGATAAACGGACAGTTGCCGCCCAGCTCCATAGTCACCTTCTTCAAGCCTTCGCTGCAGTGTCTTGCAACAATACTGCCCACCCGCGTGCTGCCGGTAAAGGTGACCTTGCGAACCAGAGGATGCTTGCAGAGTCGCTCGCTCACGGCAGGGGTGTTCTCGTTATCCGTCGAAATGACATTCAGAACACCAGCCGGCAAGCCAGCACGGATGGCCAGATCGGCCAACGCGTTGACGCTCAGCGGTGTTTCCGGCGACGGCTTAACGATCATCGAGCATCCGGCCGCCAGCGCAGCAGCGACCTTGCGAATAATCATGGCGACCGGGAAGTTCCAGGGAACCAGCGCGACGCTTACACCGATCGGCTGCTTGATCACGAATGTGCGACGCTCTGAGATAGAGGGCTGGGCCACCGAGCCTCGAATCCGCTCGGCCTCGCCGGCGAACCACCAGGCGAAGCCCAGCGCGTAGTCGACCTCCCCCAATGCTTCGGTCATCGGCTTGCCGGTCTCGTAGACCATAATCTGGGCGATATCTTCGCGGGCGTTGGTGATCAGCTCGTGCCATTTGAGCAGGATTTTAGCTCGGACTCGCGGGTTGACATGGCGATAGTCTTCGAAAGCTTTTTGGGAAGACTCGACGTATTGGTCGACGTCGGTGACTTCGTTGTTCGGGCAGGAGGCAAAGATGCGGTTGGAGCCAGGATCTGTTGGACTTGCTTTTAGTAAAAGTAGACGTTGGAGAGGTAAAATGCCATAGGGAATGGTGATACCTTCGACATCGAACGTTTTGCCAGATCCAGCCTGTACCCATTCACCGTGAAGCAACGAGGCTTCATGGAGGAGGGATGGATCATTCAGCTAAATTGCATCAGCATCTACGTGACAATTCAATGTATCAATAATCCTTTACCTTCAAAAGGCTTGTCTTCATTGTGATTGTTAGGGATTCGTGTGTGAGACAATCGATGCAGTCGGTCAAACCGACAATTTATAGATCCAACTCTTGTATCCCTCGTCCGGAAGTCCAGCTTGGAGAAATCCCACTGCATGAGCAGATTACGTCGGCATTGCCTTTTCCACTTCATTCCAGTAATCGAACAATTACATCTGGTGGGCCACGTCTGCGGAGACGTGGATTTGGCCATGGTTTGGCTTGCCATACCCGTAAGCGATCGATTACTTCACGGAAGTCATCCGAGTCAGCGCTTACAACGAGTGGGATTGGATACAGGTAATTAATTGTGGTTAAATAACTATAGCTATGGTCTTGTGAAGCAGAATTTCCCCGTGCACATCTCAAAGCATTCCCACCCTCATCATCCGAAATCGTTCTACAATGCCTCCTCTTCAAAATATCAATATTGCCGTGATCGGTCAGTCCTACTTACTATGAGACCATTCCCTCTTCCTATTCATCAAACTAACATATACCCATTTACGTATACAGGCACCGGTGGAGTGGGCTCAGTCTTCGTTTCTCAGCTGGCATGGCTCGCGAAAACGTTAACCACGACCGAACTGAGCCTCTGCTACATCGCGATGATCGACAAGGCCCTGTACCACCAGGACCATTCAGCCATTGACATCGATACTGCAGTCACAACCCTCGAGGCAAAGGGGACCGCGCCACCATCCATCCCCGAGATCATCGAGTATCTCGCCAACGCCCCGCACCGCGTGATCCTCGTCGACAACACCAGCGCCACGAGCCTCGCCGAAGCCTACCCGGCCTTCCTCAGACGCGGGATCAGCGTCATCACACCCAACAAGAAAGCCTTCTCCGGAAGTTACCAGCTCTGGGAGGATATCTCCAGCTCGGCCCGGGCGGGTAACGCCGTGGTCTTCCACGAGTCGTCCGTCGGAGCAGGCATGCCCATCATCTCGACGGCCAAAGAGCTCGTCGCCACGGGTGACCAGATCACCCGCATCGAGGGCATTTTCAGCGGCACCATGTCGTACCTGTTCAACACATTCGCGCCGGCATTGGGCTCCGGCACGAGTGGCGAGTCATGGTCGTCGATTGTCAAGAAGGCCAGGGAGCTCGGGTATACGGAGCCGGATCCTCGTGACGATCTCAACGGTCTGGACGTTGCGCGCAAACTGACCATTCTGGGTCGACTGGCCGGTCTGCGCGTGGAGTCGCCTACTGCGTTCCCCGTGCAGAGCTTGATACCCAAGGAGCTTGAGGGAACGGCCGATGGCCAGACATTCCTTCAGCAGCTCGATCAATTTGATGATCAGATGAAGAGCCACAAGGTTGCCGCCGAGAAGGAAGGGAAGGTCGTGCGCTTCGTGGGCAGTATTGATGTGGAGAGTCAGACGCTGAAGGTTGGTCTCGAGTCCTTTGACACCATGCATCCAATGGCGACGCTTAAGGGGAGCGATAATATCATCAGCTTCTATACGAAGCGGTACGGGGCCTTGCCGCTGACCATTCGGGGTGCCGGAGCTGGGGGCGATGTCACGGCGATGGGAGTGACCGGGGATCTGCTGAAGGCTATTGCCCAACTTCGCTAGGATGATCCGTTGAAGAAATCATACTTTGATACTTTGAACGTTCGTTCACAATATGCCTGGTGCTAGTATATGCTCACATATGAGCCAATATCCACTATGGAGAGGCCAAGAGCAGGCACTTGCACAGGGCTCTCTACTACATTCTTCTTATACCTCTTGCTCCTAGCTCAGTACTTCGTATTCCTCAATAGATGTGATCATTTTCTTGTTGATTGGGATTCCCAAGGGTGAGGGCTAATCTCTGCGGGCTGAACAGAGACTCGACGTTGAGTATGTGGCTCATCCGATCACCGATGCTGTCTGACAATTGGATGCATCTCTGCAATGGAATATTCTCCGACGCAGCCACGGCGTCATCTACTGGATCTTGCGCATTCTTCGATTTACTCCACGTGGTAACATCCCATGGCCGATGATGCAGGACTATTGTTAGTCAGCGATGACGTAGCTCGTTAAACACCGCCCCAGCAGCCTTATAATTCAGGGTGAGGCAGGTTGATCGTGGATCGTCTCTTCAACTTACATCCATCTTCCGAATTTGGCACCCATTTTCCATCGAGGTCAAACAAGTCTCTCCCAAAAAGAAAACCCTCCCAACTACCACAATGTCGAGTGACAAGAACAACAACCGTGAGTCCAGACAACCCAACGCCTCATCATGTCTCCACTACCCCTTGCTTGAATTATCAACCGCTAACCGGTATTTCATCTAGCTGGCCTCCTGGGCGGCCTAGGAAACGGCCTCGGCAAGACTATTGGCGGCGTGACTGGCACCCTAGGCAGCGCTGTCGGCGGCCTAGGAAGAACCGTCGGCGGAGTCACCGAAGGGCTCGGACGGACGGTCAGCGGAGCCGGCGAAAGCCTCGAGGGCACGACCAAGAACGTGGGCGAATCGGCCGGAAACACCTTCAAGAGTGATAGCAACAAGAAATAAGGGCTTGTCGGGATGAAGGTGGCGCTGTACTATATGATGATGTGCTTTCTGTTTTCATGCTGTCTATATTGATTCCCTTTGTGCGTTGGGTTGGATGGTCATTTGGAATGAGTTTGTTGTGCGAGGCAATCAATGGTAATTCATTCTCGTGTCTATTGCTTTCATGTGTGCCGATAGACGAAGGATAACTAGAGCCGCTCTGGCAGGGCGGAGGCGGCCGCGGGAAAGCCTGCCGCTTCGGAAGGTGGAGGTTCCCGCCGATGGATTTAGGTGAGACATGGTTCATCATTTCATGTCCCTAATTGACCAGCAAATCGGGGTTTCAGTAGTGGGATTTCAGACTTTGGAGTTGGGAGACCAGACTGGAGATCTTTTGGGGGGTCAAATCTTGAATCCGCCTGTGGGCGAGCATGGCCGACATCACCTGACATGGTCCGGCTAGATCTGTATCTTACATGGAGACCAATATGAGGAATATTCCTAAGCGTCGTATCTGTTGTCTCGTTCCACATGTCTGGACCATTTGATAATGACCTAATGCGTATATATCAGTTCAAGAGGCTGGGAACCCACGGAGAAATCTCGTGAAACAAAACCAAACAGAGGAAACGTATCCACTGCCATATTCAGTTGCACGGACAGATCTGAGGAGGAATGATCAACCCTGTCCCAACGGTCTAGACAGGACAAATTGAATAAGCATGTTATGATTGCTGATTGACCGGATGGCTGGCCGAGTCCATTGACTAAGATCCTAAATAACTAACATTAATTAGTTCCTGCACGGGTCTCCACTCTCCACCGGCAACGCAGCCGAGCGCAGGATCGGATGGTGCGTGGTTTCTTGAGATGGCTGGTTGACACCGGGTGGAAAGGATCAGACAGATTCTCTGTTGCCAATGGAGACCGTAATAGTCCCATCCATTCTACAATGGAATCACAATGTAATTCTTCAAGATTCTAAGTTTGGTGCCTGAGTCTTGACAATGCCCGGTCGATTATTGGCCTGAGGCATGCGAAACTGCGGGATGCGGATCCACTCGGCTGCCCTATGCCAACCAATGATACCGGTCTATCTGCTTATCTCAGCGGAAGCAGGTGACTCCGCGTGGTGACTTGCCTGAATCTGCCTGAGTGCCTGGATGCCTGCCGACGTCATCGCCTAATATCCCGCCTGTCATTGGCCAAAGCTGCGAGAAGCTGCCTGGAATTAATTCTTTGGACTTTTCTACTTTCGTGAATTTGCATCCTTTTTTTATCAACATTAAACACAGCTACTCCGACTGTGTATCCATTATTTTTCAAGATTCAATCCTTCCCACCCCACTCCCCGGGCTACTATAAGACTCTATAACTCCCCGCACTCTCTCTCCTCTTCCTCCCTCTCCTCGCAGTCCGGAGTAGATTCTTTCATCTCTCTTACCTCTCCTCAAACCACTCACCCTCCTCCCACACGTCATCATGGGCCAAGACGACGAGCCGAGTATGTCTCCTCCTTCCAATCGGTGTCCACATGTTAATTTGTATCAACCATGTTGCAGAGAACTACCGGTACAATGAGACTCCGGTCTACACCGCATCCAATGGTTGTCCCGTGATGGACCCCCAGGCTGCCCAGCGCGTCGGCCCTAACGGCCCTCTCTTGCTGCAAGACTTCCACCTGATTGACCTGCTGGCCCACTTTGACCGCGAGAGAATCCCCGAGCGAGTGGTCCACGCCAAGGGCGCCGGCGCCTACGGCGAGTTCGAGGTCACCGACGACATCAGCGACATCACCGTCGTCGACATGCTCAAGGGCGTCGGCAAGAAGACTAAGCTCTTCACCCGCTTCTCCACCGTGGGCGGCGAGAAGGGCTCCCCGGACAGTGCACGCGACCCCCGCGGATTCGCCATCAAGTTCTACACCGAGCAAGGCAACTGGGACTGGGTTTTCAACAACACACCTGTCTTCTTCCTCCGTGACCCCTCCAAGTTCCCTATCTTCATTCACACCCAGAAGCGCAACCCCCAGACCAACCTGAAGGACGCCACCATGTTCTGGGACTACCTGTCCACCCACCACGAGTCCGTCCACCAGCTCATGCACCTGTTCAGTGACCGCGGCACCCCCTACTCCTACCGCCACATGAACGGCTACTCCGGCCACACCTACAAGTGGGTCAAGCCCGACGGCACATTCAACTATGTGCAGATCCACTGCAAGACCGACCAGGGCAACAAGACCTTCAACAACGAGGAGGCCGGCCGCCTGGCCGCCGAAAACCCGGACTGGCACACCCAGGACCTGTTCGCCGCCATCCAGCGCGGCGAGAACCCCTCGTGGACCTGCTACGTGCAGGTGCTCAGCCCGGAGCAGGCCGAGAAGTTCCGCTGGAACGTCTTCGACCTGACCAAGGTCTGGCCCCAGAGCGAGGTGCCCCTGCGCCGCTTCGGCCGCTTCACCCTCAACCGCAACCCGGAGAACTACTTCGCCGAGGTCGAGCAGGCCGCCTTCTCCCCCTCACACATGGTCCCCGGCGTCGAACCCTCCGCCGACCCCGTCCTCCAGTCCCGCCTCTTCTCCTACCCGGACACCCACCGCCATCGCCTGGGCGGCAACTACGAGCAGATCCCCGTCAACTGCCCCATGCGCGCCTTCAGCCCCTGGCACCGCGACGGCGCCATGAACGTCCATGGCAACTACGGCGCCAACCCCAACTACCCGTCCACCTTCCGCCCGCTGCGCTACGAGCCCGTGAAGGCCAGCCAGGAGCACGAGCGCTGGGCCGGCAGCGTCGTCGCGGAGCAGTTCCCCGTCACCGCTGACGACTACGTCCAGGCCAACGGACTCTGGCAGGTCCTGGGTCGCCAGCCCGGCCAGCAGGAGGCCTTCGTGCACAACGTCTCTGGCCATCTGTCCGGTGCCCACGAGCGAGTCCGCAAGGCCACCTACGAGATGTTCCGCCGGGTGAACGCTGACCTGGGTGCGCGTCTCGAGAAGGCCACCGAGGCTTTGGCTACTGATGCCAAGTCGGCTCGGTTGTAATCTCCTGCTTTGTCAGTGGAAACAACAAGTAAAGGAGCCCAATCGTGGGTTGTATATTCTAGTACGACATAATGAATCTCAAAATAATACCTTACATTCTTTCAACGAACCATGATAATCTGGTGGGCTGACAATGTCCACAATACCAAAAGTCTCACGACGGAAACCAATTCAATTGATGATTCGGATCATGATCAGTTAAATCAGTAGTATTGCTGATAATTGTAAAAATACCTGCTCTAGGCAGGGACAAGAGAATGTAACCAAAGAAGAAGCTTTCCAAAATGAGTTCCCTAGATGTGACCATAACGCCCGAAAAGGAGGAAAGTAGAGGCAAAAAAAAAAAAAAAGAAAGAAAGTCAGAGTCACGCCCGCTTAAGCTTGGAACAATGCAGTGAGATGACGGAAGGTTGGTGATGTTCGTAGACGGTCATGTCGATTCTAATACAAAAACAGCGAGACATGGCTGTGTTATATACCTATGTGGTTGAGAAGGTGGATCTCTTCTCGGATGCGGGTGGTGATCTTTGGTCTTCGGTCTCGGTCTGGGAGGGCGAAATCCAACTGTAGGTGCTGAGTTGCCAGATGTAGAAGTCTGGTCGTGCTGTCTATGGATCATGGAGGCGTGGTGATGGGATGCTCGCTGATTGCTGATGTGTCCCAGCAGCCCCAAAAGAGTCCCGGGTTTTCGCATGTGGACGTGAGACTAGGAGGAGAAGTCTGATGAGCGGTCGTCGAGCTGGTGGCGTCCCGGCAGCCGAACCATCCGGGGGTATGGCAGTCACTAGACGGAGTCTTAGTTGGCATGGTAGACGTGAGTGTGGGAGCAGGTGCGGCAGCTGTAGTGCTTTCTTGATCCTTGCACCCGAACCATCCGGGGGTTTTGCACGTCGACGTTGATGTCGATGTTGACGCCGATGCTTCGGTGGTAGTGATAGTAGAGGAAGTACCGGGGGCGGCGCTAGTCTTGTCCTTGCATCCAAACCAGCCAGGAGTCTTACAGGTTGATGTGGAAGTCGAGCTAGTCGTGGTGGTGGTGCTGGGCGCTGTCGTAGTAGTACTTTCGTCCAAGCAGCCCCACCATCCAGGGGTTTTGCACGTCGAGGTACTCGAAGTGGTTGAAGTGCTCGTGGCGGAGGTCGTTGAGCTCGTCGTCGTCTCCGAGCCGTTACTACGGAAATACTTCCACAGCTCGCAATCGTAGCATTCTTCTTCCGCCGCGCAAGGAGGAACGTCATCATAGACTTTGATCACATCGGAGATGACAGCTTTAATTCGATGAGTTCCGAGTCCAACGCGCCAGCCTTTGTCTCCTACGGTATCGTAGACACACATCTGGCCCGTGTGGCACGCGGACTCCATGGCATAACCGCCCCACGTGCAGACAGAGCTTACTCCGTTACACGTTCCCATATATATTGGGTCTGCGGTGTGTCCAAAATGATAGGCTCCGGTGAACTGTCGCGATTGAGGGAGTCTCGGATCATGATCAGGAGGGCTTGGGAGACCGAGACGAGCTGCTGGTAGAGCTTCGGGCACGGCTTCAAAAGTAACCACAGGCAGTCCGTAGGTTAGACCAAGCAAGCTGGTCATCGCACCGCCCAGCGAGTGACCAGTGAGCCAAACGTTGGCTTCGGGGTATATTTCGGTGACGTTGGCGTACAGGTCCAGCGCCGCACGGTAGTAGCGATTTTCGTCATGCATAGCTTCAACGATGCAAGTCAGGTTGGCCGTAAAGGCAGATTTCTGGCAGTCACAGACTTGGCGCCACAGGTACGATCCACCCTGTCCGCAACAGCAACTGAAGAACAGATTGTCGTTTACTTTGTCATTCGTGGTCGTGCCTGCGCCATCAAAAAGGGCCGGCGAGGTTCCTTTCAAGGAGATGACAATAGTGCCGTTTGTCTCATCCGCATAGATATGGCCCCTAAGGCCGTCGTTGGCCCAGCCGAAGCTTGAAGAGTAATTGAATCTGCCATTAACGTCCTGCCAATCCTCACTACCGGGTTCCTCAATATAATCATTTGCAGTCATCTGCGCGAAGGTAAGAACGGTCTTTTTCTTGGAGACGTCGGGGCCGGCTAGCGTATCCATGACCCATGCCGACGGGGATAAGACGCTTGCCGATCCGCTAGATCGCGCCGCCATCAAATGTTCCTCGATTATCATTGGTCGACGATCAGCAAGGCGCTGGATTGTAACCGGCTGGGACGTAGCAAGTAACGGGGACTTGATGTCAACCGGCTCTTTCTCGAGTCCATCCTCCGAAACGGACCAAAGGCGAGTATCCGGCTGGACGTCCAGCCGCATGTGAAGATCAGGCTGTTCATACGTGCCGCGGTGGAAGAGGTGGCGAAGAGTCTATATTTCATGGATGTTAGATGATCGGGATCAGTGAAGGACAACGAGGTCAGATCAGACGTACAAATTCATGTGTTTCGGACGGAGGAGGTTGCTTCCCTACTAGCGGAATCTGGGGACCTAGGAAGGGGGACGAGTCTCGGGACCCGAAGTATACAGGCCGAGAGGCGGTGGTGAGGCTTGAAAGGAAAGTCACACATAAAAGAAGACTAAGTGGGCCCATTCCTAGTAGAAGACGCTTTTTGTTCTGCTTCTGAGAGCGTTCCATAATGATATAAAGACGATCAGGGATGTTGGGGATGACAAGTGAGAGGTCGGAGGAGAGAAGGAGAGAGTCTGGCCCAGGGCGGGTTATCAGTTGGGGACGACTGACTTATCGGGCGGTGACACAATGCGGAGGGCGGGGCACGTGATCTTCAGGACGCGTGACGGGCGATCAGTCATCAGTCATCACGGGAAACGGTCGATGCTACGCCCGCGTACAACTTCGCTCCGGGGGGTTTCAAGACCGGCATGTTCGACGTTGACAAATAACATCAGCCGAAACACTCTGTTCCCTGGCATCCCCATCCTTGTACACCGCGGGGGCTCCAGAATACATTCCGATAGCCCCTATTGCCTCATACGTTCCGTGATCTGCATTGGCCGATCACCTGAATCCCAACGCCGGTGCCGCAAACCGGATTGCAATCCGATCAGGCGCAAGTTTGCCCAGTCAAACAGGTCATGTCTTCTGGCACCCCTGAAAACGGCTCCGATAAGCCTCGCTTGCACTCAGCTCGTTCATTTCCCAGGATGGATAACGCAGACGTGAGCCCTCTAGCTCGCTCGAGAGCTAAAACCGTACAGTCGGTCGCTATAACGGAGTCGGTCGCTGCCGATGCGCTTCCTTTGTCGGCACACGAAGAGGACGAGAATTCTGGCCCGGACGTTTTTGAGAAAGCGGCATCGCCCGAGACAGCAATGGGTGACGACGGCCAGCCCGAAGAGGAGGGCTCGGTGCTATCGCGGAGTGTTCAGGGACAACCGGAAGAGCTGCCAGTTGAGTTGGCCAGCTTAACTGACCGGTACTGGTCCCCGTCATCTCTTAACTTCTTTGGCTCTCGCAAAGATTATAACAGCTAACCCACTCCTCGCTAGCTTCGTGAACTCATTGACCGCCAAAGTCCATTCCTCCCCTCCCACGATAGACAGGATATCTAGTCTCTACCAGGATTTCTACGTCAAAGCAGACTCCCATATCGCCACACATATATCTGCTCTGGCTTCTCGAATAAATCGCGACCCCAGCCAAGCGACACTCGGTGGCACCCCGTCGAAAACTAAGAATAAGGACTTCGAAAATGTCACTCCCGGTCGACAGATGTTGACCGCCTCAGAAGTTACGGAGAAAAGACAAGCACGAAAGCTACTCGCTTCCAAGCGCCTCGGTCTGGAAGAAGCCGTGGAACGACGAGCTTGTGAGACGATTTATGACAAAATATGGAGACACAAAAGCACGCTCGACGAAGTACGAGATGAGAAATTGCGCTCGAAGACGGCGGCATTGCTCCTAGTTGGAATCAATCTCAAAGACTTGGGGGTGGACGTTGATATGACCAGTATCAGCCCGGAAAGGCAGAAGGAAGTGGATGAGGGTCTTTCTCTTGCCCGTGATTGTCTTGCGAAGATGAATGAGGAGAAGTATCCTCTGGGAAAGCTCCAGCATCTTGCAGCTGCCCACAAGGCCATTGTGGACGCCTTGACGAAATTACTACCTTCCTCCTCTTCTGCCGATGAGATTTTACCTACTTTGATCTACTCACTTATCACCTGCCCGCCGGAGGGCATTAACATCATAAGCAATCTCTATTTCATCCAAAGATTCAGGTCGTCGGGCAAAATTGATGGCGAAACGGCATATTGCTTGACGAATCTCGAGGCCGCAATCAGCTTCCTAGAGAATGTGGATCTTTCCGAACTTCGCTCAGATCTACCGGAAGGGCAGACGAAAGTTGCCCTTGAAGCGGTTGATCCTCTTCCCATCAGCCATGAAACGCCCGTCTCCTCTGTTCCAGCTGAGGCATCCGGTGAATTCTCGAAACCCACCGGCAAGGAGGGTGCCTCCAACACTTTGCCCCGGCGTCATAACCCTGCTTCAACCCAGCAACGTCTTAACAACATATTCCAACCTCCTTCAAAAGTGCTTGGGGCCGCAAATGATGTTGTGCGCAATACTGCGGACCAGGGCTTGAAGAACATTGGTGCATCACTTGACAGTAGCTTCAACTTCCTCTTTGGCCGTCTGAAAGAACTGCAGTCAAGCCAGCCGGCCGGTAAAGAAGGGGGCAATCCTGTCCTGCCCAAAACTTTAGCCGAAGCCCGGCGTCTGGTCGCGGCTCCGGTTTCTGGCGACCAGAACTCGGGCAAAGACGACAGTCCGGCGCAGTCGACCGCTTCTAATGACCGACCTCCTCTAAGGCGCATCGGTTCAAAGGCTGAGGATGCATTCCTAGGACTAGTCACGGGTCAACGAACTCCCCGTGACCGGAGTGTGGATAGTGTCCGAACACAGGGCAGCGGCAGGAAGGCTACTCCCGGAAGTTCTATCAAAGATGAGCCCTCAACCGGGGGCTTCTCGCAAGGTTCAGCTGGCTCCCAGCCCCCTACACCTTTAGAATCCATGCGGAACTTCGGAAATACTCTCAACCCTCTCAATCATATCCCGGGCATGATCCGAAGCTTCGGGCGTCCGGTCCCCGACGGTTCTGGAGGGATCGCAACGCCTCCAGAGAAGGCTCGACCAACGCCCGGCTCACGCGAGGTTTCCTCAGGAAGTGCTGCACCCTCCTCCTCCGCGAAAATCGACCCTCCCATTCAGCGATTTCTTCAGACCCAGAACGTCGACGATCTCACAATAAAAGATGTTGCCGCCTTACTGGAAGACTACAAGAGAATTTCTGCATTGTTGTTGAAGCAGGACTCCAATTACAAATAAGCAGCGACCTCTTCTTCCTCCCCCGTTATACCGGACTGTTCTCGTCCTTCATACCTTCTTTTTCTTCTTTTCTTCTTTTGTTTGTGTCGGTTGTAACAGCGTTGCAAATAACGGCTCTTATAGATCACTCATATCTCTGGCGTTTTATCACACTTTCTGCGTCAAACATACCCAAGTCATGGTATTAATTAGCATCGGTTTGGAGTTAATACATGACTTATCACAAGATGTAATCATGGACATGGGCGACGACACGTAGAGTAAATCGATTACATTATAAAGACATATTGTCTTCGTAGGTAACTCATGAGAGACAGGATGCACGCAAACTCAAATCATCACACATAAAATTCTAAACTAGCCTTAGTGCTGACCATTGCGAAGTCAGAAACACTTGGGATAATAGATATAGCACATGAAGTACTCCGTATGTAAGTCGACGAACGCAACGACGCGCAACGACGCCTCGCAGATCACCAGGATTGAGAGGCATTGCAGAAAATGCAAGCTGAGAAGTGTTGCAAGGAAAGGCAGTTCACGGAGTACGACCACGTAGCACCTCGGCCCCGCCTGTTCTCATTTCTTCTAATTTCTTAGTGAGATCGGAAGACTGTTCTTCGACAGTGTCATGCCTTCTTTTGATCTCAGCCTCGTAGGTGGCGGCCGTTTTGCGCCGCGCGCGACGTAGATCCTTCATCTGGTTCAGCATCTTGCTGAATTCCTCGATTAATTGATCACCACAGTCTTCCCACTCTTCCATGTTCAGATTAGAAAAGTAATCTCGACGTTCTGCGTCGGGAATCTCCATCAAGTATGAGATCTTGTCTTCAGACGGGACCTGCGTTTGCGGGGCGGTGGGTGGTGGAGTAGTGGATGGGATGCGGTCAAAGGGCTCGGCTTGAAGTTCGGAGAAAGACTTCTGGCGTAAGACCTCTGGCGGGTAGTCGAGATCGAGGTGTCTTTTCTTTGGCTGGGCTGGTTCCGGGCTCATCCTTCGGACAACCGAATTACGTCTCGCAAAGGGATCATTGATCGGATCCTCGTCATCAAGAGCATCGAGATTCGTGATATCAAACCGATTGAACGACTGCACGCTACCGGGTCTTCCATAATCTAGGTCAAATAGACCTTCGTCGTCTCCAGGCGGCTCCGGGCTGACTATTGACACGCCTGTCTTCCTGGCCGGCTGCGGTCGGGGACCAGACGCACGTCGAGTGGGAGTCAATTCTAGCTTGTCGAGAAGGGAAGGCTTTGGCGGGCTAAACCTTGTCCTTGGGGTCGTGCTCATGTTATGAGGAAGTGTGATCTTTCTAGGTGCGGTGATGGGTAACGCTTGGTTCGGAGCTCTGGTTTCAGAGGTCGATTGGCCGTAAACAGTGGTCTTCAGAGGCTCTTCCTGCACCGGGCTGGTGTTCTTTGGATAAGGCTTGCGGCTTGCACTCCAGAAATTCTGCAGGCGCTTGCTCAGTGGTGCCTCCATGCCACGTCGTTTTTGGGAATGGTTGGACTTCGTCTCATCGGAATCTTCATCGTCACCCACCACCGAGGTTAACTGGCTTTCATTGTCGATATCGTCTGAGTCAAAGCCCGCCGTTTTCAAGGCTCTGTCCCCGAGATTATCATACCATTTAGGGTCGTAGGGGCGACGGGTCTGGCGGAATTGATGCAGAGATCTTGCATTCACGTTCCCATCTGTACTGTAGTGCTGGGGCTGCGTGACGCGTGGGAATTGGTATGGGACATCATCGCCGCCCATGACACTAGTCGCAGCGACGGTAGAATCATCGACGCCTTCGACATCGGTGTCGAACATGTCCCTTTGCACCGCATTTTCGGCCGGCGGAAATGGTGGTCCTTGAGACTCCGGCTGCCTATTGGCTTGTGGCAGCAACGACGGCCCCAAATTCGTTGCTGGAACATCCACTCTGGCTTGGTCGGCCAGATTCTGCCGCAATTGGTGATTGGGAGCAGCATCATTCATAGGATTCCGAAGCTGGGTTGCTTCCTTGGAGTGTACATAGTCTCCAACGCCCATTGTGAATTAAATAAAGCGGTGAGGGTGGGGAGAGGAATTGGACGGCAGATCAAATCATACAAGAAGAGACAACTGAAGAGAAATATCAGTGCGCGATGTTCTATAAGTGAGGACGCTTGGCCTCCTGGGATGATCTAAGGGGCGGGGCCATTCATGGTGGTTGGAGAGACGATAAATGAGTCTTGGTCGGAGTTGCCCAACTTATCGACACGCGCGGGAACTTTCAAGGCACGCGAGGCTGCCACGAGGTCACGTGCGACAGACCGCCAGCCGATGGTTGCGATGTTCAAACTAATTCTCGATAGTCTACAGTACTGTCTAGTGTTTATGTAAAAACCATATCACAGACCCAAAATTCGCATCATATCCTCCTCCAAACAAGGGCTAAGCGAAATGGTAGTGTAGCCATCTCCGAAATCCTTCTTTCGCAATAGTATGCGGCAACATTATATACATGAATCCCCTCTTCAATTTGAAGCAAAATTATCATCATCAATATGAAAATCCTCGAGTGTAGAAGTCATCCCTTTGCCACGCCTTCTAGCTTTCTCAAAAAGCGCTTGCGATCTTTCGATCTCATTTTCCCTCATTTCCGCCGCCCGTCTCTGTTCTCGTCTGACCTGGATCGATTCATCCTGTAGGTCGTCTACCAGCGCCGTCCTGTGATCATCGTACTCATCGTTCTCATCCTCCGGGTAAGGCAAGGACGACACGAACATATCGCCGATCCACAGCGCAATCATGCCCCTGAGTTCGAGTAGGTCGGAGGAGTCGGAGTATGGAGGAGACACCATAACTTCGTCCATTCTAGCCGCAATCTTTTGAGCCTGGCTAAGTTCGTTCTTCTTAACTTCTGCGAGGAGGGTCCGGGTTCTATTTCGGGAGCCGCCATGGCCATCAAAATCGGACGTTGCATCTTCCTCTTCCGAAAAGTCTGACGAGTTCTCTTGATCCTCCAGGATCTTTTGAGAAGTCATCCGATTTTCTTCCTGAGTGACATAAACCCAAAGACCGAACATGGCCGCATAAAAGTGCAAGGAGCTTATAGCATCCGGATCTACCTTTCGAAAGGGATATTGCATGATTAACGTTTCGTAATAGTTTTTAGCATCTTCGAATCCTTCCCGAGTGAAGAGCAGCTTAGATGGCCCCGTCGCTTGAGCGACTCCATTGGCTGCTTGACACGCATTGTCGGATATCTGACGGCCGCGCCGGAGCAATATCTCAGCCCCGATGCCCCATCTTTCCTCGACTCGCACATCAAGAGGAGTCCCGTTATACTCTTCGCGAAGAAGCAGTCCCCATGCCCTTCCAGCCCGAATGTAATCTCTTTGGAGAAGGCAGCGGTGCAGGATAGAGGAGAGGACGGCAAAATGCTGGTGTCGAAGATTACCCTGATGAGCAGCAGACTGCGGGGGATAGATAGGAGATGATAAGGACGACAGTTCTTTCAGAATCTCGCCCTTAGTCTGTCGAGGTGCTTTCGCATCTTTGGCAGGGCCGTGTGGGAAATCCCCGCCCGGTAGTTCTTGATTAAAAGGAAGTCCGGCAATACGGTATTGATGTGCTTCATCCGGCGACAATGTCAGAGAGGGGCCAGAGGGCGCTCTGTCTGATGCAGCATCCGTTGTTTCGCCCTCGGTATCTGCATGGGCATTGCCCGAATCATCCAGGCTTTTTTTACGTTTCTTCGTTTCATACTGAGCCGCACGCAGACTAACGGGTTGTCGCCATGAATGCAGTGGAAGAGAAAAGGCTGACACCGAAGGAGTAAACGCCATGAAGTCCTCTGTCGTCAAAACGCAGGTGGTCTCCTTATCCCTCGAGGGATGATAAGCTAACGACCATGGAGGCTGGCGGTTAGGGTAGTTGCATACGCCAGGCTTTGGTAGAATGAATCCGACTAGTTGACGAATAAGATTGATTTTCTGTCTTTGATTGACGTCAAGAATCAATCGAGAGCTATAGTGGGGAAGCAAATGCGACGTGTTGAACAGAGGGAATGAAAGCGAAGAATGGAAAAATGAAAAGCAAAGGGAAGATCACCAGCCAAGACCGATAGATCAGATCCGAGAGGAAGCCAGGCATCCTCAGTGGCTCCCGTTAAGGCTCACCTACATGGCCTCAGGCCCCACCCAGCCGGTTCCGACGGAAAACGTACGCGAGTTCTGCTGTAACTAAGAAACAACAAGTACTCCATACCCCGGGGTAAACGGGATTCTTGCATGTCCGTTGCTAGGACCAGTACCTCCTACGGAGTAATTCACTACCTATTGCAAATCAGAGAGAATCATTAATAATCAATCTGAAGATTTACTCCGAAAGTCACGGGGCGGCAGGGTGAAGACTTGCCTAATCGGGCCAAGGCTAGTCCCGAACGGCGCCTAAAGGTCAGCAAACCCGCCAAACCGTCCAAACCGCCCAAATAATATGGCCAAAAGACCCCCCGTTATCGTTCACCTCCCGTCGTCGTCATCGCCGCTTCCCTTCTCTCCTACAACCCCTTCATCCCTCCCACCTCTTCCCTCATCCCCGCGGACCAAGCCGTCAATATCCGCCCGTCCCCTACTATTGACTGGCCTCCCGACCTGGTTGTCGTGGGGTTCTCTCCAGAAGCCGGTCGAACCCTTTCTTTTTATCTTCCGACTCCTCGTCACGGTAACTGAGACCGTTGGCACCTGCCGCTCCGACTCCCACAATCCAGTCCCTTCTCGATAATAGGCAGCTCGATTCGTTGGTCTTTCGAAACCTTCGCCTCTTTTCTAGCGTCACTCTTTTCGCGATCTTTAGCGACTCAACTGCGTTAATCCTACTTAGATAATCGATCTATTGGGAAAGTCGACAACGGGGACTGCTTGCTCTCCGACGCAGGCATCTAGGTCTTTTGGGATATTCAGATCCGTTATCTTGGGGGTCAGCTTTCACCTGAATTGTCCAATGGTATGTACTCCTCGTGATATATTTCATTCGCTCTTCTAGGCGTCCTGGGGAAAGCTGCTGGCAATCGGCTTCGAGAAGCGCTGCCGCGGAAGTTCATCAACGCCAATCTTGTCGCTTTCACTCCTGGGTCCTGCCCCATCTCTATCCATTCCGTTTGCCATATCTAAATTTCTCATTACGATCCTTTCTTCTCAATTTTGTATTTTATCCCTCCGTTGAGTTCCTTTCGCAAGTGCCTACTGTCTTCGCTCGTCTTACTAATGCGACATTTTGTTTTAGTCATCTAGTTGTCGATGGCAATAGGCGGTTTTTAAATACCCATCCCCACGTCCCGATCTTGCACTCTTGTTACTATGGGACAGTCTTCTTCGACGCAAAGAGACCACCGTCACGATAATCACCTAGAACACATCTTATCTCTTCAGGCAGCCCGTGGTCGGGTTAATAGTGATGCGGACATGAACGACGGGCGCGGCATTGAGAGGACCGGGGACTATGAGCCCCAGTCAAGACCCGAAATAACCGACAGTGGCATTCAGACTTCCCCTTCCGGTCAGCAGAGCCGGTCCGCGGAGTCCTGGCACCCGATGATTTCCGGAGAACAACCAGGAACCTCGAGACACATGGCAAGCATCCAGGAGGAGAATGGGTCACAATATGAATCGAGTCAGCGAGAATACCGGTCGGCTATCTTCGCTCGCATGGCTGCTAGAAGACAGTCCACTATGTCGCGGTTAGGGTCAAGGATCTTGCCAAATTCGGTTATCCGTGGGCTTCTCAGCAGCGAAGAAGAAACGCCTGCCGAGGGCCACGCTCATCGGCATGGAGTCGTTTCGCGAACCCTCCCACGCTCTGAAGTTTCTCACAGTAGCAGTCGCTTCAGCCCCTTCAGCTCCTTTGGCTCAAGAGGTATCAGCCGACGACGTTCGATTCGTGGGCCTTATTTTATTCCGCGCAGTGACCCGGGCCTGATTCCGGACACCACTCATCCTTCTACATTCTTCGATCCCACCGCAGACCATACGCCAGAAAGCACGAGAGGATCTTGGCGTCGAAGTGCTCGATTGCATCGTGTTCGACACTCCCTGTCAAGCCCTATCACGCATATGTTCGGTCAGTCGTCCTCGAATATGACAGATCCCATCACGACCAATGGGCAACAACATCCTTTGGGCTCATTGTCCAACGAGCCACCACATACCTTCCTTCCGCATCCAGGACCCATGGACTCTCGTATGGACTTCGACGAGCCTCACGAACTGGACTCCGTTGAGCCTGCTGTAGGAAGCACTCGTCCTACTTCCCCGATGTTGTCGCAGTCTGCACAGGGATCGACGGGCTTACGACAACTCCCAGGCCTATTGCGAGCCAGATCATCTAGGGCTATGCGGCGGGAGGAGCAGACGCCTCTGTCGCGCGTCCTTCAGCTAGCCGCTGCTGCCATCGCCGCCCAGCTTTCCGGTACTACCGGTCCAGTAATGCCTAATATCCAAGCGCTCGGTAATGACGGTTTGGACGGCTCTCTGGAAAACTTCATTCAAAGCTTGCAGCACGCGACGTCAACACAGACAACGCCAAATGATTCACCCGGGCCCTCTGCTGGGGACACAGGGACTGGGCCAGCGACACCTGTCAATTTCTTGCGAGTATTCAGATTTGCCAACTCGGAGAACGCTGGCCCACTTGGCATGTCGAACCGCTCTGCGGGTGAGTCCGATAACCTTGGCAGAAGTGCGGATGGGATGGATTTAGAGAATCCAATGGACGGACCCGAGGGACGGACTGTCACCCTGGTTGTCGTGGGAGTTCGATCGGTACCATCAGGCAACGGCCCGAGGAGCGACCAACAGGCCAACGGTGGTCCCGGCTTAGATGCCTTACTCCGTCTGCCGTTCTTGTCTCCAGGAAACCTTGCCCGTGGCCCGGAAAATGGTTCTACTCTTTCACCGCGTGCCGAAGGACGTCCAAGGTTCCCCATAACTAATCGAAATTCGGTGGGAAGTCCTAGTACCCTGAACATCAATGGTGACACCCCGCAATTGCAGGGCCACCAAAGCCCGTCGCGGCGGCTGTCTGACACTGGAGGCCGGGTGCCTCTGTCCTCTGTCCCTTCTGTGCCCTCGGAAAGTCCTCCGGGCCCTCATCCTCCTCCATCCACACCCGCCGAGCCAGGCCTTTCGGCGGTTTCATCAGGGGCTTCAACCCCCAGCCGCAGGCCATCCGCTGCGTCGATGATGCCCCCAAGCGTTCTGCTGCAGCCTGACGAGAACCGGACTATGCAGCCTACGGTTGAAGTTGACGAAAATCCACCTTTTACGGCATCGCACCAGCGACGTCGAAGTGATTCTGAGTATGCTCGGCATCGTGATCTGGGCTCCGGTGCGGTCCGGCGCAATGGAGTTGTCGAACCCGACCATGCGCCACCACCTGCCGGCAGAAGTTGGCTGATCTACGTGGTTGGCACAAACCTTTCCGAGAACCACCCTGCCTTTGCAACTCCAAGCCTGTTCACCGACGTGAGATTGACACCGTCCCCACTTGCTCTTGGTTTCGTTCTTACTGACTTTACTCGCCAGAACCCGACTTACGAGGATATGATACTGCTTTCATCTCTCTTGGGTCCCGTGAAACCACCCGTTGCCACCCAGGAAGAACTCAGCTCCGCCGGCGGTCTGTTCCGTCTCGTGGAGTACGGCGGATCGCTCACCGCGGAGGCTTTGGATGGTGCTGGCACCATCCATATTCCCGACGGAGACCGCTGTCTGATCTGTCTCAGCGACTACGAGGCAGCCGAGGAACTTCGCCAACTGAACAAATGCAAGCATGTCTTTCACCGAGATTGCATAGATCAGGTTCGTCCGATTAACCCCGATGGTCAAATCTACAATAGCCGTATCAGCTAACTTTCTATCAACTAGTGGTTAACAACCGGTCGCAACTCTTGCCCCCTGTGTCGAGGCCAGGGCGTTGTCGATTCAGCCAACTCGGATGGCGCGACGACTGGACCGAGCCCTGCTGCAGTGTGAGCAAGTCCACCTTTCGCCTTGGATTTCTCTACCCTTCCAGGATTCCGAACTATCTCTTTTTAATAGCCCCGAACCATCTGAGGATTATTAGCATGAAGCGTCTATTTAGCAGTCTCACGAACTTGTTTCCTTCCACCTTCTTCCTTTCTCATAACGGATATCCAGTGCATCTTTGATCTTTGATCTTTCTTTTTTCTCTTTCACAGAACGCCCCTGTTTTGGTTCTTGGGCTTCGGGCATCAATGGCATTCAAATTGTGCGGCGTACCCAGTTCGCTATGTTCCGGTGGCCTGGATGTCTTCACCATGATACTACCCACACGGGGTTCTTGTACTTCATTTTTCTATGTGACATACCTTATTGGATATTGAAATTTGCCTCCCTGCTCCTGCGCGTGGCTGTATAATCTATCAGTCTTCTGGCTCCTCGAATCTAGCATATAGAGTATAGATCGTAGGACAACGCCCCGCCATCTCCGCCCCTCCACGCTGACTCATCCCACCCGCGTCGACCCCTCCGGTATCGTCCCGCCGTGCTTGCTCCGGCGATTTCTGCGGTTCATTCGATCTGCTTGGGCTTCAAGTCTTCAACTCTTCAGGAACTTCTTACCTCGCGCAATATTTGCGACCAGTGTTAATTAGACGACCGCTTCCAAAAGAACCTCTCCGCGCACCTCTCCCCCGTCTCCGTTGCGACATCATACCCCTCCACGTATTCTATACCCCTCGATCTCTGACGAAAAAGGGATTCACCTACAATGGCAACTCCCGTCCGCATCACCGTCCTGATATCCGGAAACGGTTCCAACCTACAAGCGGTTATTGACAAGGCAAGCGCGGGTGAACTCCCGGCGACCATTGTCCGCGTCATCTCGAATCGCAAGGACGCCTACGGCCTCGAGCGCGCCCGCAAGGCCAACATCCCCACGGAATACCACAATCTCGTCAAATACAAGAAACAATACCCCTCGACCCCCGAGGGCGTTCAGCAGGCGCGGGAAGCCTACGATGCAGAATTGGCGCGATTGGTGCTCGCCGATAGTCCAGAGCTGGTCTGCTGTCTCGGCTTCATGCATGTGCTTTCGCCGAAGTTCTTGATACCGTTGGAGGAGGCGAAACTCCGGATCATTAACCTTCATCCTGCCTTACCGGGGGCGTTCAATGGGGCCGTAAGTTGACTTCCGTATTTCCCTTCGTGTCATTTCTCGGGCAGATGGGAGTGTATACCCGAAAAATCAATAACTGTCATGAATGATCGGGCGTGAGGAAAGAGAAGACGGTGCTTTTCTTGTCTCAATCATACGACGGCTTCTGATTGGGCGTTTCGGTCACCGAAGAACCCTCACTAACCTTCTTCCTCGTTGATAGAATGCTATCGAGCGGGCTCACGCTGCTTGGCTAGAAGGCAAAATCGACAAGACCGGTGTGATGATCCACAACGTGATTTCAGAGGTCGACATGGGCAAGCCGATTCTGGTGCGGGAAATTCCCTTCGTCAAGGGAGAGGACGAAGACCTAGAAAAATTCGAAGAGAAGGTTCATCGTATCGAATGGGGCGTTGTGATTGAGGGCGTGCAGCTCACGATCAAGGAGATCAGAGGGTGAAATCATTAAGTCTACTATAATACCACAGGGGCTTTGCCAACAAGAACCAAAATTTTGCATGAAAAATCAGGCGATGATTTCATGATTTCAATGATACACAGGAAATCTACTTTAGGGGGTTGTGAAAATTGAAAAGGAAAGGTAGGCTCAGTTCGTTGATCTTACTGTCCACTCAAAAATAAGGATGTTTCTGTGTGGCGCTAGAACTAATCAGAGAGCAGGAAGTCATGATATGATGCAGAAAACAAAACAAATTCCATTATAGAGAAAAGGGGGGATGAGGGGATGAGCTCACGCGGCGCCACACTCGTAAATTGATCTCTCTTTTCCCATTCTACAATTCTACTCGCTCCACGATACCTTAATCAATAGTACCCTTCTGCGGAAGTATCTGCATGCACCGGCTTCATCCTATGGGGCTGTGAGAGAACACTACTGCCGGTTGGCATCGGTGATAGTGGCCCCAGTGTTTCTGTTATGTGGGCAGACTGAAAGAATGGGTCCTCATCTTTTGACTCATGACCATCAGCCAAGCCATGATGATACTGTTGGGAAGTTAAAGGCTAATCAATGGCCTACGTATTACGAGTACGATGGCCCATATGATCCACGACGTACTAATGATCAACGCCTAAATGCAGCGTACCAAACATATAGTTTCAACGCCGGACTGAGAACTGGATACCACATACTGTTCACTGGTCACTGGTCACTGGACAGCATAGTACTGTCCCGTATCCACAACACTAGCATCTAGGACGGATCACGGAGGCACAAACGCCGACTATGGAGCCTGTCTGGATCTGATAAACCAACCATTGCCTCTCATCTAAACAAAAGACAGGGTTCAGAGTTCAGAGTCAAACTTGAGGGAAATGGAAGGGATGGGGAACTTTGCATCACCCTGCATCGTCAGACCCAGTCAATGCTCAATAATATACAACTTTTCCCATCGTGGTCCTCAACAAGGAAGGTGGCAACCGGCCAGAAAGGTCTCTAAATTAATACAGGACGGAGGCAATTAGTGTTTATTAATTAACAACAGGTTCGGTGGCATTTGTCTCATGCTCTGCCGGTGGACAACGCCACGGAGATGAAGTAAGAGTCATGGTCCGTTGACCACCCGGGCCGGTTGGGTTAGATGGCGATGTTCAAGGTGAGAATGTGGAAAGGGTTCTTTTTCTGCTTTCTGCCAAAAGTACAACGATGCAAGCTCACACTACGGAGTACAGATCAGGAACCCCAGAAAAGGTTTGCCTTCCGGTGTCAATTTTCCCGTGGCCAATAGGTTGACAGAGAATGTAGGGTATCCCGTAAGGTAGACAGACAGAGACACTACTGCGACTACTCATGCAGCATCATCCTTCGAGCAAAACCAACCAACCTTTCATTTCCTGGTCGCCCCCGGCCCGTTTGGTGAAACGTGTTCAAGCCTCTGTTGATCTGATCTTCATCTGGCGTCGGTGAAACGGTAGGTTGAATTGGTCGTTGCCTGACAGACCTCCTGCCTAGAACTTTCTCTTTTGCTGTTGATGGCCTGGCTTAACTCCGATGATGGATACCGTGTGGCTGTTCCATCCTGCCTTCCGTGTCATGATTCATGAATCACTCAACCGTGGAATGGGGACAAGGGAGACCACTCGGAACGTAGAATGCAACTATGCATCCGTGACTGGGGCCTTTTTTCCTTCTTGAGCTTGGTACAGACACAAGACCAATCCAGATGGGGCTGGTCTGGTTGAACAGGACAATCAGATTTGCTCCCAAGCTCTTTATGTCCGAGGTCCCCGATGGGATTAGGATTAAGATAGGCTCAGACGGGCAGGAACTAACGCAGAAAAAGGAGACTTGCCACCGACCACCGTTGAGCATCCACGGAAAACTGTTTACATGGCGATGGGACGCTCATCATACTCCGTACAATGAGTGGGGGTGGGATAAGAACTCCGACTGTCAGTCTATTTCTTTCTCTCTCGTATGATATGGGAAAATTCCAGCCAGGCTAGAGAGAATGGATCCGGAGTCACTCATACCCACAACCCTGTGGAGAGGCCTGGAGGCCTGGAGGGCGAAAGGACAAGGGAAAGAAAGAGAAAATGGAATGGATCTCCGACCAACCATGCTTTTCTTCCCACCCCCCCTCCATGCAGGCGCCCACTCCTGGTCCTATAGGGAAGCAAAGGACAAAAAGGAAAAATAATAAGAGAAGGGAACGCGGTAGGGATCATCCTCATGACAGACGATAGGCCGAGAAACCGGACAATCCAAGCCAGTCTAGTCAAGACTCATGAGGGCTCATTTCCCACCAGGGCCAATCCGTTGATATGACGGGCCAATCCGTCGGCACCTCTACCCACCGAGGATGCTCACACCGGCCTTCATTGGATTATGCCGGCTGAAATGGCACTGATTGGTATTGGCCACGGTTATTAACCTGATTTCGACCCCCGTTCCTCACCTTTTACTAGACTGGGCATGGGGACTGAGCTCCATTGTCGAATGTGAATGCACTACGGTGTACGCAGTGCACATTTGCTAGCCAACACCGGTTTAGTCCAGAACTGACTATTGCTGTGACGGATGTCGCTGGTCTGGTCTTGTCTGGTTCATTGCCCACATGCCAGGGTTGTCCCACTTCCCTAGGTACACCGGTACTTCCGTAGACAATTCCGAGGGAAGAAGAGGACAAGGAGGGGGTGAATGATTCATGGAGCAAACAACACTTGGCCGCGGAGAATACCTGATTGGGAGACTCCAGGGGGTTTTTCCATGCCTGGGGACCAAGATTCTTCCCCCCAAAGAGGACAAGACCGCAGCAGAATGGAGAGACCGGGAAAAAGAAAAAAACTTGTAGAGAGTACCAGACTCTCCGAGTACCACCCAAACCACACACAATGGCGCACATACCAGAAAGACCCTCTTGGCAGTTCATCCCCGTGGGACCCGGTGAAAAAGGACCCGGAGAAGAAGGGGGCAAAATACGAAGTTTCCTCTGCGGTTGTGGGCACTGCGGTTTTACACACCGAAGACCTTTCACTAACCTGGACAGTGAACACAGAATTTTCAAATTTCCATGAAAAAACACGCGGCTGTCAATATCTTCGTCGATCAGGAACATCCGATTGTGCCGATATACTTTCGGCCAAGGGAAAAAGTCCATCCCAGTTCCAGGGAAAAAAATTTTTTTTTCTCTTCTCTGGTGAGTATCCGAAAATAGGATGATGTGCAATAACGACCAAGACCTTATCGTCAAGATGATCGCCACGAGTCAGTCCATTCGGCATAGTATAGTAAGTCTAGGACGCGCGAAGGGAAAGGGGAGGGCGCACAAGGGAACGGAGAACGGAGATCAAACCACCAAACCATCAAACCATCAACCATGCACCATCAAGCAACGATGACTGATGGCCACGACCGAAAGGAGCTCCTCTAGTGGCCCGCTGTCAATAACGCTGGCGCCTATAGCATTCGATTATTATCACTCCACCGCAAGTCCTTTTCCGGATCCACTCCGGACGAACGTTTCGGCAAATTTTACCCAGCTGGTCCTGGACTGTCCGTTTCAGATTTGCCGACAGGGAAATGAATTTATGAATAATCTTTGTGTTCCAGATTTTCCTTAATGCCCTCACGGCACTGTCTGTGCCAGAACTACCAGGGAGGGAGGCATGGACCTTCCCTTGAAAGGGGCAACTCGAGATATAAACTTTGGATCAAGTGGAGGGTGCCACGAGGGTCGTTTTCATTAGGTACATAGTCGGATCTCTTTCGTTCTGTCTGTCCGTTCTTCCGTTGTGTTTTTGTTTTTCTCGTTATGTCTTTATTTTTCTTTACTTTCATCGCCGTGGTTCCTGTGGTCATGGCTCAAGCATTCTGTCTGACCTCTGGATGAGATTGACACAGGGATCTTGCTGAAATTCTGTGTGCATATCCATCCTTTACGACCTTCTTCCTACTCCCTACTACTCCATGGAGAGAGTCCTCCCGTGATAGGTCATTCCAGGGCTTGGACCAGCCCCGGGGACCTTCTCTGCTCGGGGTCCACCAGAGATTATTACTCCGTCCAGAGTATGATTCCGGATGGATCTGTCCGGACCACCAGATAGCCTTTCTGTCGCGTTCCGTTTCTTCCAGGTCCCAAGAAGCAACTTCTGCAGGCAGATATGCTTGAAACAAGTAGTGGAGAGCATCGCCTTGGCTGGCTCCTTGATTCTTCTTTTCCGTTCGGACGGGTTTCTGGGATCCCTAGTGCCAGATGCTATTAACGTGAAATCCGCACATACCAACGCTAGTGTCAACTAGTGGGCTCCATCTGCCCATGTCGGAGGCTACTTGACTTCCTATGCCCCGGACGTCGTGACGGGGACTTGGTCCAGGGGAGAGAGCGTGTCTCTGGGAAGATGAACCGCCATACGGTCGTAGACTCGTAGTAGTAGAAAATTGGAGGTGGTGAGGTCATTTCCACGCTCCGAATCATGACGATTTCCATCCAGAGAGAATGTTCGGGACTATGCAATGCCGAGCCATATTTAATAATGTGATGGAATAATAGGATTAGAAAGATTAGGATTAATATTATTATAATAATTATCAGCATTATTCTGCTTGCCATGCCGCAGGTGAGGAATTTGCCTTTTGGAGGTTTTGGGAGTAGTTCGAGGTAGTTTATTCCCTTTTGGGCTCATTCTGTACTTCTCTTTCTTTCTTTCTTTCTTTCTTTCTTTCTTTCTTTCTTTCTTTCTTTCTTTCTTTCTTTCTTTCTTTCCCTTTTCTTCTTCATCGCCGTCTTCCTCTTCTTTTACTTCTCCATCCTCCATCCTCCATCCTCCCTCCTTCTTCCTCTATCTTTCTCTTTCTCTTCTCCCCACGCTCGTTACCCTTTTCATTCCCTCGTTTCATTGAACCTCCTTCCCCCTCCTCCCTTCCCTTCCTCTCTCTTCCTCTCCCAATTTCCGTCTTTGTTCCCACCGCAATCCTTCGTCCTCTCTATCTCCCCGCCTTACCGCTCGGGGGCATGCCAATGGTCGGGTCTCCTGCCCTGCGATTCCTCCTGACAGCCGCTGCCATCTAACGATCGTCACCACCGCCACCATCGCCGTGCCAGTATATAACGGTCTTTTCGCCGGCAACCCGCCTGGCTCCTTGAATGCAATTCGTGCCATTCCCATCACCATGGCGCATCCGTACACCCCGCCCCAAGCCTCCCTGACCGGCTATCTGTCGGGTCCGATGCAACCCATGCAGGAACCACCGCTCTCGGCCTACTCCGTGCTGGGGGGCGGGCAATATCCGGAGAGCGTCGCGTTGTGGCACAATCCACCCGCGCAACCTCCCCAGCCGGGCTTGCCCATCGCCACTTCGTACCCGCCGGCTCCGAAGCCGCAATCCCTCCTGCAACCACTCCCGGACCAAAAAAAACACAAACGCACCAGAAGCGGCTGCTTCACCTGCCGATCTCGTCGCATTAAGTGTGACGAGGCCCGACCCGTCTGTGACAGATGTCGAAAGGGCAATCGCGACTGCGTCTACCCATCCGCCTCCGCCGGTTCCGCCTCCAAAGCCGGATCCCGCTCCGGTGTGAAACCTAAAGCTCCGCGGCCCCATTCGCGTGGCAGCGACTCGTCCGGTTTGCTCGAACATGAGGAGGTGCGCGCATTAGAGCCTATCTTGGACGAGGAGGAAGAAGACGAGGAGGAGGAGGAAGGGAGCGTGGGATCGAGCGTGCGACTGTCGCCGACGACGGGGCCGCCGCCAGGTTCTGCTCGGCCGAAGCAGGGGTTGCCCAAGAAGCAGAGCACCCAATCTCTGGGGAGGCGCCCGGCAAAACAGCGCGTCGCCACCGCCACGGAGGGGTCGGGCTTCAGCAAAGACGTTAGCAGCTCGCCGTCGACAGAGGCATCGTTTAGGTTCGACTCGACCAGCGCGCGCTCGGCGAGTATCGGCTTTGCCGCCCATGAACCTCTGGTGCTGCCTAGTCTGGGTCATCTCCCCGAGGATCTGCGGTTCTATCTCTCTTTCCATCAAGAGTATATGTCCTACCGACATTATTTCTTGCGCCCGCCCAGTAATCGGTTTGTCCATCAGAACATCGTGGAATACGCGCTGCGCTATGAACCTCTGCTGTATGCCGTCGTGGGATTCGCTGCGTACCACCATTGCATCCACACCAGCAGTGGCAAGCTCTACACCTTCCTCAAATATTATAATAAAGCGTTGACGTTGTTGCGAAAATCCTTGGGCTCCGGTGAGCCGCATTGCGAGGCAACTTTGATCACTGTACTAGTGCTCACCACTTTCGAGGTACGTTCTCTGCTATTGATAAGGTAATCGCACATTTCGTGCATCGAACCAGACAGATGGCTGACTTTTCTCAGGAATTCATAGGGGACTGGGTGAACTTAATCGACCACCACCAAGCTGCTCATGCTTTGATGCGAGAGCTACTAACGCCCGAGTCGGCATGCATAAACCCGCTGCATAGTCATATCTTCCTATGGTATGCTCGATTTGATGTCGTGGCCGGAATCCTGGCCGGCAACGAGACGGTTCTGGGCCGTGATTGGTACATTGCGAAGGAAGAATACGATGCTGAACAAGCCGCCATGCATCCCGACGATGCGGAGAAACAATTGGCGTTGGCAGCATCAATCAATCGTCGGTTCGGGCTAGAAATGGCCTCGTTATATGCAAAACTGTCCCGCGGGATGATCCCGTTCGATCAATTTGTCGCTCAAAATGATCAACTGGAGCAGAATCTGGATCGCATCAAACAGATCTTGGATCAATACAATAATTCGGAGTTTGCGGTCTGGGACTACCCAAACAAGAGGCCTCTTACCGATGAGGATATCGTGGATCCATACGTTCCGGGAGGCTTGCATCAGGGTCCGTTGTGGGACATCAATATCGCGTGGATTGACTATTACTCCACCAAGGCCATGTTCAAATACCAGTCACTCTTGTCGGTAAAGAAGTCGTCATGGGAGGAGCTGGGCAATCTCGCAATGGAACAGTGCCGGTTAATCGAGGCGATCGAACGATGGCCGGACAAGGAGAGCGGATATATCTTTGCTTTCAAAAACAGTTTGGGAATGGCCAGTCTGTTTTCCCCCAAGGATGACAAACACGTCATGTGGAGTCGGAGGAAGTTCGCCCTCATGGAGCAAAATGGGTATGTTCGCCTTAGGGCGCAATTTTTACTTCAAAACTGACCTCGATCTTTTTCAGATACGTGACTCCGCCAAAATTCCGGCAGGCCCTGGCCGCCGTGTGGGAATTGCCCGAGCTCAATCACTGGTGGCTTCCGCACGACGAGGGTTATCCTAGCATTCTGCGCGAGGTTCGCGCAATGACGGAAGAACGAACAAACAACCCGCGAGATAATTTTCGTGAGAGCGTGCGAGACTTGAAGACGTTGTTCTGGAATATCAGCCTGGACGACACCGAGAGTGAAAATAGCCCGGTGTCCACTGGGCCGGAAGGACGTTGATCAGATGGGAATCCTGCGGATGACGAAGACTCCACCTGTTTCAAATCCCTCGGGGCTTGCCATTTCCAGAATCACTCCGTGACAGCCCAAAAGTGGCGAAGTCGAAGCTCGATCGATCGCGGTGGATCCGATGGTACTGGACAAGTCCCGTTAGGGTAACCCTCTCCGAGACCGGCGCGACGTCAAACCGTTGGTTAGCGTCTGTCCCCAGGAGCTTAAATGATTTTATTCAATTGTCCCTCGATCAATAGAAAAAGGAGAACAAAATCACAACAGGAAAGGATATCCCGTCTTCATCGGGACGGGCCGGGTCTGGCGCTTCTACTGGATCTTCTGGAGCTTAGACTTCTGGTCTCTCATTCCCATTCCTTCTCCCCACTCGACCGGCTTGCTTTTGTTTTTGGAAGGATCTGCATCGCAAATTCTGGTTTAGATTTTTCTCTTCTATTGGGGTCTTAGCGGCGTTGTGCATGGCGTAGACTTGTGTCTCTGGCATGGGCGCACTTGGATCTTTTGGTATTATACCCTTTGATGCACTGAATTTTGGATCGATTCTGATTTCTTGATTTCTTTTGCTTGCGAGATCCTGGAAATACTGTCTATCCTTGGTCTGGAGGGCCTTGTGCCACTCATATACATATCACTTACATCGTTGTCATGTCTACGTGATACATAGTGATACATATACCCAATGCTATTGGACATGCAATTAACACCGTCATCTTCGCTTTCTAGTGCCCTCCTCTCTCTTCGATTCTTTGTCATTTGGAGTAGCATGTCGTGTCAGCCAGGTCTTTTTGTATGACGTGATATTCATTGCATGTTTGGTCGCAGAAATCTGTCTACGCGCACCCCATTACTACCGTCTACTCTCAATATCTCGAAAAGGCACTTCTCGAGCTGGAATCACCGTCTCCAATCCCCCTGCTAATTCACCAAGTCCGTCGTCTCCATCCACGTTCTCTCCCCACGGCAAAGAATCTACATCAACCTCCCATCCAAGCAGGCACCGCAGCACAACCCCGGCTCCGGCCTTGCTCATCACCGAATTCATCTCCTTACACCGCTCATCGCAAACACATTCAAGACACCCCTGCGGGGTCAAACACTGACAGGCCTCGACGCGTGATACCGCCCGACGGAGGAGCACGTCGATAAACTCAAACGCTTTGCTTGCGATCCCCGAGCCGCACGATCCCCCCTTAGCGTCATAGAAAGTCAACCGAGCTGGCCGTTGCCGCGCAGGCGGCTGCAGCAGTTTTCGGATATTCTCCTTCTCGGCTGCAGTCTGATTCCGGGCATCGACGGCCATTTTCAAGTTCTTGCCTAGTTCTTTCTTGGCAACCTTGCATTCGGTGCGGACGTCGCCGGGGGAGGAGATGACGAAGCTCGGGAGCAAGGACAGGACGGCGTGCTCGGCGGCGTGGATGGCGGCGGCGATGTTCAGATATCGGGATTTGAGAATTTCGAGCGCGGTCTTGGGCACGTCCAGCCACATGCCCTTGGTAAGGATATCGATGGGCGGGTTATCCACCATCACGGCATCGAGCACACGGCCGCGCTTATCGACCTTGAAGAACCCGTAGACAACGGCGTGGATGCGGACAGATCCATAGAAGGCGCGCGACGGTGAAGACGACGTACTAGGGATGAAGCGCATCGTCTCCGTCTCAATGGGATCAACGTCCGTATAATCACGTTGCATAGTGCCCCAGTCTACGTGCACGCGAACGACACGCGCGAATCGCTGGTCCGGATTGAGTTCTTTGACCAGGTACGTCTGTCCCTGGTGGAGGAAGATTCCACCTTCATAGATGGAGAAGAACGCCCGCGAGGCCTCGACTTCCTCCAGAACCATGTTCCGAGCGTTGGTGACGTCAATAACGGCGAAGTGCTGGTCTTCGGTGTCGCGGATTGAGACGCAGCGCGAGGGCTGGGGACGAAACCTTTCGTGACAGTGATAGAAGCCCAGTCCATCACGCATGAGGCGTGTCGCTGCAACCTCGGGGAGTTGTTCACCGAAGTAGACGCGGTCTTCTTCCGGGCGGATGGGCATCTCGAACGCGGCACATTGCACATGTCCCTCGAAGATGAGTTCGTTGGTCAGATCCACCTGCAGCTCGCAATTGGGCCGAGTGAAGAGCTCCTCCGGGTTTTTCATATAGTGCTGGTCCGTGGGGAATCTATCGCCTACCAGAACGGAGAGGGAATCCTTATTGCGGCGTCCGGCACGTCCGCTTTGCTGGCGCAGGTTGGAAATGGAATACGGGAAACCCAGTGTGATAACAGCGTCCAGGGAGCCAATATCAACGCCCAGTTCCAGAGCGTTGGTGGCCACAATGCCCATTAGTTGGCCTTCGAACATCTCTTTCTCAATGCGCCGACGGTCTTGCGGACTGTATCCGCCTCGATAACCCATCACCAGCTGGCCAACTTCCTGTCTTTCGAGAGTGTGGAATTCGGCCCGCACGGCTTGCAGGAGTACCTCGCACAGTCGCCGAACCCGGCAGAAAGCAATTACTCTCGTGCCCCTGAGAATCAGTTGACAGAACAGCCGTGCCGTTTCAGCGACGGCGTCGCCACGTCCGGAAGTTGGGTCGTCGGGGTCTTTGAACGGTGTGTTCCAACAAATGAATTCCTTCCGACCTGATGGGGAACCATCAAAATCTATCAATTTGACATCGTCGATCCCGAAGACCGCCTTCATATGGTCTTCAGGGTTCGCCACGGTAGCCGAGCAGGAGATAAATCGGACATGTCGGTTTCCTACGGCAGCACAAACTCGACGCAGTCGTCGCATGATGAAAGCGACATGGGATCCAAAGAGGCCGTTGTAAACGTGCAGTTCGTCCACCACGACAAGTTTCAGATTCTTCAGGAACGAGCGCCAAGAGCTTTCCTGCGGAAGAATTGTGATATGCAGCATATCAGGGTTGGTGAAGATGATGCGAGCCTCGTCACGAATGAGGTTCCGGTTTTCCATGGGAGTATCGCCGTCGAAGGTCTCGACTATGGCGTCCTCCAGGCCGTCCATGAACTGCAAGAGCTCCTTCATACTCCGCCTCTGGTCTTGCGCAAGTGCCTTGGTCGGAAATATGTACAAACCTCGACTCGCATGATCTTTTTCAAGCTCATGGAGCATCGGCACCTGGTAGATCAACGACTTTCCTGAGCTGGTTGACGTAGAGACAATGACGTGGTGACCTTCATAAAGGTGGTTGATCGCCTCCGCCTGATGAGAATAAAGCTGAGTAATGCCTTTGGTGTTATACAAGGCATTGACTAGATTCTGGGACAACGGAAACGTCAAGTCACCGTATATAGCAGGCTGGGCCTCAAACACTCGATGTCCCTCCGGTACGATTTGCGCTGTGTACCAGTCCATCTCACGGATCTCGCCGATGATTTCTGACATGGCTTTGCGTTCTTTGGGTATCTCCTTTGGTGCTTTGGACTTCAATGCATGGTGTTCAACCACGTCGTCGGGGGGCACCGGAATCCATGAGTCCTTCTCCCGTTCCAGTTTTTCGACTGGGTCTGTCCCATCGTCCTCGCATTGCACCAGGAACGCCTCGATCGCATCGGTGAACTTCTTGTTTCGTTTCTCAATCAACCCCAGCATTTGTTTCTGGCTGTAAACGGGCATTTTCAAATCCTCGTCCTTCATTTTCCGGACTGGCTTCGTTGCTTCTCCGGTCTTGGAATGTTGTATTTCCCTCTTCAGATCCCCATCCACGAGCTCGAATAGCAACGTCTTCGCCAAGTCAGAGTCATCACCAGCCTCGTCACGTCCATACGACTGAAGCATCTCCCTCTCTCCGACGGTCATCACCTCCAACTTCGCTTCATCCACATACTCGAACCGTACAGCGCGCGGCACAAGGGTCTTCACACGCGCAACATCCTCCACCGTCAGCGCATCGCCACCCATCTGCCCCTGCACGGCCTTTTTGATATTCTCAAAAGTCGTCGCGAAATGCTTCCGCGTACAGCAGAACGTATACACCAGGTTCAACGCGCGATGGGTCCGCGATAGCTTCTTGAACGGATCCGGCCAGGGGCCTGACGGAGTCCTTCGGTTCGGAGGTGTCTTTTTGTCCGAGCTCTTAGGCTGGCCTTTACCTTTTCCTTTGCCTCTGCCGCTCCCTTTTCCATTGTTCGGTAGAGTTAGCCTCGTAGAAGTTTCTGGGTCCGCCGTCGGTTGCTCCGAAGATGTCCTCGAGGAGTAGTCGTCCTCAAGACTCGTAGTTTGCGCACGAAATTCCACCGGATCCTCGCGACGTCGTTTCGCCTTCACCTCTTCACCACATCCCTGCGCGTCTGCATTCGAATCCGGATTCTCGATATTCCCCACCGACGGATACAGATTCCCAGATTCTAGCGTCTCGAGAGACGTTCTTTTCCGCTTCGTCGTCGACACCGCAGGAGGGCCAGCGCGATCCGATTCTGAAGAACATTGCGATTGCGATTGCGATTGGGAGCGTGTCGACATCACGACGTCCCATCCATCGTGTGTTCTCCTTTCCTCCTATCTGTATCTCGTGATGTAACTCCGCCGAGGTGACAGATTATTTATTTACAGGGAAAGAAGGGTCTTTTCGTTCCCAGAAGAGAGCGATGCAAAAAACAAGGAAGGCGACGAACGGGGCGAAAACGACGCGCGATCACGTGATCTGTTCCCGTTGGGTTATCTAATATTACTTGATTCGGTCTAGTTTAGGTGCCTTGCTTGTTTTGCTGCCTCAGGCACCGGTCTTAGATAGGTGGTGGGATCTAGAGAAAGAGAGAGACAAAGGAACGAGGTATTGAACGAGGGGAAATCATCTTCGACATAGGGAAATAGGAATGACAGAAGTAGAGAGAGAGAAGGATAGAGGGAAGAAGAGAATGGAAAAAAAAGAATGAAATGAGATATATTCAAAATCCCCAAGAAAAGGAGAACCCAGAGGAAAAAGAGAAAGAAAAAGAAAAAAGAGGGTAATGGCATAAAGATAGAACAAAAAGAAAAGAAAGAGAGAGAAGAAGAAGAGAAAAGTCCAGACCCCCAAGATCAATACAACCCACCAAACCCAACCAACTGAACCAACTACCTACACAAGTCCCGTCGAGTTGAGTCCCAGCTCCATCTCCAATAAGACTCCGATCCAAACTTAACTCGACCAGACTCCTCGTACCCAAATGCAGAATGCCTACCCAAATCAAGTCCCTGAAATGCAGACGTTTTGTTAAATCCAACTCCCTCTTTCTTTTCAATTGTGACAAGATTAGATGCATGGGCCCAAGCTAGGATCGAGTGACCGGAGGCGTGAGTATGCGTGCGTTTAAGTGTGTTTTGTGTATAGTATTAATCAATAACCCCCGATCCGAGGGGCAGGGGAAGGGGAGGCGATCTGTTGCCCCGGTCCGATGAAATGAAGGGAGAAATAGGGCTTGGGAAATTGTTCTACTGGGATATAGAAAGGGAAGTATCTGGCTCCGGTGTGAACTCGAATCATTTGCGGTTCTGGATGCAATGGCAATGTGTATAAATAGAAGAGAAAAAGAATGGATATGTTCGCTGATCATTGTTCATTGAGGAGGTCGCAAACGACCTGATAAAGCTCCTTGGCGTGGTCTTCGTGCCCGGTCTAAAAGGTGAGAGATTTCGTCGATTAGCTACTGACTGGATGGTGACTTTTGTCCGGACAAGAGAACCATGTTCACTCAAGGAATGAAGGACTTACCCGCAGCAGAATGGGGACAGAGCGACCACTCTCCAGACTGGCCAGATGAATATGTTTCGAGTTCGGTTCGTTGCCCGCGGCGTCGCCAACCGTCATGCCCTTGAAGATGGGAGTGTTCAGCATCACCCGTCCGACACCGTCGGCGCGCATAATCAGTCGAGTGGATTTCTTGTCCTCCTTGCCGTCCGTGACCTTGACGTTGACCTTGAATGTGCCGATTCCGCGCTCGCGCCACTCCTTATCGGAGAACTGGAAGAGTTTGGCTTTGCAGGAGAAGTACGTCTTCTCCTCTTCTTCGCCGGTCTCGACTAATGGGAATATTAGCATTTACGACAGGTAAATAAAGTTTGGAAGGACATACTCGGCCGTTCAAAGAATCGCTCGTCGGTCTTATCTTGCTCGAATTCACCCGGACCACTGTCGACATTCTCTTCTTTGTTCTCCTCCTCTTCTTCATCGTCGGCGGGAGCCCCAAACGGCTTGTCCTTGCTGGAACCACTGAGCGCAGTCGGGACCGACGGCGATGCGAAACTGGTGAGACCTGCCTTGGGCTGGGTTGCCCCAAAGCCTCCGCTAAATCCAGAAAACCCAGACCCCAGAGCAGAGAAGCCCGAAGAGCCGGCGGCGGCGGCGAATCCAGTGCCGGCGGGTTTTGATGCCGCAGTTTCCGACGACTTGAAGACAGACGGCGTCGAGCTTCCTAGCGAGCCGAAAGGAGATTGCTCTGAGCCGGAGAAGGCGGCCAGGGTTGACGAGGCAAAGGCAGACGAGGATGTGGTGGCTGCGGGCTTCGGTTCTTCTTCCTTCTTTGCTGATGAAGCACCCAGCGACCCGAAGGGAGAGACGGTGGAGGTGTTGGCGAATGCGCTTGTGACGGGGGCCTAGCAAGAGCGGAGTCAATACCGAAATAAAGCGGTTCCCATCCCGGTACGAATGAACGACCTACCTTCTCTCTTTCCTGCGAAGCATCACGATGTCTCTTCTTCTCCGGCTCACCTTCAGTCGCAGATGTCTCCGTCGGTGCACCGTTCTCCGCAGCAGCAACAGCAGTCTTACTCTCCGACTCCTTAGCGCTGTCTTCAATCTTCGTCTCATCCTTATCCAACTGATCCCTACTCCTCTTCTTCTTAGGACTCAAGATCTTGCGCGAGAGGGCCTCCGCATCCTTCAACTCTCCCAGCTGTTGACCATCTTCAGTTTTCGACAACGCCGCGTTCGCGTTCGCTTCCTCGTAGCTCGAGTCCCGCGACCTCTTCCGTCTATGACCAGCGTCGTCCATCTCGTCGTCGTCGCCGTTCTCGCCGTCGCTTTTTCCCGACTCGTCGTCGTCGAACGATCGCTTGCGGCCTCGACTGCTATCTCGGCTGAGGGTACCGCCTGCTTGCGGCTGTGGTTGTTCGGTCGAGGAGGATTCGGGGACAGGGACGGACGTGATAGACGTTTCCTTGAGTTTGTTGCGCACGGGACGCTCGCCGCCTTCGTTATCGGATGCTTGGGAGTCTTCGGCGGTAATCGCTGCCGGTTGAAACATGTCAGATCAGACCACGTTCTTACGCCCGAGGCATATTCGCAGAGATTTTCTATTGGGAAAGAGCCAGAATGCAGCTAAGCAAGACGTACCTTGAGGGTCTGTGGATTCCTTATGGATATCACCTGCAACCACAAACGTCCATGTTAGTATGGTTCCGAGAATCGAATTCCACGGCGATACGTACCTTCCAGGCCAGGATCTTTACGTAACTCAGACGCCATGTCTATCGCCGAACGTTGAGATCAAGTGCGACCAGTTCCAAAATCTAAACGTGGCGACAATAATATGGAAAACCGTCCAAATACCAAAATTGAGATCGCAGCCGGAGTCGTAACGTAATCGAGTCCAGAGACGGCAGGGACAGGGGACTAAGCAAGATAGAGTAAGATGTTAGAGCATTGAGCTTGAGCCAAGCGGGAAAGTAGTTAAGGCACCGGACAGAAGCAATATAAGTAGGAAGGAAGGAAGAAAGAGGAAAGAGAAAAAAAAATAAAATGAGGTCCACACAGCCAGAGTGGATGAAGCAACTTCTGCCCGCAGGTGGGGATATGATATGCAATGCAAACAGTAGCTTAATCTTACCCACCAGGTCTTGTCGGTGGTCTAGACGAGTCTCGCAGAGGAGGAGGTCTCCAGACGGATCGGATCTCTGGGAAGTTGGGTTTCCCCTCAAGAGCACGCAGAAACTGTGTGGTGTTGACCAGGCGACGCTGTGAGGGATGGGCGGGTTGGTCGGTCGATTTCTCAGGGTGAGGAGGGTATAGAGCAACCGAGGGCGCTGCGAAGGGGAAAAAGAGTCAAGAGCAAAGCCCTGACAGGTAGCCAGCAACGGCAGAAGATCAGGCAAGGATAGCAGGTGGCAGCGAGGCGAACCAGCAAAACGAGGTGACGACAAGCTGCTTTGTTGTCGTCGGACGGCGAGTTGCTCGGCTCCGTCACCGCTCGGCCCCGCAGCTTTGCGGCTCGGCAATTTGCTCTGTCTATAGACTTGGGAAGACATGTAGATGGGAATTCTAAGTAGATACACGGCTTAAATAAATAAGAAAAATGGAATAGTAAAACAGCCCTTGTTCCAACAACAAAGAATCATCTGGTAATTCACATCATGCAAAGAGAACCTCCGTCCGGCTCCCAGTTCTGCATCCTAATCGCCGCTCACGGTTCCCTCAAGGCTCAATCCCTTTCACCAAAGCTCAACTCACGCCATTTTCCCTCCTAACTGATGAAGCAGAGACACCCAATGGCAACATAGAACACAAATAGTGGGTATACCGCAATTCCGACCCGGTTCCGCAGCACGCCAGAGCCGCCCAGAATGCTCACTCCAGCTGCCAAAGACCACGCGATGAGAACGAGATAGACCGGTATCCGGGCGATAGTCGGGAGACCCAAGGCACTCAGAAGGGCAGCGATCACGAGAGGGAACAGGGTGTAACCGATGATGCACACGGACTGGAAGAACGAGCTATAAACGAGTCAGCACCATTAGACCCTACCATCGAAAGGACAGAGCGGTACACATACATATTTCCACCCAGCAGCTTAATCTGCAAAGTCACAACAGCTTCACCAATCCAGACGATCGAAAAGACTCCCGAAAAGACCAAGTCTGACTGATCGTCACTAGCGCGGACAGCCAAAAACATACTCAACAGTAAACAGAAGATGAGCGGGCCCCTGGATCCAGTCAGCATACCCACCACCACAACTCCAAACCACCCAGCCCATTGATCTTAGCTTCTCCACTTACCAGAGATCCCAATCGCGCAATCCCTCACTCATACCCCCTTGAAGGACCATATCAGCGTCCGGCCAGCGTCCCGCGATGTTCCTCAAGCCGCCCCCGAACCCAGTAGCCTCTCCACGTTCAGCGGCCCCGATCCCGCCGCCTCCGCGCTGCAGCATGCCACCCATCAGATACTTCGGCCACAGCACCTGGCGCAACTTCTCCCAGACTGCCAGCAGGTCACGGGAAAGGGTGTCCCAGACACTCTCGTCGATGGTATTAAGGGTCGCGCGACGGTCCTCGCCGGGGATCGACGACGTCAGGTAATTGCCGGAGAGGTTGCGGCCGGCGGAGCTCGAGGATTCGGCCTGGATGTTGCCCCGTAGCGGCGCCGTGTCCGAGGTATCGTGTAATGGGTCATCGGCTTCGATGGCTAAACAAAAGAGTCGGAGAATTTCCCCCCAGCGTCAGTGGAACCCACCTGTCGCGGATTGTTCTCAAGTGGTGGGAGGTGTTGTTTTCTCAATGAAAGCACTCACCGTCATCGGCATCGATCACATCATCATCGAGGATTGACTCGTCGTCGTGAGAATCCCTATGGGGATAGTGTGTGGATGCGCTGGCCATGGTAGGCGGAGCTCAATTCAGGTACTCGCGCGCGGAGGTTCCGTGATACGCCGACGGTAGCAGAGCTGCTAAAGCAAGTGCAGTGGGAGCTACTGTAACAGGGCAGGTTTTCCAAGCAAACGATCAATTAATATGAAGCCAGAGACCAAAGTCAGAGAACCCGACAGGAAGAGGGAGAGGGAGAGGGCGAGACAGCGAGACACTGAGAGAGGCTAGAGTGGCATTACGTACGCCGCACGGGCTGAAAGAGGCAGGCGGAAGGAGACGACAACGTGACGGGATGTGACACGCCTCAGGCAGGAATTATCAGATTATCACTATAAGTTCTCAATTCTTCAAACCGATCGGGGATTGTTTATGTTATACACACATCTATGTACATCCTTTCTATTTTACAGTATTAACGCCTCCTTCCCCAATATATAGACAAATGTATCAGCAAACCTGCTCACAAATAACGCCAGAAAGAGCGGTCCAAAGTATCTTTATACGCATAGACCGGAACAATTCAATTGAGCCTCTGCTCAATCTAACTGTCCAAGCCGTCTGCTTTATCATGAATTTGAATTCCCTATGATTGCTGTTCGCCTTTGGACTGTTGTTCACCCTGGGGCTGCTGCTCACCCTGGAGCTGCTGTTCGTGCTGAGACTTCGGTTCGCTCTGGGACTCTTGTTCACCCTGGGGTTTCTGTTCGCCCTGGGACTGCAGCTCGTTCTGGGACTGTTGTTCACCCTGGGGTTGCTGTTCGCCCTGGAACTGTGATTCACCCTGAGATTGCGATTCGCCCTGAGGCTGCTGTTCACCCTGGGACTGCTGCTCGGTAGGTGCAAACACAATCCTGCTTTTGAAATGACCCTGAACTTTGACGTTGCTATATTTCTGCAGCCTCTGCGACAGCACTTTGTAATCCTCCAAAGCCGGTTTAGGAATCAATTTCGTGTTACCCTTCAGAATGGGATTCATCCAATATCTCAACCGCGCCAATGTGGTGACAATGGAATTGCCCGGGACCACATGACCATCTTGTCGGGATTCGGCTTTGGATTTGAATTTCGTAAATTTGGTTTGACCATGTTCAATGGCCTCTTCCAGTTTAGCCACGTGCGGACGCAGGTTCTCCACGGCCATGGTTTGTAGCTTGAGTCGCAGTTCGTGGCCGAGAGATTCAAGCGAGCCGGATCGTTGTTGTGTGACTGAGAACCCGTTCAGCGACATGAGGAGCAGAGGTTTTTCCAGGATGTTGGTGACCAAGCTCATGTAGACATCTATGGCCACGGTGTTGGGAATCGGGAATGCTTGGTCCATGAGACCCAGGAGCTCATTGGCATGCGTCACCACGTTCATGTTGTTGATGTCCCGGCGACAGCTCTTCATAGCGGTGACAAACATGTCCGACTCCACCAGGCCGGAGGGTAAGACCTCGTCGCGCATAAGGTCGACGGCGGCGCGACTGGAACGGGCCCCTTGCAAGATCTGGAGGTATGCATGGATGGGAGTTGATTCGGGCTTCAGTCCCATGTCCTTCGTAATGTGCTTCCAATACGCCTTTGCGGCACCCAATCCTTGAGTCAGGGCGGCGGAGGCTTCCAGGGCCCTATAAAGTTCCCGGTTTCCCACGGGGAGTGGCGACACGCCTGTGGATGCGAAGGGGAATGGTTTGAAGACATCATCGAGGTTCTCCTCCTCGACTTCGCCTTCTCCGGTTTCTTCCTCTTCTAACGTCTCTTGCGGTGGCCTGTACAGTTCACCCTCGTCCACAAAAGGGACGTCTTCCAGTTCCTGCTCTTCCCGGTTCGCATGCTTTTGCACGCCCTGAGACTTTTTGTAGGCGACCTTTTGGGGCGCCTTGGCGAGAATGGGAAGGCCAGTGGTCTGGTTTAGCAACAAGAGGACCTCGTAGCTTGAATATTCCCCAGGACCTTCCATAAGCACTCTAGTCATAGAATTCACCATTTGACTATCGATTTGCAGATCTCCCTTCTTCCATCTGTAAATGATATCGGCCCAGACTCGTTTGGCCTCCGTAACCCCTTGTGCTTTCCTTGCCGAAATCGAATTGACATTCTTCGGTGGCATCTTTTCCACGTCCCAGACCATCGCATTCAGAATGGCCCGGAGAACGATTGAATATGTCACTGGTCCAGGAGAGGCCGGTCCAGTTTCGGGTAACTCGCTAGCAACCCCCCACAAAGTGTCCATGTCCCCATGACGCGCACAGACCGTGAGCATTGCATTGCTGTGGATGATACTAAGCTCAACACCCGATTTATCGCTTGATATGGATCGGTAGATATTCAGGGCGGTCTTCACGGGATCGATCTCCGGTGTCGATTTCGAGTTGCTCAGTCCGCTCAACATGGTAGTATACGTAACTTCACTAGGTCTGACTCCGCGCTTTTTCATCTATAGACAGAGAGAGATAGACGGGTTAGTGAACGTCCTGTGTCTGCCAGAGGGGGGAGGGGAGAGAGGGAACGGGTGACGACGTACATCATTGTAGAACCTAAAAGCAGACCTAGCCGAGTTCCTCCTGAAGCAATATTCAAATAGATGATTCCACGCCGCTGTGCTCTCCAACCCCCTACGCGTCGCCATGCGCACCATCTCCGCCGCAAAAGCCACCTTACCCTGCGACAGAATCCTCTTAACCCGGTTCGCCAACGACATGCGATCCGACAGCCAATCTAGCTCCAGGTCAATCGCTTTCCGCGAAACCTTATGTTCATTGACGTTGAAGTATTCAACCGATCGGTTTCCCACCGCAATCGCATATAGGCCGTCATCGTCATATTTTTTCTCCTTGGGGGGCTGGCTTTTGGGGGGGATCAGTTTGGTCGAGGTATATTGCGCATTGACATCCGAGTGGTGTTTATGTCCGGTGGCATAGGTCTTCACGTCCCCGAGGGGCCTCCAAAGGCCCGGTCGTGGGAGGGCTTGCGCCGGCCGCGGACGCAACGAAGTGGCGCGAGCGAGTGAGTGAAGCGTTCTTGTGCACTGCGGGCTCAGCGTAGCCCTCGTCGCAATGGCGTTGCCAACGCTCGTCCGTAGAGCATTGACATGGTGACAACGAAGCATTTGAGTCTGGATCCGGTGGTATCCTGGAGTATCGACCAACTATGGCGACGGCGAATCCGGAAGTGTGTTCGAGAATTAAACGGGAGTTGAGCACGCGCGGAAGATGAGGCAGGCAATCCAAAAGCTAAGAAACCAATGAAAGAAGAATAGAATTCCCAAAACGACTGCAACGACGCAACACCGGAAAGACACCAGCGACAACGCGACAAATGAAGCCAGGAATAAAAAAAAAACTGGAGGACAGCAGAGAAAAGATAACCAACCCGTTCTGGTATCGGCGCAGCTTCGAATCAGGTCTAGGCAGGATACGGTCTAGCGCAGATCGGGGCCCTGCAAAACGTAAATCCGAGCAAAGCCAGCGGGCTGAGTCAGTAGTCAGCGGCCACGGCGCGCTAACAAAGTAACAGGCAAAACATCGCCCGGGGAACATCCATGAGTCGATGACCAGAGGGAGTTTAGTCCATACCAGGTCTGTTTTTAGCTCGCCATGGCTAAGGTAGCAGCCGCTAGTTCAACCAGCATCTCGCTGACCCCCTCGGGACCTAAGGAACCCGCCAAACCATAGATAACTTTAAAATTGACCAAGCCCTTCCCTCGTGGCTCGAGAGTTATGCTAAAAGTAAGGTTCCATCCCTACAAAGAAAGGTACACTACAGTACTTTACCCTTGTACTAGCTGCGATTTTAGCTCCGTCTTGGTCAACGGACCTTACATCCTGTATTTCTGTATGACCGACTAGCGTCACCTCGCCGCGCTAAGGGCCCCTTAGTTGCCCTTTGTTCGACGGTTTTTAAAGTTCTGCTTGTGGTCTTGGGGTTTTCTCTTGACGTTTTTTCCGCTATGCATACCGCATGATGCTCGAGTCAGGCCGTCCCGCGCACAATCAACGCATATGCAGCATAGCACTAACATGTACATGTACATGTACATGTACATAGTAGGCTCGTCCTACTATCGAGTGTCTACTTACCTACTGGACACTTCGTACAGCGTTCTGCGCTTTCTACTCAGAATAATGTAAGGGGGTCATCCTATCATACTTTCAATTCGTCGGCGTGACAGATCACCAAGACCCATCTATCTACCAAATTCAATCCATCAACGTACAAGCGGTGTATTAATCACAGTTGAAAATGTGCCATCTGTGCCATAGCATCCTCACTATCGACATGTAATACCTAGATGTAGGCATTTTAAACTCTCGAGGACAGAGATGGGAGAGACAGAAAAGAACAAAAGGAAATAAGAGAAGCAAAAAGAATCGAGCCACCAAACCGGCACTCAAACAGGTCACCGGTGCAAGAGATCACAATGGGATATTGCGCAAATTCGGGGACCAAAACCCAGGGTAACATAAATTTGGCCACAACACACAAGGCATGGCAAAAGAAGAGAAACAATTGCAGACAGTTCACATACAACATCGGAAAAGTTTAGTAGAGACAAGGTCGACATAATCCACAGTCAAGTGGAGAGAGAAAGGGGGAAAGAGCCATCCAATGAAGGCAAATGGGAATAAGAGAAAGTAACACATAGGAGATAAACATAAAAAAAAAAAAGCTCAGCTAAATGCAGAAAGCCCCGCCAGACGTCCCAATTCACAATCCGATAGCCAGTTATCCACACAGGGAAAACAATACAACTTCCCCCTCCCATTACTCGGGGATATTCTTTGGCTCATGCGATCTAATTCAAAAAAACATAACTGGGAACAAAAGTGTAAGTCGCAAGGCCACTCTTTTTGACTGGAGCAATCAAGGCCAGAAAATGGTATCATGTGCGCAAGACTTTAGAGAATTAGATCCGGGGTGGCGATGTGGGATTAGGAGATTTTGTTATTAGAGTATGCAACCTCAAACAAGGAAGCAGGGATATCTATTGCGGGTAGCTGGCCGATTGGTTTTCTGCAAAAGCCAACGTCGATCAGCTACAAGCCCTTCTGCAATAGATCCGAGGACCGTGTTCTCCATGAAATCCCGGAGTAGTTTTGTGTATCTTTCTCCTTTCGTCTGGGTGGCGTAGAATCGTATTCTTTCTTTTTTGGTATTTTTCATGGCCCGGTCCTAACCAACAATGCAAACACAACAAGGGCTTGACTACTTACGTTGCTGATACACTTGGCCGCTCTGCCCATAAGGAGAGTGAGGGTAGTTGGGAGGGTAGGCCATCTGCCCGTTGCTCTGATAGACCATGCCACCACCCGGGGCACCGTACTGGCCGGGCACCTGGCCATCGGCAGGTTGGTATCCAATCGGAGGCAGCTGAGGCCGGACACCACCGGGGTAAGCGGGAGGTTGAGCGCCCTGGGGATCCGCGGGGTTGGGGGCGTCGACCTGGTTGGCTTGGGCAGCCTGAGCGGCAGCGGCGCGCTCACGCTCCTCAGCAGCCTTGCGCTGAGCTTCTTCCTCCTTCTTACGAGCCTTCCACTCCTTGCGAATTTCCTTGAATTCTGAGCATGTCGAGTTAGTCTAGGTCTTCCCAAATCGAATGAAAACCCCAGTTTGACAGCAAGAAAATAAAATCAGAATGTGACAGGAGGGGGAAAAGTGAAGGGTGAAACAAGGCATATCCTAAGGACGGGAGGTCGAAGACAGCTTAACCTCAGCGCCGGCTTCTCACACTACTGCGATCCGCCCGCACTAAGGCCGTGTAACTAGACTAGTGGGTGGCACCCGCACTAGTCCCAGCCCAGGCATCTATCAACCCCTCCCGTAGCGTAGACACACATGCCATCGGAGATATGATGAGATAATAATGGGTAAAAAAAATATTACACGTCAAACTGAGGCGGACTCAATTGAGAACATACCTTCGGGAGTGCGCTTGTTTCCGTGAGACTGCATTGTCACGTGGGCATTCAAATGGTTGAGAGTCCCGTAGGCCTTCTCGCATCCATTCCACCCGCACTTGTACATACGCTCAATTTCCTCGTACCGGCGACGCGGTCTCTTGTGCTGTTGCGCACCGGGAATTGGAACGAACGAGTAAACCTAGATTGACGCATGTGAGCCGAGGAATCCAAGACATGGGTCAAAAAAAGAAAAACAAAAAAAAAACAACAGTGAAACATGATGAAAAAGGAGTGCGCCGCATTCCCCGTCCCTGGAGGTAGCCTGATAGCGGCTCCCGAATCCGGGGGCGTCCCAGACAAAACTAAACGCAGAAGCGCAGCCCTTATGGAAACAGATGCCGAAATCATCAAAAACATACCTGGCCAGGGCGCGGCCCTGCGGTCGCAGCAGGGGAGGCGGGACCAACCGTTGTGGCAGGAGTGGTATAAGGTCCAGGCAGACCATGTTGATGTTGTCCATACCCATGCGACCATTCCGGACGCGTATACATCTGAGGAGGCGGCGGAGGGGGGTGACCTTGGTATTGAGCCATGTCATGGCCCTGAGGCTGGTAAGGCGAGTAGGGAGGAGGATAGGTGGGGCTGGAGGCCGCGATTGAAGGATCTATAGGAACGTCCGCGTCAGACTTCACGTTCGTGTGATGATTTCGATGGTCATGGTGCTGCCCATCATGGAGGGTGGTGATGGACGGACTTGTTGCTTGAGCCATACCTGCCGCGCCGCCGGCTTGGGTGTTGGGGGCGTGGTGGTACTGGTGCGGGCGGGCGAGGTACTCTGGATAAGCTGGAGAGCGCGCGGCGGGAGGAGCGTTCAGACCGTAGTCCGACTGCGGCGTGTTGGAGGACGAAATGTTGGCGGCGGGGCGCACCTCAGGCTGAGGAGTGTACTGAGGGTTGGGGCGAACCTCGGGTTGGGGAGTGTATTGAGCAGTGGCAGCAGCAGAAGCTTGGTCTGCAGCTGAGAGTTCAGAATGCGTCGCGGCAGACGGTGGATATGGAAAGTGCGAACCTGACTGCGCGTACTCCGAGGCAGGTCTGTTGTCCATATAATACAAGTTTCGCCGCTACCGGGTAAATATCCCTGACAATCCTCCAAACTAAAATAAAAAATACCCGCGTGCCTGTCTAAAGACGCGTCGAGTGACACACAATGAGCTTTGTGGTTGTAAGATTTTGGAGGTGCCGAAACGATGGAAGTATGCAAGCAGGGGAGGAGAGGTGTGAGAGAGGTGTGGCTTTGAAGAGATCCGAATAAGAATCTCGTGGGCAATTCTGCTTTCTCAAGATTCTTTTCTTCCGTTTTCTTCCCTCGTTGATTTGAGACGTACTGTTTTGGTCTTTTGGGGGGGGGGGAGGAGAGATGGAATTGGATGGCAGAAAAGTCAAAGGGAAAAAGCGATCACACTGAAGCTGCTGCGTATTGCGGTGGCTTTAGTGAATGGAGAAGAGAGGAGAGAATTAAGAAAAAGGGAAAAAGGAAAAAGATCGACGCGTGAAATTCAGTCACGAGAACTTGTAACGCTTTTTCAACGCACCGATAAGAGAAGTAATAAAAAAAATAGGGTAATAAAAAAGGGTGTAATAAAAAGGAAGAGAGAAAAAAAAAGCACCAGATTAGGTTTTGATAATTGTGCCTTTTTTTTTTCTCTCTCTCTTAATTCTTTTTTCTCTTTTTTTTCAATCTCTCCTTTTCTTTTTTTTTTTTACCCTTTTTTTTTCTTCGGGAAAATAAGAAAGGGTAAGGAAATACAAGGCGGTGATGTTTTTCCTTTAAGAGACAGTGGTGCTGGATCACGATGCTTAATTGCTTTAGTCGCCTCTTAGGGTGACGGAGAATGCCTTGCAGGGTGGCGGTAGGCACAACAGCACGAGGAACCAGCGGGAGTGAAAAGGGACGGTGCTGTCTGCGCCCGGGCAAGCTTGGGAGGTGAAGGTTTAGAAAGCAGCCAGGGCAAAGCCAGTCACTCACTAGGTAAGGCCTAGCACGGGAAAAATAAAGATAAAAGACAGGGAAATGGAAATGGAAATCAAAAATAAAACCAAAATAAAAATAAGATAATAGGAGGGAATAATAAATAGGTATCAAATCCACACGGCTCAAAGGGTGATAGCGCGAGAGACGATGTCTTGATCCAAGGGGGGTCAGTACAGTAGCACAGGCACCCTAAATTCGAGACGGAGGGGGAAAATGGTTCGACTTCGACCCGGAAAAGAAAAACCTGGGCAGAGGAGGCGGCCTAAAAGGCTTCGGACGGTCGACCAGGAGGCTTTTCGGCAGGAGGAAAAACGCAGGTTAGAGCACCTCGTGGGATCCGAGAAGATGGTGGAGCGCGTGGGCCCGTAATTTTTCTTTCTTCCTTTTTTTACCTCCCTGTTTATCGGGGGTGAGAAAGGGAGAGAGCACTGAGCAGAGGCAATTTCAAAGAGACAGGTAAAGGGAGAGGGAGGAGACCAAAAAAAAAAAAAAAAAAAAAAAGGTGGTAATGGAACCTGGTACTCCGTAAAAAGGTAACACTTGGTAATGACGAACAAGAACGAGAGGGGGGGCGGTTTTGGTAAGGAAATTGTTATGGGGGCCACCCCGGAGGATTAATTATTATTTGTTCTCTCGCTCAGTTCTGTCGTCTCTCTTTCTCTTTATTATTATGATTATTTCGGATTATTCCTCTTTTTACCACCCTTGGATCGGAGCGCTGTCGCTTTGTGGTGACGGGTCCGTTGATAGTTGCCAGTAATTCGACCCACCTCTTCTCGATGGAATTATACTGGCCCAAGAACAGAAAAGTTAATACTCTTTTTTTTTTCCCTTTTGGCCCCCTTCCCCTCAGTTGTTGCTGTTGGAGTTGGACTGTTTCTGTGTATCTCTCGTAACCCGGCTAAGCTTTCCTCGTCGGAATGGTGTTTTTTTTTTTTTTTTTTTCCTTTCCAGCTGCTTCTTCTCCTACCTCCGCTCTCCTGTCTCTACCTCTTTCACTTCTTATAGGCGGAACACTCCGATTTGAGGAGGGGGGGAAAGAGGGAAAGTGGCAAATAAAAAAAAAAAGAAAAAATCTTTCAACGCCCCCTTTTCCTTTCTTTTTCTTACCCGCAAATTCTTTGTTCTTCGAAAAATTCTCACCCCACCTTTTAATCCGAGGAAGAGGAAGGTGTTGAAAGTTGAAGTCAAAACAGAAGTATTTTGATATGCCAGCGGTGGCTAGGGGGAAATTTAGAGCTTGGAATAGTCTACCCGCGATTCGGGACGGACGGTGCGCGTCGCGAGTTTGGCCGCAGGGAGACTGTCGTGAACCTAGCGTAATTTGCGCCCGTGGGTACCAATCCACGATCGCTGGCCAACGTTTCTGGCGGCGTGGGTAGGGAATAAAGGGCTTGACGCCGTGGTTGAACGAAGAAGGGCTAGGAGATGGCGTGCCCGAGGAACGACTTGAGCAACGGTTCTGGGTGGATGGTGCGAGACTAGGTAAAAGAGGGTGTAGCGCAAGTCGGGGGGAAGCGATGACCGCGTGCAGGGTCCGTGGTGGAGGCGACGGAGGAAAATCCCAGAAAAGTAATGGGGGTACATGAATCAATCAATCAATACGTTCAGAGGACCGGGTCACAACAAATTGAATCCAAACCAGGAGATAGAGTCGCATTGAGAGCAACAAGCCCAGAAATAGCGGTTGATGCGGAAAGCGATGGATGTGATATGATGTGGAGAGGGAGAGAGAGAGGGGGTGGGAAAAGGAGGATGAGGAAAGATACTGTAAATTCCACAAGTATGACTGGCGTAACTCGGTAAAGAGACTTATCTGCTAGCGCCTTCCACTGCGCAAGTCAGGAACGCGTCGGTGGAGAACACGAGGGTGAGCAGCCCAATGGACGTCATGCAAAAATCACGCCGTCGGACATTAGGTCCATTTTCAACCACAGTTGCACACTAGTGAATATGTATTTCATGTGCCAAATATTCTTCCTACAACAGCACGTTAACGAGGACTGGTTGTCCTTGGTCAGACTGTATATGAGAAAGGAGAAGTAATATACTATTCGAGGGTTAGGCTTCAGTTGCCGGGTTTATCAGGGGTCAGAGGAAAAATAGAGTGCTGCGCTGGAAGAGTTATACCAGATGTGTATACTCGGTACTGTTTTGAGAGATACCTGCGTCTTGATAAGAACCAATACCATGTCAGCTGTCATCTATTTGCATAGGAATTTGGGGGAAGAAAAAAAAAGCCGAACGACTGGACAGGATGAGTTTTGGCAAGAGACGGCTGTCAATCTTTGGTCGATTACAAATGTCCGATAGGCTGCTAGTGGAAAAAAAAGGAGAGACCGGGGTTGGATTAAAATCGCGCTTGTTCGAATTAATATCCTCCCCATGGCATCGCAGCATGGTAGGTGCAGATGCTACCTCAGTGTCAGAAAAAAAAATAAAAATAAAAATAAAAAAGAACGGACGTGTCAATGATATTAACCGCAATTCAATCCGTTGATACCGGCAGTACTCCGGGAAATTTAGGGCCAACGACCCGAAGCACGATCAATTGTATCAGTTGATGATGACTATCGAGTATTGAGAGGATTATCAATTCCGACGTGACAAAAAGGGGGAGAGTGGGCTGTGATTTGATAGGATCCAAAAGGGACGAAACGCAAGGCTCCATTCTGGGCACTGGGCGTGTGATTGGCGTCCTGCCCGGGTCGTACCCCGCGCCGGCGGAACCCAAACAGACAGTGCCGGTGAAGCAGAAGAGCTGGCAGTCAACTATCCATCCTACTCTGTACATCTCTGTCTTATGTCATTCTGCGGTCATCCTACAGTATGAGACATCAAAGAACAATCAATGCATATCATTATCATCATTATTATCATGATCATGCAATACCCCTGGGGTCTAGCCGGTGGATCGAGGCAATCGATAATAATAGACGCTCCTGATATCTACTGGATCGCGACATGAAGAAGGCAGGTACTCCGTTCCCTTGGCCAATATAAAGATGGAACAAGAATGTGTCTAACAAGGTAGGTATTACGGCGAGACTGTTCCATATTCCCATACTCAGTGGCCAGCCAAGATCTGGGATCTAACCTATCTCGCAGCATTCCGACTGAAAGTAGACTGTCCTCCGGTCTCGATCAATCGCGAAATCCTCGTACCATGATCACAGTACCGGGCAGAATGATCGGGATGAGCAATAATGCCAAAATGGTGACCGATGGGACGGAATCAAGAATGCCATCCCCGGATATTGTATGGGGTTTTAGTGCCTCACTACTACTAGGACTACAGGTAGTGTACCAAGATGCTGCGAGGGCCTAACTACGGAGTACAGTGTCAGTACTGTATATACATCCTCGTACGGCGCGTTTCGGATGCTGGCCGATTACCCATGATCCATGGACAACCGTCGATCGGGTTTAAACTCCCCCTTTTCGGCACACTACTCCACAGTCCACCAACTAGGGAGGCTGGACGCTGAACAATGTCTTTTACTTACTCATAGAAATGGACGGAGTAGCGACTTCGGACAATGTCACAATGGCCATCAGGGTTTCCTCGGTGTACACTGTCAATAGTATCATTGAGCAGTCAACGGAGTAAGTGTTCATCTTGCCACGATCAAGTCAAGAGTGTGTTGATACTTGATACGAATACAACCCGTGGTATTGCGCAGGTATCCATTGATGTATCCATATCGTATGGCCTTACCAAACACAACGGGGCCCACCTTGCCAACGCAGAAAGGCTGTATGACTCGACTGTCCGATATTACTGAACACTGTTATGATTTTTCAATGGGCCACCTATATGCACATGAAAGGGGTAATCGCTCGGTTCCGAATAATGAGGTCCAGAGTCAAAAGTTAAACTGATGAAAGAAAAAAAAAAATAATAACACTTACGGTGTACGGCAGCATTCGGTCGGTTTCAGTCTCCTTCTACATATTTCTGCCCCTTTTATATGCATGATGGTCCCGGAACATGCGATGTTTTTAGATCCTTTTAGTCTATCCGTACTGCGTATTTGAGTAGTGCAGGCGGATAGACTAAGACTATGCTGAGTCGATGGTTTTATGTCCGTGTGCAGGCTAATTTGGTGCTCAGTTATGATCTCACTTGCTCCACGTGGGCATAATTGACTACAAGGAGTCTAGGAGCTCAACTACTGACATCGGAATAGCTATACTTGCCCAGATCAACAGAAATACTCTGTATATATCAATGCACCCTCCGGATTCCAATTGCCATGGCTGTTAGGGTTCGAGGCTGTCATAAAGCAACGAAGGGAAAGCATGTTTTCCCCCTCCAATTGCCATCTCTACACCCTTTCCCTCCCGCATTTCTGTCCAGTAAAGTTTTCATCTGCCTCTTCTAACTGGTTTTTCGCCCTTGGCATTGATCAATAAGGCGGGGGGTGGCGGTCACCGCAATTGGCCGACGGCACGAAAGAATCTTTTATCTCTCACAGGGAGACATGCACCCAGCGGCGGACTGTCATAGGTCGAACAAAAATCCTGTCGACGAGAGTACGCCGAATCGCGATACTCGGATTCCCTGTGGCATCCTTGTAATGTCCCGGATTTTGCCGAGCGCAGGGTTGGGTTGGGTTGCATCTCCGTACGGAGTACATTATTGACAGAGTATTATTGTAGATGCTTGATACCCTGCCCCGTGCATTCATACTCTGGCCTCTTAACGTCTAGGTCCAGCATCTTGACTCGGGTCTGATGGGTCGCAGGACCAATACGGCTTAGATGAACCTGCCACTGCTCGTTCAGGATAGCTTCGCGGTTCCCTCGTCCGTTCCCCTTCTGGTGTGTGGAGTCGGCGAATGGGGCCATGATTTGTTATGATCAGTTTTAAAGAAAAGGCGGTATCGACCCCGTTTCCAAACCCAAAAGTCAATTTATCAATTTTCATTATTATACCAAAAGGTGCACGCCGTACTCCGTCGAGATGGCCCGAGAGCCAGGGGGGCAGGAAGGTCGATGAACTTGCGGATGATATGATAGGTGCGTGGGATATAATAAAGTGGGAAGTCTGGCTTGTCTGGGACGACATGGTCGCATAATAATCAATTATTATATCCGTACACCGTACAAGCTCGCAACCTCCCCCCGTGGCCAGCGGCCAGCCTCCTCGGAGCTCAATCCACCCAGAAGCACCAGAGCACGGGAGATAAACCGTGCTAGATAATCCATGGATTTGAGCCTTTGCGGCGGGGCGGGCTAGGATGAAAAGAGTCCCGATTAATTTAGCTAGATACGGAGTCCTCCGTGCTCCGTTCTCGCACCGAAGAGGAAAAAAAAAGGCTCTATGGAGGACACCGTCGAATAGTTTTGGCCCACAGGTGGGAACCTCGAGACTGTCTCACCCGTGACCTGATCAATATCCCCCCCCCCTCATGGACCGCTAGTTAGTACTGGACTCCGTAGAGTATGGATACTCCGTACTAATTTACCCAACTAGGTAGAGTGGGAGAGAGGACAAGGTACCTCTGGCAGGTATTCCGTAGTCCGTACTTTGTTGGTCGCGATAACAGATGCGCCATACACCGTACTACGTAGACCTGAGGAAATCAGATCATATCATCTCATTTCTCCTGCTCATAACGAATATTCCCGGATGGTAGGCAGAATGTTACCCTGCGCTCCTCCACTCGGGGCTTCGGTCATTAGGTAACCGATATGTGTCAGGGATTGGTCAGCCCAGGATATACTCGGCAAAGAGCCACCTCTACGGATCCGTAGTTATCTGTGAAAGGTGAAATGTTAATATCTCAGGACGGAGAACCTCGGCCTCAGAGTATCAACAGAGTGTCACCATCGAGTTCTCAACAAGGCTGGCTACCGCTACTCGGTCTGATGGGTAGGTCCGCGGAGAACCCAATTAGGCGGGTGGTGGATATCGATTTTTCCCTTACGGTGTACCTACATATGCCTACGATGTACAGTCCATATGTCGTAGTATAGACGGACACTCAGATCAATCAATACAGTAGGAAAAACCGCATGAACTGCAAACACCCGAATGTGCGCTTTTCATCAAGAGTTACATGTTCCATGCATATTCCACGGCCAACTAAAGATCCGTTAGGCTAGTGTGCCTCAGGTGTCAAATCCTGACATGGGTCTCCCTTTGTCTTTTTTTTCTCTCTCTCCCCTCCACCTCTCCTGCTCACCTCGTCCTACCACCCGAGAGCCGGCGCTGGCTCGCGCCAATTCTTATTACGTTAGTGCTAGGCCCGGTGCCTCTTGGACGGCCAATCCGATGGCCTCGTGATATTATCAGCGGAAATCCCGACTTCCGCGCGCATTGGACTAGCCGGCCAACCCCCCCTAACGAAGCCCCAGTTGTGGCCCCCCCTTACCCGAACCATGGCTGGTCGGCGTCGAATGGCCTCTAGCTCGTTGGGGGATGGTCGCGTATGCCTAAACCTGCATATGCTTTGGCGCTTGTAATCTGGTGTGGGTCGTCACTTACGGAGTACGTCCATGTATTCTTCCGTGGATGTGTACACTTGTACTCGAACGGAGAGAGTGCTTATGACTGACTCATACAGATATCATCTCCCTTCAATGCACATGCCTATCAGTGCAGAACTGTCCAAAGAATGCGCAGTGGCAGGTCTCTTCCTCGAATTTTCCGGGCCTCAATCGCGCAGACGTCTTCCAGGTAAGTACAGAACAAATGACACTTACTAGACTGTAATGCTGACCCACTCGAGAACCACGGGCTTTCGGCGGCTTTGTTACACGCGATATCTTACAGTAAGAATGTAAGATACACTTTGCTCGCCCACGGATAGTCAGATCTGGGTTTCCCGACGCGCTATGTAACTCTCGTTGATATGGTCCGTGGATGGTGTCTTGGGTTCAGGGGGGTCGGTCCGATAAAGTATTCGATATTATTATTATTCTCATACGGAGTATACGAGTGGAAAAGACAAACAAAAGAAAGGCAGCAAAGTGGGATGCCAAAAAGGCAAACCGGACAGGCATATTGCATGCCTTCCTTTGTACTGTAGACACAGGGAACAGCATCCTCCCCCATTTCCTTCTGTACACTGAGTAATCCTTTTCGTCCTTTCCCCCTTTTTCACTTTCATCTTCCTTCCTCCGAAATTCATTGTTGGCATTCTCCACAATCACAGTAACCTCGCCAGCGCACCTGATCTCGGCTACAGCCTAACTAGTAAATACACCGTACTCCTACGGAGTCCATCGTTCCCTCCCCGCAATTGAGCCTCCATCCCCGGAATGCTGGCCTCCTTTTTCCTGCCAGGATCGGCAGTTTCCTGGCTCATTAAATATGGATTTGCGGCTACCTTTTCCTAGACCAGGCTTGCTGCTCGCTTATTATTGAATCTTGACCTGGCACTCTATTATCTCCTGTCGGAGTGAGCCATCGAGTCTTGAGACTTGACTGGCCGACTGGCCGTTCTCTCCACCCGCAATGCTCACGGCCCCGCCTATCCCCGAGCAAGCCCTGCTCGGTGTACTCGGTAGGAGAAAGGGGAGAGGAGAGAAAAGGGAGCCGCGGCTAGTCCATCGAATCAATCGTTCCCAATTATGAATCATAATAAAAAGAAGAAAAAGAAAGTCTCGACCGTGATCTGAGGATGATCGCTCCAGGAGAGCTTCGCTCCGGCTTTTTGGGCTCACCGGACAAGGTACTGTGTCTGTAGGGCTTGCTGACCCCATTGGCGGCCATTCACATGGAACGGTACTGGCTCGAGTCCATCCTTTGCATACGGAGAATTATGCTCCGTCCAGCTGCAGACGCTCATTCTGCGATAATTTCTCCGTGTCGGCGGAGAATGCTGCCATGGCGGGATCCATCTATATGAAGAGGGCTTTGACTGATGAGAGAATGCTTGAATTGATGTGCATATCCGTTTGACGCGTGGTTGTCGCGTCGTTCATCTCGCCTTAGTCTAATATTCGAAATCATGCTGGTTCTCCGGCAGCTACTGGCCATTGCCGTGGCTACTATCATTCCTACGATTGCGGCTTTTCCCTCCAAGCCGACAGGCAAGAGATCATTTGATTGGGATGCTACACGACACTTGTGTGTGCCACGAGACCTCTTCTCATCTCCGCAGTTACAAACGACCTCTTGTACTAACCACTATCGTTGCCAGAATTGCTTTTGGCGACTCGTATACATACGTGCAAGGCATCTATGGCCATCAGAACTACAGCTTCATCGGCGATCAGCTGAATTTCGAATATGATGCGAAAATCCTGCTAACGAACAAGATCGTTCAGAACCAGGTTCGCATATCCAATGAGCTGGCAAGAGCCCGGTTGTCGTAACTGACACAATAGCCTCATAGACCGCGACGGCAGAAGGTGGCCCAAACTGGGTCGAATTTCTTACCGATTGCGGAGTACGCAAGGGATTAACCTCGCCGTTCAGCTGTAGAAAACAACTTTGGGATTTCGCGTTCGCGGGCGCAGATATCTCCGTTGAACAGTAAGCACAAGACATCGCCTCGGTGTTGGCTATGGCAGTTTGCCTAACCTGCCAACCTGTACAGTCTGCCCCTTCATCACAACTTCACCGTCTCCCTCGTCAACCAGGTCTCCCAGTACAAGCAATTCGGATACCCCGTTCTCAAGCACGTAGTCAACCCATCCCAGACACTGGTCGCCATCTGGATTGGCATAAACGACATCAACGACAGCGCCAAATACAGCGTGAACTTCCCCGACTTTTACGCTCAACTCATGGGCACGCTATTCGACTCCGTGCAGGACCTCTACGCCCTCGGCTATCGCTCCTATCTCTTCCTCAACCTGCCCCCTCTGGACCGCACGCCCAGCAACCAGGCGCGAGCCAACCCCAGCCCCAACGCAACCCAAGTGTCGTGGTTCAACGAGGCACTAGAACAGCACGCCGACGCGTTTGAGACCAGACACCCCGACACGAACGTCCTGGTGTTTGACGCCCACGGCACCCTCAGCGACATGATGGACCATCCGGCGCAGTACGGCATCGTGAACACGACCAATTTCTGCGCTGGGTATAACCAGCCCGACATCGACTGGAACTATCAGGCGTATGGGTGTCCCACGCCACTGGATACATATTTCTGGTTCAATTCGGGCCATTTGACGAGTCATGCGCATAGGAAACTAACGGAGGTTCTGGAACAGCAGTTGGAGGAATGGACTGGATGAATCTTTTAAATCGGTCATGATTGTGGGCTGAGCATGGCGAACAAACCCAACAGGCTCATTGCCAGTCAGATATGAAATACAATTGCATGAAGGATGAGAGTACTAGATGCGTCGAAGCGTAAAAACAAACAAGCCATATAATGTCAATTCCAGACCCAATTTCCTTGTATCCCGCTCCTTGTCTGGATATACAAAGATATATTAACAAACTCATCAAGAACATATACATAACCTTCCCCCAAATCAATAAACAAACCCAACCCCTCGCCCCAATCATCACATCCAGAAAAACTAAAACCAAGAGGGTCTACATAGGTAACTACCGACGGTACAAAAGATAGAGTAGATATCGGATATATTCTACGAACAGAACCCAACCCAACCCAACCCAACCAATCGTTTCCACAGAAAAAAAACCCCCAAGAACAAATCGAATTCAAATAACTACAAGTAGCCGATCAACTTCTCTATGGAAAATGAGCTAGAAAACTAAAAAAGTCACAGGGTCAAGATATACCGTACGTATTTATGAATATATATCAACCGCACCAAGGGGACCCAGTAGGTAGTGAGCAACCAACACCAAAACAAGGAACTAGTTAACCTTAGAATAAAAAAAAAAAAAAAAAAAAAAAAACGAACAAGTTCATTTAAATAATACCAGAAAACCCAACTAAGCGAAATAGTGAATTGAAAGGAGAACTACCTAGTATACAGGGGCTAGATCCATCCATCCATCTAACCACTGCAGCACTGCTCTTCTAGGTAATGAGCACCGAGGAAAAGGGGGGGATGGTTGCATTGCATGAATCCTGCCTGGATGGCCGGAATCCGAAGCCGGGGAAGAGGGATTGGATTCCTGGACGATTCGAAATTAATCGAGTGGACGCCTAATTTCCTCCGTCTTTCTGACATTATGCAGAGGACTACTAGTCAAAGCTGGGCATTTGGTTAGCCCGAGGACTAAGAGAAACCCTGGCTATACGCTACTGTATGGCACTCTAGAAGTAGATAGGAAGAACCAGATGCACAAGAATATGGATGTAAGAAAATAAGTACAATTCTCCCCAATATTGGCATGCAAGACAGCAACTACTGCGATCTAATTGTATCCAGCCCCAGGAACCAGATACCGTAACTTTTTGGAGACATAAAGGACATGAAAAAAGATGAAGATTAACATATTTTCCGTAGGCCCGGAGCAAACTGAAGCCTTGAAATCCTTGTTGGGAAGGATGAACCCCTATGAAGCGAGAAAAACACACATAAAAACTGTCTATCGTGACTTTCGACGAACGCCGCCCGTACCGAGTTACGAAGGAAAGAAAGCTGAACCTGTGACAAAAACGAAAAAGCAAGGTCTACCGGTGACAATTACAAGCTCATTGACTGAGACTGGGCATCATGATCTGTTTTGGTGTTGGTTTTTTTACCAGCGGCGGTTGTTTCCAAGAGGCGCCGCGTTGGAAGCGGTGAAGTTGCCTCCACGGCCGCGGCCGCGGCCACCCCAACGGCCGTAACCGCCGTGGTGACCACCGCCTCCGCTGTAGCGGACCATCTCGGCGAGACGGGGATCAATCTGCTGCTTGGCCTCAGTGAGAATAGTGATCAAGTCACGAGCCTGCTTAGAGTCTGCACGAGGAACCACGTTAGTATCATACCATATGCAAAGAGTTGCACGGGAATATTTGTAGAGAACTTACTGTCAGTGGTGAAAAAGGTAATGGCGGTACCCTTGGCACCGGCACGACCAGTTCGACCGATACGGTGAACGTAGTCCTCCGAGTTGTTGGGGTAGTCATAGTTCAGCACATGAGTAATGTCGCGAACATCTTCAAACAATTTCATGTTAGCAAACGGAGCATTAGTTGTAAGAGCAACGTGGCCGAGGAGCCCTTTCTCAGTCGTGTGAGACTTGATGCATCTCTCTCTTTCTCTCGGTCTTTATGATATCAAGATCCGGTGGGGATGAATCCATGGGCTGGCAGAAACCACGGTCCTGGAGCAACCTTGGAATGCAGTTTCAAAGTCGTCGGAACAGCAAGAAACAAGACTCTCCACCTCTCTACCTAGGTTAACGGATAGAGATGGAGAACTCCGACAGAGAATGTCAAAATACGTCTGCTATACTGCACTGTGAGTCCAAGGTCCTCCTGGTATGAGGAACCATTTCAGAAGACTCGACGAAAGCCTGGACGAGTCATGCACACCAACATGGGTTTCAAAGAGAGTCGAGCATCGTGCCATTGTCACACAACCTCAAGACGGGTGAAAGTCCTTCTTGAGGAAGAAGAGAAAAAGGAGAAGGGGGAGGGGGAGGGAAGGGGGTTGGAATCGCAATCATATCATACCAATACCACGGGAAGCCACATCAGTGGCCACCATGACCGGGCTCTTGCCCGTCTTGAATTCGTTCAAGACCCAATCTCTCTCCTGTTGCTGCTTGTCACCGTGAATCGCTAGAGATAATTAGTAACATGAACTCATGAGGTAAAGGTCTGCCAGAGCAACTTACAAAGGGCGGGCCATCCGTCTTGACGAAGGAAACGAGTGATTTCGTCGGCGATACGCTTGGTGCCGGTGAAGATAAGGCACTTGTTGCCACGGTCCTCCATGATCTTCTCGAGGTGCTTAATCATTCTGTCGCGCTTTTCCATGTCCGACACGACCTCGACGATCTGGGTGATACGGTGGTTGGCGGAAAGGTCCATGGAACCAATGTTGACCTGGATGTAGTCGTTGAGGAAGTCAGAGGCAAGCTGACGGACCTCCTTGGGCCACGTAGCGGACCACATGCAGGTCTGACGGTCGGGACGGATCTGGCCGATAATCTTGCGGATCTGGGGCTCGAAACCCATGTCCAGCATGCGATCGGCCTCGTCAAGAACCAGGTAGGTGACACGGCGAAGGTTGGTACGTCCGGCCTCCAGCATGTCGATCAAACGACCGGGGGTGGCAATGCAGACCTCAACACCACGGCTCAGGTCACGGATCTGGGGACCCTTGGGGACACCACCGTACACACAGGTGTTGCGAATGCGAGAGGACTTTCCGAACTTGGTGATTTCGGCTTGAATCTGAACCGCCAGCTCACGAGTAGGGGCAAGGACAAGGACGATAGGACCATCGCCAGGGGCGAGAAGGGGCTGAGCGTTGATGTGGACGATAGCGGGGAGACAGTAGGTCAGGGTCTTTCCGGAACCGGTCTCGGCAATACCGACGACGTCGCGACCAGAAAGAGCCATAGGCCAACCCTGAGACTGAATGGAGGTGGGACGCTCGAAGCCCTGAGACTTGACTTCGCTCAGGACGTACTGGGGGAATCCAGCCTCATCGAAAGTCTCGACGGGACGAGGAACGTTGCGACCCTGCACGGCCATCTCGCTCTTCTTGCGGAACTCATCAACCTCACGCTGGGTGCGGTTGGCGACATCGGGGTGTTCCTTGTAGAAAGACTTTTCGAACTTGGGAAGAGAGTCGAGATCTATAGAAGGGAACGTTAGTATCTTGTCAGGAAGGGACAGCAATGTCAGATGGAACATACCCCAGTCCTGCTTCTTCAGGCCAGAGCCGAGGTTCGACATGCGATCTCCGGCACCAGCACCACCGCCGCCTCGTCCACCGTAGCCGCCACCGTAGCCGCCACCGTAGCCGCCACCATAACCACCGCTACCACCTCCACTGTAGCCACCACCTCCGTAGCCGCCTCCGTTGGAGTAGCCGCCGTTGGAGTAACCGCCACCACCGCCGTTTCTAGAGCTAGGGAAGAGAAGATGTTAGAATGAGACATTTTAGTCGCAAGGTTGAGATAGGTTTCAGGGGTGGGCGTTGTTTGCACTGCGCGCTAAATCCTGCACTGACGACCGAGGCTAAGACCGGGCAGCACTGGAACGAACGAGTCCAGCCGAAACCACCCTTCAGTCCACCGATCTGACTGTTCGAGCGCAGAAAATGCGATGCGACGCTGCAACACCCTGTTTGAAATTTGAAGAAGAAAGAGATAGAAAGACATACCGGTAGGAGTCGCGCTGGTATCCGCCACCGTAAGACATGGTTGTCTGAGTTTTTGTTGTTATCGAATAGAGAAAAACAAGAAACAAAAGATCGAGGAGTTGAACAAGCAACTGTATGCGGAGACAACACAATCTCCAAAAGAAAAAGAGAGAGAGAAGGATATCAAGGCGGAAAGAGATGGAAAGAAGGGACAAGGGGATGAAGAGAAAGAAGAAGGATGGGAGGGAGAGAAAGGAGATTAAGAGAAAAAAAGTTGCTCGGGCGGGAAGGAAGAAAGAAAAAAAAGGGAAATGAAAAAAAAAGAAGGCGAAGAGGCGACACTTGCCTGCTTGGGTTAGGCCAGCCCAGTATAACCAATGAACGTCGTCTGTTGCCACCCGGGTTTTTCACCGCCTCCGGAGCGGACTCCGCCTGATCCGGATAGTTCCTCCGGTGCCGGTTCCTGCTTGTTCTGGACTTTTCTCTCTTTACTACTCCGTAGGGAGTCCCATCTGATATTCACTTCGTATTCATTTACTTCGCATTCACCTCACACTCACACCTTCGTCTCGCTCAGTCCCATGTCCCAGAAACTGATCTCCAATTCCGTCGCCCGAATAAAGATCTTAATCAACTCCTCCACTCGACTCGGAGACACCTCGCGCATGTGTCTTTCTAGTAATTCTGTAGACCGGTTAATTATCGGGAATTCTGGCGGTGTATGCATGAGCAGGGCCTCTTACCCGATCCTAGGCGAACGGCTTCCGTGTAGTCGTCCGCGACGTAGTTCTCAATCCATTTCCAGTACCGGTTGCCTTCCCGGACCGTGTCTTTCTCGCTGTGCAATCTTTGGGCAATGGCGCCGTATCCGATCAAACAAGGCGCCAGGGCCATTTGAAGTGCGAGCCAATCCTCCGATTGACCGACGTCGAGGATATACCGACTGTAGGCGGTGCATGCTAATGACTCAATCAGCCATGGGAAGGACAAGAAGAACAATAAAAAGCCTACCAATGGTTTCCGGGTGTTTTTCCATCTGCTCTTTGGATAGGCCGAAAGAGGCACAGTAGTCCAAGTGCAGCGCCGTTTCACGTTGGATGTGCAGGACAATTTGAGCGGACTGAGTTCCTAGTCAGCTTCCTCAAAGTCCAAGCAAAGGAACAATAAATGGATTACTCACTGCGGCAATCGACTCCATGTTCTTCCCCTTATACGCGGCGAGTGCGTTGCTCCGGGCGAAATGAACCTGGGCACGCAAAACCAGTTAGCTCTTGTTGTAGATGTAGGACAAAATCGAGAAGAACACCTACGAGATAGAGATAATCCTGCACCAGGTACTCCTTGAATCGGTCCACGGGAAGTTTTCCTGAACCCATGCCCAAAACGAAATCATGCTCCGTGAACTTCTTCCACACCGGTCGAACATCGGGATGATCCAGGACATACTCCACAAAACGTCCCCTGTCCAGGATTGTCAGTAATCTTATAACCTAACTAAACCAGCGAAAGAACTCACGGGGCAAACGGCATCGTATACACAGAATGGAAATGATTGATTGGACCACTCCCCTTTCCAAGATCAAAGCTAGTCTTGATACCAACCTCAACGAATCTCACGGCCGCCTGCACAGCGCGTTGCAAATCCTTCCCCAAGGCCAGGTTGGCCGCGATGGCAGAGGCAAGGGAACAGCCAGTCCCGTGAGTGTTCTTCGAGACCAAGAAATCGGTTTCAAACAAGGTGGCATTCTCGCCGTCAAAAAGCACATCGATGACTGTCGTCGCGTCTTGCGGGTTGCTAGCGGTCTGATGTGTCTTGGTAAGCGGCAGATGTCCTCCTTTGAGAAGAACGGCCTTGGGACCCAAGGTGCAGATTTTCTTGGCTAGATCGATGAGCTCCGTAATGTCTTTCGGCTCGGGCACATCCAGTCCGGCATCCTTGAGCAGAAGCTGTGCTTCGGGGATGTTCGGCGTGAGAATTGTCGTTAGGGGCAATAGCTTCGTCCGAAGGCCTTGCACGGCAGCTTCGGGTAGCAGCTGTGAGCCGCTCGTAGATACCATAACCTATGACATGCTTTAGTTTTCATCAATTGAGAAGACCGAAGAAAAGACACCGTACGGGATCCAACACCACCGAAGGGACTCGGTGGGACACGAGTGCCTCAGCGACGACGTCAATCGTCTCGGCGGACGAAAGCATTCCTGCTCCAGGTCAACCAAGGAACTACCGTAATGATCAGGGAGAGAAAAACCTACCAAACTTGACCACGTCCGCTCCGACATCTTCCAGACCGGCGTTGATTTGCTTTTTGACAAATTCAGCCGGGACCACGAAGATGTCCTGCACCCCGAGGGTGTTCTGTGCCGTGAGGCCCGTAGTCGCAGTCAGGGCATAAACGCCATGTGCGGCTAGAACCCTCTGATCTGCTTCTAGACCGCTGGATGCAGAGGGAGTGCATTAGTCTGACTGCCGGAGGAAGAGCTGAAATTTGGAGGGGAGAGGGGAGAGGGGAGGCAAAGATGAACATACGCGCCACCCGAGCTGTCGGACCCGGCGATGACTAGAACTCGCTTTACCGACATTATGGAAAGTCGGAGAGCAGAAATTCACCCTTGAGAGTTTCTTTAGAAGGGGTGGGCGATAAGGATCGAGTCGGGAAGAAGTATGCATATGGGCATTGGGGAAATTGCGGAACTACGCAGACTTGGTGGGGTGTGGGCCCGCCACGGTCTTTGGGTCAAACTTGTGATAAGATGAAGTCATTTGTACAACTGTTTACATTTATGATATTATCTTTCAGAGAGACAGAGAAATAGATGCAATGTAATAGATTATTTCATGCCTAAAGTTCGTTCATCCCATCATCCAAACCGAATTGCCGGGTCCACACACAATAACGAAAATATGGAGAGCTTAACTAGTATATACAAAACCCAGAAACCCCAGCCACCAAAGGCTCAAGGGAGCATAAAGCGAAACAGACTGTCCATTTCCACCCATTGGCGACCGCACTTTTTCAAATAGGCTTCCACCACGCCCTTGACGGTTCCAAATCTATCACGGTTGAACTCAACCAGCGCCACAACGCTGTCTTTCTTCTCCCCACCGGCCTCCTTCTCCATGGCGCGGCGAGCCTTTTCCACATCCCAGAGGCCTGCGAAATAGAGGAGCTGATTGTAGATCCGCTTCTCGGAGTACTCGTAAGTCATTCGGCCAAGGCAGCCTTCGGCGTGGCCCCGGGGCCCAAGACATCGTCGTCCGTATACGCTCATCTGTCGGGTCCGGTTGCCGCAGGCTGTATCATCACAGACAAGCCAACCCTCGTAGTACTTGGAGGTCTGAGCCCGGATTTGGCTTTCCAGTTGCGCAACGATCGTCAAGACCGAGAATTGTTTCTGACAGGAGGGGTTCGGGCAAATGACGCCGTGAGCATTGCACATGTGAGAAGAGTCTACCAATCCTTCGAAAACCGATTTTTCCTTGCAGAATCGACAGGTGAGCGTCAGCCGGGCAGCATTCTCGAAACGAACGGAGTCTGGAATCTGAGATTCCAATGGGGTGATCTCCGCGTTCTGCTGAGTGCCTCCACTGGAGGAGCTATTGATTTGGTATTTGCGAACATCCAGACCCAAGCATTCGGCCAGCCGAACAGCATCGGTGCCAGGAATTGGGGCACACAGACGTTCAATAGGGGGGAAGATCTGTTTGAGAAGATAGAACTCAATGTCGGGTTTGAGCTCCGAGCCGCTCTTCATCACATCTTGAAGTGTGTAGGACCGCTTGGCGGGGGGAAGAGAGGCCGTTTCTGAATCTCCATTGGTCACAATGTAAGAGATAACGTCGTTGGGCCTGACTGATTTGCCACGGGCAAGCTCACGAAGAGCAACCTGTGCTGGCGGCATCGTTTCTTTATTAGGATATTCTTCGGGCCGTTTGGAAAGTTTCTATGCAAGTCAGTATGTGGTACGAAAGCATGGGAACAGGCGTTCATACCGTGTAGATCACATATTTCTGGACAGGAATCGTAAATTCCCGCATCTTGCCCGCCAGCTCTCGCAAGTAGTCGTGTACTCGGTTAAGGACTACCTCTTGATCATCACCAGAGAGAACCTCGTTCAAAAGCCTTTGGGAGACTTCCTTGGACAGCGCACAGTATTCACGGCGCTTCATATCGAGACCCTTAACTTCCAGCTTGTCTACATATTTGCCGTCCACTTCGGTCATGTTCACGGCAGCATATTTCTTCTTTGCATGCAGGAGGAGACGGCGGAAGATGTTATCAATATCAATCTCCAAGAGACGGTACCGCTCGTTCACCTCCTTCTTGAATTCCTCCCCGACCTTGAACGCATCACTGATGGTATCCATGTTGGTGTTGATCATGACGGAGTCAGTATCACCATAGATGACTCTCAGTTGTTTGGACTCGGCCAGTTCCTTGGTGCTCCTTAGAATCTCACGACCTTTGAATGTGGTGAGCATTGCCAACGGACGAGCGTAGAAGCGACTTTGCGTGTATCCCAGACACCCGTACATGGAATTGGCTGTCAGCTTAAAGGCCAGCTGCTTGGTGTCCCACAGCGCAAGTTGCTCAGGGGTCGCTCGTTTGTCTTTCATCAACTTTTTCACTTCTCGCCGACGACCGACCAGAGTTGAAATTAGTCGAGGCAAGATACCTTGATCCTGGTCTGAAGAAGGGATTTCGGGCACCTTCTCCTCGTTCTCATTCTCGGCCTAGATAGATGATGCCGTCAGTGAGTGCCGATATAGCTTTGTGAGGGCTGCAATTTGGTAGGGTACTCACAGTCGCGGTCCGTTCCACCGTTGTAAAACAGATGTTGTACTCCTGGATAATGCTGGGATACAAACTGTTGAAATCCATGACCAGAACGAACTTATCATAGAGGCCTTTCTCGGGTTCAAAAACAAGACCACCCTTGTATTTGTCCTTCTTTTTCTTGTCCGTCGTATCGTCATCATCGGCCTCTTGCAACTTTTCTTCGGCCTTCTGCAACTTGGAGGAGTATTTATCGGGGCAAATGTACTTGTTGCGATGGAATTCATGTAGGAGAATGTACTCGTTCCGCTCAGCACGCGTACCGCTGAGTGTTCGCGCCCACGAGTTACCGGCGATATTCGTGAGAACCTTGGTTAGAGGCAACATCTGCAGCCGCAGAACCAATGCGGCGATGAAGTAGGTGTCGGCATCGCAATGGTTCACGAAATTCATCAGACCCTCTTTCGAATTGGCCCATGATTTCAATGCTGCCTCGGTGTCCAAATCCTGCCGCGTGTTGCCCTGGCCAAGGTACAGTTCGCACATCTCCGTCAAACTCCACGACTGACATTTCATCATGAGAGACTAGCAGCTCGTTAGCAACAAAATCACGTTCGAGAGGTCAATAAGCCTACCTTGCCCATATCGTTAGCAACGTCACACATCAACCGACCCGCAACCAGATGTCTCTCAGCGAAAAAGCCGCCCCCTCCTCTATTGAAGTTCTTGGGCCAGTCTCCACGCTTAAGTCGACCCAATCGATGCCAACCCGGAGTTTTCTTTTCTTTCAGTCTGCTGAGTAGAATGCTGAGATCCACCTCCTGCAGCTGATGCCCCATCAAGACATCGGGATCCATTTTCTCGAATAACGCGAGGAATTTGCTGAGCAAGAACTGCTCGCTCTTCTCTAGCATATACGTTCCTCGTTGCTTTCGGGTCTCCGCTTCGAAATGCATGGGGTAGGAAGAGCCCACAGGACGCATAACTGTGAACGTCTTGCAAGGGAGTCTCTCGGGGGGCGTCGTCTCCGTGAGCGAAACATTCTCGTACACGCGAGCACTTGCAACCAGGATCTCCTGCTTGTTTTCCTTCACATTGAGTTGTGTCCGGAACGATAGACTCATCAACGTAAGAGGCGGGGCGTCTAGATTCTCCGAATCGGGCACGGGGGAAATGAGCGCAGGCTTGGAGGCCTGGCATTCGAATTTACACCAGGAAGCGTTATTGACGGCGGAGAGATCGGCCTCCTTGATTTCGAGCCAACAGGGACCCATGATGTTCTTCCATAGGACGAATTGTTCGAACAAGGAAGTGTTGGTTCCGAAAACGTTGGAGAATGTTTCCCCCTTGGCGTCCATCGGCAGGGCCGGTTTATCATAAGGGTATAGCAGCTTGAGGTAGTCGGCCTCTTTCGGGATACCGGGCATTTCAAACGCGTATTTGCGAGTACACGGCTTGATCTTGTGCATGCCTACTTTCAGTCGCGACATCATATCGTCGACTTCTTGGTAAACATCTTCCATGTCGACCTCTTCCCCGGTGGAACGGCCATGCTTGTGCCTGTGTTCTCGGGGAAGGAAGTAGAGCTTTCGCAGGATGTTGTCAACTTTCACGAAAGCACTAGCAAAAGCACCCGTCTGCTTGTTCTTGACTTTTCCAAATAAGCACAGGCTGCCATTGACTTCGGTAAAATCCAGCCAGAACATGCGCACGCTTCCATCTGCCTCAACAACGTCTTGCGCTCGCAGCTTACCGGGTGCTGTTCGCGTCTCCGATGCCGGGCTGTTGAGGACATTCAACTTGCTACGCACATCATTCCACGACGCATCGACAACATCCGGCGCTGCTTTCATTGGCGAGGAGCTGGCCGGCGTAGGCAGAATTTCCTTCTTCAGCTTAGGGGGAGGCCGACTTCCAGCCATGTTCACGCTTGCTGCTTTAGCTTCATGGTCCCCAGTAGCTTGAGCCACTTCCATCAAATCATTATCGTCGTCATCAAACTCCTCGGCCTTCACGGGAACGGCGGCCTTCCTCTCCACAGCCTTGCTCGTGGGCGAAGAGGGCATCGGATCGCTCATCGGCACGTCGTCGTCGTCATCGGCGGCGGGAAGGGGGCCGTCATCGTTGTCTAGATCAAGTGTCGATGTTTCCTCGCCCGGCAAAACGGGGTCGCTATTCTCGTCCTTTGGGGGTTGGGGTTTCCTTTCGGGGCGTGTTCTCTGGGCTAGCGGTGGTGAAAGGATGCGAACTTTGCGCCGCGTCTCTGACTTGATCACATTCTGCGGCGGAGGCACATGATTCGAAACGACATTGGTGTCGACCTCTCCGAGAAGATCGGCCATGAAAGCGTCGTCTTCCGCGGTAGCCACTGGCTGCGAAAAGGAAAGAACAAGTCAGTCACCTCCAACATGTACTACGCAAATTTCTATACACTGCATTCTCACCTTCGGTTTCGGCGCAGCAGCAGCAGCAGCCCCCTTGTTGAAGTATTTCGAGATACCGTTATTCATCTTCTCTTGTCGCTGCTTCTCTTCCTCTCGTTTCCGTTTCGCCGCCTTGCTATTCGCCGGCAGTTCATCATCGTCGCTCTCACTATCGTAGTAACCGGCAGACTGCTCATTCCAGACCTCGCGACCGTCGTCCGCATACCCCTCACCATTATCGTCAACAACGAAGTCATCCTCATCCAGCCGATTCCGGATGATCTTCTTATATCCGTCATCGTCGACCTCTTCATAAATGTCGCCCTGTTCCTCGATTTCGTAAGTCGAAAGACGTTTCTTTCCTGCGGCACGCAGGGCACGCAGCTCGGCCAATTTCGCCCGGTGAGAAGCCATGGCGCGTAGGGAGTTATCGCAGACAACTGGCGTCCATTAATCAATCACCTAGGAAAGTGAAGGGCTTTCGCGGTGGTCGAGACCCGTGGAGGCTTCGGGAAAAGGGCGATTGAATTGAATCGGGAAGGGAATTGGGAAGGGAGAGTGGGCGGGACGCGGAGAATCGGCGGGAACGACGCGTTGCGGAAACGCGAGAGGGACGCGCTCTCCGCCAATCCTCGTTAAGTGGTTTTGCCCGCTGCGTCAGCATCTACAGACCAACTAACTTAGCTATTCAACTAGTTACATAGGCTTTTAGATGGACCACGCCTGGAAGTCTCGTTCGCTTTGATTATCTGATAGTTGCTGCTTTTTCTTCGCTCCTCACTTGGGGATACAATCCAATTTCCAACGGACTACTTATATTACCGAAATAGGAAAAAATGAACAGGTCCTCCGCAGGCTTCATGACTATTACTGACCGACTAATCCGACAATTCAGCATCTGAGTCCATGTCACTGTATTCCTCTGGTAATCCGTTATCAGCAATGATCCCGAGGATTTCAAGAGAACACGCAACCAACCTTGAGCGAGACCAAAGTCAAACGACCCATCCAGCTTAGTCTTCAGAGTATCGCGAATGACATTTTGCGCTTCTTCCGTGATATTTGCGTCGGTGGTGGCATTCAGGATAGACAAGCTGAACCCGTGATTCCCAGGTCCCAGGCGTGAGATGAAGTCGAGGATCCCGCGAGACGTGAATTCACTCAGTGCGTGGATAACAAGGCTTTGCAGATTCGGGAGGCATAAGAACGCCTTCCACACCTCGTCGTTCAGGTAGTCACCGCCGATCCATAAGCGGTTCAGGTGGGGGAGAAAAGGAGTCAGTACGGCTATGTGATTGAGCGAGAACCCATCGGAGATGTCCTTGAGTTCAAGCTCTTGCAGGTTATTCAGCTGGAGGAGGGCTTGCAGAAACACATCGTTTTCGATGTAGTTTTCCGTTGATTCTCCGCGGAGATAGAGGCTCTGCAGGGACTGTTGCGAGCCGAGAGCTTCGTGGAAAGCACGACTTTGAGACATTATATAGCCCTCCAGGGAGAGACTGGACAGTCGAAGCCCGTCTTCTCTTAGGACCTGCGATAGGAGATTCGCGTCGTCAACGAATTTCCTGAGGTCAAGGCGCTTCAAGGCTTGGCAACTGCGTATCCACTCAGCAACGCGCGTGATGATGGAATAGAACTCGTCGTTCCTGGCCGTCGGGATTGAGTCCGTTAGGACCAAGACCTCTAGCACTGGAAGCGCTGCCAACGAAGGAAGTTCCGCGATCGCCTCGATGGATAAGCTTGTGAGCTTCAGCTCTCTCAAAGAGTCTAGATGCGAGCCCAGAGCCTTGATCGAGCGTGGGCCTAAATGCGAGTAACTAAATACCTCGAAATACTGCAGAGTGTTGGGGTTCAGTTCATTCAGGAACTCCTCGCAGTCGGTCTCGGCGGTCTTGGACGACCTGGTCACGGTCAGAATGTCATTTGTTAAAGGGTTCCATATTAGCATACCATCCGTAGATTGTGAGTTGCTTGAAGTCAGGACAGTGGGAACGGAGTTTATCGCCCGCATGCTCTGTCAGGGAGGCCCCAGACCAGACGGACAGGGTTTGCAACATCGGTAGACGTTCGAGCCATTCGGCTAATACAGATGATGGAACTGAAGCGCTAGATTAGAACGAGTCTCCCTAAAGTATACGAGCTCTGACTTACTGCTGCAACGCATTCCTCGGATTGATGTCGCCCTCTCAATAATTGCTGTAGTAGCCAAGTTAACACACATTACTAACGACGTGACTCTTTAACTCTGCAAGCAAACTTACCTCCACCAAGCTTAGCCATAATCCATTCATTGTCTGGAAAGACCCTCGACGAACGAAGTCGCTTATTCCCTTTGGATGCATAGTCGCGGGACACGAAATCCAGGACCTCTGGTGTAAAGAAGTCACTAGATACAGTTAGCCACTCAGATAATACTTTCACCCAAGCCAGGAACCTTCTTACTCTTTGATCTTCCCAGAGAACCCAGTATCTTTCAGCAGATCAATCAAATCATCGAGATCCAAGTACCGGATATAACTATAGTACGGCAGATAAGTCTGACCGAACGTAGACAGCACGATTGATCGCCACATAAGCGCCCATTTCCGAGTAATAGCCTCCTGCTGACTCCGGAGAACCGCCAGCGTCGGCACGGCCCTCCGCGTTCTGAACTGCTCGTTATCTGTCCCTCCGCTTCTCACTGGCGAGGTGTTATACAATCTAGCGATAGTCAGATATCAGCAGGGATAAAACCCAAGAACGCATAAGATAAGAGCTTAAAGTCCTCACTTGTACAAAGACGTCAACGCAAACTCGGTAAAACATTTCGACGAAAGAGCACATTGAAACAGACTGTTGTAGTCCTTCTCATCGCCGAGAATATCCAGGATCATGTAGAGAACATCACCGGCCAGGGCGAACGTCATTGTGGCTGGCAGATCGTGTTTTTTACCCGCCCCAGAACAGAATCCCTGCTTGGCTGCAAAGGGTCATTTATAAAGAGCTATTTCAATTTCGAGAGGTTCTTATGAGATGAATTTTTCTCTCCCCCGCGGTGTTCCTGGGAGGTGCTGATGCTCTGTCTGGGGGGGACCGCCTTACCTCCAGGCTCGATTACATAAGCACGCGTCGTGTTTGGCCGCTGACGTGAACCAGGAACCGATCAATGCTTTCAAGGTAACCCAACATCGGCAATTATACCTCTTTTTCTGGAGTGGGATTTCGATTTTACAGGCTAGCGTTGTCTTCGGAGAAGTCGGGGATAAGATATCGGGTAGAAGAGACATGACAACCCTGTCTTTTGCACTTGCGCCGCAGGCGTTAATCCAGCTGCACGATGCACTGATATGTCTATCCAAGTTCGACGAAACGGTAGTACTGGAGGCTGAATATGACCTAGTCAGTATTCCCCATCCATTGCAAAACATCACATCATATCCCAGAGCTAACGGGTACCTCAAGCTTCGTCTGAGCGTGCTCAACCCCACAAAAACAAGCTATTCGGCATTTGCGCTAGAAGCAGACAGCTTTTTCCAGGATTACTCGTTTGGTGTCCTGCGAGATGCCAATTCAGCTAGGACGGGACAGTCGAGGAAGTTCTGCTGTCAGGTGTATTTGAAAGTAAAGACCATTTGAATTTAGTCCCACGGTGGTGAATGTTTTGCTAACTTTGACCATAGGCTTTGCTCTCTGTCTTCAAGGGCAGGACAAGTGGGCGGAATAAAGACACGGCGGTGGAGCGCTGTGAGGTCGATTTATACGAGGATTTTGATACGGCTGAATGCCGACTTGTTATTAAGATGATATGTGGATTGGGTACGTGTCTACAACGTTCTTGTTTATGGCTTTCGAGCGCTGACCATCCATGATAGGAGTGATAAAATCCTACAAACTCACATATGAACCGACTACTGCGCAGCATGCTATTTTTGACAGGTCTAAGACGACTAATCAATGGAGCATCGAGCCTAAGTTTCTAAGAGAAATCACTGATCATTTCAGTCCGTCGGCGGAACAACTAGATATCTATTCCGAAGCTGGGAAGGCTATCTTTACAAGTTTCACGACAAAAATAGCAGAGGGGAAAGGTATGCTGAACTCAAACTTGGGGAAAGAGCCGGGCTAACACTGGGTAGAGGTTCTCAAGCAACCAGTGCATACCGCGGTGGCTATTGAGAAGAAAGATTTCGAGCAATTCTTGGCCCAAGATGGTATACATCTTGCCATTAGCCTGAAAGATTTCAAAGCTGTGATTGCCCATGCTGAGACAGCAGGTGCAATCATCACTGCCCGGTATACTCGGCCATCGCGACCAATGCAGCTCGCGTACGATCTTGAGGGCTTGAGGTCTGAATTCACCCTGATGACAACGGGTGACCCGGGCGCAGACGATGGTCCTGTTTCTTCTCGCCCGCCGGAGTTGTCGGCGAGGCAAACACCTGCTCCTATACAATACAACACATCCCAGCCGCGTCCAAGCAATAGATCCGCGGACGTGAGACAGATGCCTCCTCCGCCTTCTCGCAGTCGGTCCATTCGGCCTCTCACAGGTACTTCTGCCCGCAACACGCAAACGCAAACACAGACAGAGAGCCAGCCGCCACCCGCATCGATCAACTTCGAAAGTCTCTTTGTACCCGCCGATGACGATGGGCAGTGGGATGTCCCGAACGAGGAGGAAGAAGCAGAAGATGTTCTGGGTTGGGACGCAACGGGCGACCAGGTTTGTATCTCAAGGGCAGCCCCTGTGAACTATCCGCTAACGGAAACAATAGCATATTGATAGCCTCGGTCAGCGCTTACGGGATACCGAACCCAGTATGCGGCGAGGCGATCAAGCGACACATGAGGAAGAAGAGATGGGTATCCCTCCCACACAGCGCATGTCACAGGTAAGGCAGTAGCTCCCGTTAGTATACTGGCCAAACTGACTCTCCATAGCTTCATGGACTTGGTCTTTTTGACTGAGCAAACTTGCCCGGCGTTTGAAGTTGGTGGTGCTAAGTCACCCAACAACGGTGGAACGACACGGGGAACAACTTCCCCTAGATCGAAGACATCACCTGCTAGTAATGACCCAGCTAGTGGCACAACCCGCACCAATCCCAACAATCGCGGAACCCCCCTCAACCGACAGAGGGATTCGTTTGTACTCCCCCTTGACATTTCCCTGTGCATCGGTATCGGGGCCGCAGTTGCCATGCTCCCCCCACCCAAATGCCACCACGCTCTGATCCTCAAGAAGCGCCAGCGCATGTTCACTCCCAACAGCGATGTCCTTCGATGCGGGTAAATCCCCCGGCGGAAGCTGGCCGCGATCATTCCGGCCCCAGCAAACAACCGAAGAGTCATTCCGATGTACATAGATCCCATGCCAACTAGCATAAATCCCACGATACCCTTCCACAGCGGCCGACGCGGGAACCCCAGATAGAATATTCCACTTATCCCCGGACGACCCGAGCACGGCAAATTGCCCCGCGGCGCGGTCCCCCGTCACCACTGTAAATTCACGACCACAGGCCGCCGCACTCGCCGAGAACCTCAAATTATCGATCTTGACCGGCTTCCAGGCGATCTTCGACGCGACAGCCGCCTCCCCAAGTTGACCCTTCCTCGCCCCTCCCCACCCATACACCTCTCCACTCGACAGCACAGTAACCGTATGACCCATGCCACTCGCAATCGCGGTGATTCGCGTTCCCCTAGGCGGGAAATCCGGGATCCTCGTCGCCGCCTCAACCCGTGCACATCCCTCCCCGAGTCCCAATTCCCCTTTCGCGCCGGATCCCAACACGAAGACGACATCTTCATCTACGCCGCCTGGCAACGACGAGACGAGACAACTGGCTTCCCACGTCGCCGAGACGCCCTTGAACGTATCATACGACCGCCCTGTGGATGCATCGTCCACAATCACCCGCCGAAACTTGAGCAGTGGGTCGGCCGATGAGGGACGCAGGCCACATCGCCCGTCCTCGTTGCACCCAGCCGCGTAGACCGCTCCATCGGCGAACAGGATCAAAGTGTGATTTCCACCTGCGACGATGCGCGAGATACCAGTCTCGGCTCGGTTCTGGTCCTGTATAGGTGATGATGAGCAGCTGGGTGATGACGACCCCTGTTCTTCGTCGAATAGACATCGTGTAGGAACCGAGACATCTTCAACGTGACCGATACCTAATTGGCCGGATCCGTTGGAGCCGAATGAGAAAATAGTCATTTGAAAGGAATCGAATCGAAGATCAAGTCAATTGATTTCGTAGTATCTTCTTGTTATTCTTTATCCCACCGGACTTTTGTTGTAATTGTTGGTTCGTTCGTAGCGGGAAGAGAACGCCAAGCCTTTCCAGCCTTCGAGAAATTAGGGCTTACACCGCCTACCGGATCTGAACTGGGCTGTGCCCACTTGCCTCGGTCTGAAAACGGACTCTTTAGCCTTAGCCCTACTCCGGAGTTAGTCCTACTGACGGAGTACACCGGTGTACGGTGTAAGTTCTTAGCCCTGCGGAACTCGACCGTTATCGCTTGCCCCACGGAAATAAGTCGGCACAACCGGTCCGGCTGCAAATCCCGGTTACAATCATGATTCATGATTTCACCGTAGCGACCGCCCTGTGTTGCTAACTTGCTGGACCCTCCATCAGTGGATCTTACTACGTGTAACTATTAGATACTAATGGATCCTTACTGAAAATGGAAAAGAGCTCCTTGGAGTATGTGACATTAATCAAGATTCTATATGTACTTCGGTGGGTATTCATAGCCTGTGTACAGAACATCTCCGCAATAAAGATAACAAAAAGGCTAAAGTATATATGCATGTACAACACGCAAGAACATCATGCAAGCTCGTCTCATGAAAAAGAAGACGGAGGGGGAAAAAAGGGACTAAACAATATTATACTGTGAGAAGGGTATCGTGGCGCTCATTTTTCTGACTTTTCGTTGAAAGAATCGGACGAATCCCCGTCCTGTGCGGCCGGGGGAAGAGCGAAGTTATCTGACTTGCCGGTTTGCTCCATAGGTCGGAACATCGGGCTGGTTCGATGGAAGTAGGCGTGGACATGGCCTTCCAGAAGGCTGTCATCAGTGTCCATGTCGAGCTCTTCGCCCTTGCTCTGCTCGGCGACCTTGCGAGACATGGCGGTCTCCCACTCGGCACGGTACTCTTCCACCTTGCTCTTGTAATCAGCCTCGGCGTCGTAGTACTTGCCCTTGCCGGTGATTCGCTCCCAGAGAGACAGGTGCTTAGGGTGAACAGCGGGGCCGTGGTACTCATGCTCACGACCGTCGCGAATGTACGACCAGCGACGCTCCTGTTCCTTCAGGTCAAGGCCAGTGGTATCGGGGAGGAAGACCAGAGTCAGGATCATTCCGGCGAGACCGAACCAGGGAACGACGTAGAACTTGGTTTGCGTGTCGATATAGTTGTAGAGGACGGATGCCAAAAGCGCTCCGCACTTACCAGCAGCCGCAGAGAGACCGTGGGCAGTGGCGCGGATGGGAGTCGGGAAGACCTCGGCGGCAACCAAGAAAGTTACCGAGTTGGGGCCGAACTGGTTGAAGAAGGAACTCAGGAAGTACATGGCTTGGAAAGCGTGGACGTGCTCCGGCGAAGTATAGTACTCGAAGTTGAAAGCGGGAACGATGAAGAGGATGAAATCCATCATAAATCCGATCATCTGCATCCACTTGCGGCCGTACAATTTGTTGTCGATGAGGAACGAGGCACAGTAGTAGCCGACCAGCGACACGCCTACGTTGACCAAGTTCCAGAGCCAGGTGGGCATGATGGAAGTGGAAGCAGGACTGATCACCTTGATAAACTCGGACTGGAACAGCTTGTTGCCGTAGAAGAAAACATCGTTGGCAAACCAGCCACCGGCAGTAGCCAAGATACGGAATCCGAAGTGATGGAATGTCAAGCGAAGCGAGTTGAAGTCGTACCCGGTCACGGACGACTTCTTCTTCGCCGCGGCCAGCTGCTTACTGGCGGCCTTCATGTGGTAGGCACGGTAGTAGACCAGCCACAACGTGCCAACGGCCGGAATGGCGAAGGAGATGCGGTAAGTCCATTGAGCGGACACGGTGGAATAGGGCGGGTTACCGCTGCCGTGGTGGAAACAGAGCAGCAGAATGATGAGGATAACCTGGTTGAAGAATTGACCCCAACCCTGCATCAAAAAGGCGCTAGTGACCTTTCGGCCACGGTGCAGACGATCTTCCTTGGTCGAGACTTTCCCGGAGCCAACGGCGTTCTCCATACCACTTGTAGCGGTCATTGGATATTCACCACCTATAAAATCTTTGTCAGACACGAACTGGAGATTGTCGATGATTGATCCATGTGAACTTACCAACACCGATACCGTAAAAGAACAACGACCAGGCGTAACAGATAATCCAACCATTCTGGGTAACACCCCAGGCCGCGGTCAGCATCAGCAGACCGATAAACATGATTGCCGCATCTTGAATGAGACCCCATCGTCGGCCAAGCCTGATAATAGGATTAGCCATAGAGTTCGCGGGAAAAGCTTAGGCTTCTCAACCAGTCCGTCGAGAGGGGTGCTCGTACCAATCACCCAGGATTCCAACCAAGATTTGTCCCACAATGATACCGCAGATTTCAAGATAGTCGATGGCGTCCAACCAATTGGAGTTGCAGATCTCCTTGTCATCCCAGCACGATTTGAAGACAGCCTGGAAGAGAGGTTTCAGATTTCCGATCGAGAAGAGCACGTAACTAGAGTAAACGACCAATTAGCTTCCCGATTCTCTCTCTCTCTCTCTCTCTCTCCGCCGGGTGGACCGAGGACATCCGAGCACTTACCCTTCCAGACCTAATCCCGCGCCAGGAAGCACCATATTCCGGAAGTAGTACGAGACGGGAGACAGGGGATCCTGTTTGGTCATCTCCCATATCGACTTCAGTTCGCGCTTGGCTTCCCCGGCGTCGTAGGAGCCCACAAACTTGATCCTGCGGAAGAAGGACAAGTCGGCCCAATACGTGCCGTCCGGGGTATAGCTGTCGTCGGGACGAATCAGGGCGTCGAAGGCGCCCTTCTCGTTGATGTCCATGTTCTCGAGCGGCTGATGGGTCCCCGACATGTCGGGCCCGTGAGGCGCACGAGGGCCAAAGTCGGTCATTGTGTGGTCGAGAGGTGATGCTCTGGCGCACCGACGATCAGATTGATTACCTCTTGGCCTGCGAGACAAGAGGAGTAGAGGCGGGCTTGGTAGGCCAGGAGGATGACCGTTCGTCAAGAGGGAAGTGGAAGGCGTCACACACAATGGCAGCCAAGTCGGACCAGGTTGGTATCAACTTATATGAAAGAGGGCGAAGGTGGAAGAAAAATCTCTGGGCGGAGGCGGACGAGAGCCAGCGGGCCTACAGGCTCCAGGCACATGCCGAAATGCCGCTTTATGATAAGTCGACGCAGGTGTGGTTAGATCCAGAGTAGGGCCAGGATCCACGGGCGAAGCGATCATGTCAGTGGTGGTTGGCGGGCGAGCAACTCCATTGCCCAGACCAGGGAACCGGAGCCAGAAGTGACCGACCGGTGCTAGTCGGGTGGGATCGAAGTGGCTCCCATTTGTCAAGGACTCCAGGGACTCCAATTTGGAACGGAGTCGAAAGTGGGTGAGGATATTCAGACCGGAATTGATCAGAGAGGATATCAAAAAAAATCAATTGATTTTATTGATTTTATTCACGTATTTTCTGGCTCTTTGATTTTACTTTTTGTTTTCGCTTTTCTTTTTCTTTTTCATTTTCAATTTCATTTTTCATTTATTTTATTTTCCAATTTTAATTCTGTTCCTTCCATTTTGCCATCGTGACGTGCTGCAAAAGCAGGTTAGTGCGGGCGCGGCGGAACCGCCTCGTTACCAGTGCGGAAGGCGGGACGAGTCTCGCCGTCGCTCAACTTCCGCTACCGGCCAATCAAAGGTGCACGTGGTGGCAGAATCCGAACACGATCGCCACGACCGCCTTCTAGAATAAAAAGGTTCTTCCCCCACCCATTTCCCAATTCATCCAATCCAATTCTCCGTCGCAGCACGAGCGGCGAGAAAACCCGCTCGCTCTCAGCCACGGAGATTCAACTTGCATGAGAACTTCGTAAGTCTGTTGGAGACACCGTCACACGGATGAACAACAATTCAACTTCCCGGGGTTATTTATGGATCTCCGAATCTCCAGACGGAGGGGGGGAACGAGTCCAATGCATAGAGGGTGGGATGGATGAGATCTCGACTCCGCATTAGTCCCGTCCTCCGTACCACCTGCCGGCCGGCCTGGTACGACGTCAAGAACAGGGAATCTAGTTGCATGTCCTAAGAGAGTAACTGCGCGTGTGCCTGCTCGTCTGCCGCTGTACAGTACCTACCTAAGCAGATATGCCACGGAGCGGTCAGGATTGACTTTACAGTTCACCTCGAATATCCGTATTCCGTGGACTTCCAGGAACAACAATTTTTTTTTTCCTTTTTTTTTTTTTATTCTATTCTTTTTTATTCTGTTTCTCCCTCGCTGACGGGCCGTAACTCGTGGTGCAGTCCGACCGGCGGCGTGGCATCTTGGCGTTGTCAATCTCCGCCCGCAGCCAGTCAGCGGTCGCCCTGCGATCACGTTCCTCCCAGGGTCGTCGTAACTGCGGAGTTCGTTACCGCCTGCCTACTTGCGGAGTAAGATTAGAATTTGCTGACGGAGGATCGAGGAGGCCTCTTTGCTTTTAGTGTTCCAGACTTGCCCTCCACGGTGTATCCACTCCCCCATGCCACATGGGCACATGGGCGAAAGCAAGGAGGCAGATAGGTCATCGGATGGTCCGCCTCATGCTCCATCGCTTGCTATCAATGTCGCTGCCTGTGGACTTCCTCTTACTGATTCTGGTCGGCATCTCGTCTAGTTACACTCGCTCGAACCAATACCAAGGGCTGGGTCCACGATGATGGCTACCGTGCAACCCTGGAGTCAGAACAGCATAGAGCCGCCAGCCTATAGCCTGACGTTAGGGCCTCTCTTGCTTCGATATCACTGTTGATCCAAATAACCGCACCGGTTTCTCTTCCTATTCCAGCCGGTCCCGGTGGCAGTATCAGCATGTCAGTGTGTCCTGATCCACACCTCGGAAATCCCCGATCCTCAATTCACGGAGTAGGTCGTCGGATGGCCTCATTCGGCCTGCATCTAGGACATCTCACGGCGTCATTCCTCGGGTAAACCGGATGATAGCACAACATCTGAGGTCCAGGACCCCTTGTCATTAATCTAAACTGACTTTGGCCCCTTGGTATCCACAGACCTGTGTACAATGCTTAGCGATGCTTGATAGTATTCAAGACTCCTTAGCTGGCTACCGGAGGAAGACTAACAACAAAAGGGCGCTCCGGGGAGGCCACAAGGTCGAACGAGCGCCAGGCATTGGTCAATTTGCTGAGGTATTAATCATAGTCCCTGACTCGTAACTCGGTCACCTGGGAGAGTCCAGGTCTACGGTGGATGAACATGCAAGTTCCCTGCATGGGATCGGGATGCAGCGCGTCCATCGGACGGTCGCTACATGTGGCCCACTGAGTACCTATGCATCCGTACCTCATGATCCGTGATAACCGACGAGATATTATCATCCATTTTCCAGCCCCTTTTTGACCGCCTCTGAACTCTGTATCGTGATCTTGGCTGCCCTCCTTTGCGATATCAACGAGTAAAGCTGGCCAATTCATGGCTGATTCCAGGCGCCAACATTTCCATGGCCCCTTACCTCGAAATAACAACAATATGATCACACCCTGTCAGCCGGAGACTTGATCAAGTCAACCAACTGCTCAGAGATCGCCATGCCATGCCATGAGGTGGCATACCCCTTGCGTTGTGCATACACATGAAGTGTACTTGTCGAATCTGTTAGCCCGTACGACCCCAGAACATTCACATTCAGTAACTTCCTGGAAGCCAATCGGTCATCCGGAAATGTGATATCATATATGATCTCACACTGCAGCTGCATTTATCCCGGTCCAAGTATGACAGGTATGAAGCAAGATCTTCAGCGGAATCGCAGGGCTGAAAGCCGCAGTCGTCGGATCGCTATTTTCGGGAAATCTGCCTTGTCCAACCCGCATCGGTATAAAGACGGGAACAACACAGCATGAGTTGTCAAAGCTTCTCGCTGCGGAATGCACACTGTGTTACATGCAGGCTACCTATCCAGACAATTGTCTGCATGGGTTTATGTTGAGACATCAGCATGATGTGACCGCATGATCGAATCCAGCCACCCGAAGGCAGAAGGTTTTCCGTGGATAAGGTTTCTTGTGATGGACCGGAATTGACTGGTTCTAATCTGAGAATGAGGATGCCTAGGTACGACTTCCATGGCAACTCCGCGAGGTCGGTGTCCTCCCGGCACAAGTTGTTAATGGTCTTTTCGATTTATACCACACCAGTGGTCCTATACCCACGCAGGTGAGTTCTTTCACCAACAACAGCATAATATACTATCTTTGCATCACATTCGAGGCGCAGCACTTACGACTATATGTCTTGGTCTTTCAGCCTGTTCGAAGTATCTTCATCATCCTTCATATGCTAATACTCCAAACAAGATGTTCTTCTAAAGATAGCATCGCGATTGTCGAACATATGTCTTGATCTTCAAGCTGTCAGTTGAGATCTATACACCATCCTTCTCCTATGCGAAACCTCCAAGCAACATACTTCTAAAGATAGCATCGTGATTATCGATTGATGCGGCAGCCTAAAAACAAATTAGCAACTCATCTTGACACTACACTCGGAAATCTTTTCCCGGCCGTCCTTGCAAACCCAGGGCGGTCGAATTTCGCTTGTTGGCCTATATGAGAAAATATACTTCGATGAAGACCTAACTCTTGTGCCCCTATTCGATAACAAGCAGACTAATCAAAGCACTATGTTGCCATGTTTGTTGGAATAGTTATACGGTGCCATAGTTAACGAAACTAAGCTGCCCAAGTCACCTCACCACTGCCGTTCATGTGTACATCCAACCCATTCATGTACTCCGTAAGGCAAAGGCAAATGATTGACTGTCAGCATTGACAGCGGCATCAACGAGAGTCAGGCTCAACAAACAATAAAGCAAACATTACTACATGTGTCTTTGATGTGGAATAGAGTAGTGTCAAATCCTTGCTCGTAAATTGGGGTAATTGATTCCATTTTCATTGATATGTCCTTGATCCTGCTTCTGTCCATGGACTTTTGATGATCTTACGATGGATAGATGGGTCTTTTTAGACAAGTAAATGCTAGTATAGACTTGTATATCAGGCGCATAGTCTATGGGGACCATTTCTTTTTTTTCTGAGTTTATATACTAGACATTACACAGAGCAAGCGCCATGGTCTCAAGTAACAATAATCTCTTTCACTCGGGCCAGAAAATTCATTGATTGAGTTCACTGTTTCAAACCTCACAGTCTAGGGAACGATGGAAGATGAAGAACCTAAGTGACAGGAAATTTTGCTCTTCTGAATTCAATTACTGATAAGATGCCTGAAAGCCTGATATTTGCCGCAGACGCTGATAATTGTCACTCCTCTAGTTTCAGTCATGCAGATAAGGGACTGGCTATATATAATGTGCATCCCGAAACGTAGATAACACGCACTGAGGGGAATCTACTTTACTAACCAATTCCATGATGAGTCATTTAGGGAATACTGTAGATGATGAGCATGAATCGATCTTAGGAAACGAGATCATAAAAAGGGTCACTGTTCGTTAGAAATAAGGGATCTTCCTATGAGGGAGCAGACGGCGATATGCTTGGCCATGGAGATTGCAACCTCAGGCACTCAAAACACCTCAAATCGAATCGCTCACACCAGTTAACTGTATCATTCATATACAATAGGGTAGAACAGTAACCTGGAATATAGAAAGTCCCATAATTGAACGCAATCCACCGAGTGGGCTAAATCCAAAAGATAGACCGGACTTCGAGTCCCGACATGCGGATGATATTTCCGGCACATACTTTGCTATGATATCGAGATTGAAGGGCCTCAATTGAGGTCATCGTCTGTAAGTCTACTTCGTAGATCGGCGGAGTTCGAAACACACAAACAAACTCGCCTTGAAGAGCATGTAGAATGACTACACATCTCCCCAGCGTGCATGGACCAAAGTATGATGCAAGGACATCCGAGCAAACTTCGACCGACACTATCTAATCAAACCAACATCAAACTCAAATAGCAAAGTTCAAAGACCTCGACGTGGCCAAGTCCCAAGCATCAGGCCCCAATGAGACACAGCGCAAGCATACCAGAGGCTGGTCCAGACATTCCTCAACCCGGCCGGACGTAAAGCAACATTCTATCCAAGGAACAGCAACATTCCTACCTCTCCACTCTTCGAGAAACGACCAATGGGGTAATACGGAATTCCTTATAAGCATTCTGTCGCCGTGAATGTAACTCCCATTGCGGTCTCTCCTCCACGTGAGCCTAGAGCCCTGTGATGTCGATATTCTCTGCCACTTGAATTTCCCTCCCAGCCATCTTGCGGAATGCGGGGATTTGCTCTGGAGAGAAAGTATACGTAGAGCGGGATTTCTAACAAGATTCTCGTAGAAGATTTCGCTCTGATGTGTAACGACTAGATTTGCGGTGGCCTTCCCCTCTAACAAGTTTGGACAGATCAGCGATTGCAAAATGGGCCGTTTGATCGGGTTGCTACCTACGATAACTGCATTTGCGGCATTTATTCTGAGCATACTATGCCTCTTTGCCGGGTCGCAGACGAATTTGCTGGCGTCGTCCGATATACTGACGGTTCGTGGACCTTTTAAAAAAGGTACAGTGCTTTAGAAGACAGCTGACCGGAGGATAGCTGTATACACCCACCGTTGGAAATGGGGCCGGAGCCCACGACTTCTATTCAATACATGTGATGTCTTACTGCGAGGGGTCCCTGGACTCGAGGGGGGAGAAGAATCTGATGGGATGTTCCAAGCGCTCGATGCTGTTCTCCTTCGATCCGTCGGACGTACTACTGGAAGAGACCGGGAATTCCACGTCGCTTCAGGGGCTAGGATGGCCGGACGCCATCAGCGAAGATTTTCGAGCGTTTAGGGTCACCTACCAAAGTCTGGGGGTGTTATACTGCATGGGAGTGGGACTGGCAGGGTCCGCGATTCTGGCAAGACTAATTTTTATGCTTTCCCGAAAGACGCGACAGTCGGCGATAGAGTTGGCATCGCTGTTGGTAAGTTCTATGACGTCAACGATTAAGAGGCAAAACTGATGCCTTTCTTCTTCTTCTCTTCTTTCTTAATTCACGCAGACCGGCTTTATCATGATTAGCATCGCCTCCATAGTCGCGACCGTGATCATGTTCCAATTTGTGAACCTCGTCAATTACCACGGGGAGACCTCGGATGTGACCGCCCAGTACGGCCGAAAATTTTTGGCCATGAGCTGGGCCGCGGCCGGATTGTTGTTGGTCGGGAGCGTTGCGAGTTTGGCCATGGTTCTGGTCGATCGAGGCCGAGCCGAAGAGGAGCCCCCGTCACCTTCACGGCCGGACACGCCCAAATCAGAGATGGGCGGTGACACGGAGTCGGTCAAGTCGAAGGGGTAAGGACAAGACCGGCGAGAACATCTCGGAATGAAACAGAAGGGGACCGAAAATGCCCCTGCGGAAGTGCAGAGAAGAGGGTAGAAATGTTCCGAAGAGCCGAGACCAGGGGGGAACCAAGACCGGCGGAATTATTGGATGCAAATAGGAAGAAGCCAACGTGTAAATAGTCAATAGTCAATGGGTAATGGAATGATAGACCCACCGAGATTGTAATGAATGATGGCATTGCGTAGTCGACGATATCGTCTCCCTCTCGCCTTTTTCCGAACTCTCGCCCCCGTTATTCTGACTTCATACGGTTAAGCGATCAAGTCACCAACCCTGAACCCAAGTAAGAAGAGCCGGGGAAGGAATAACGTCGTCAAGAACGAAGGGGACAAAAACTGGGTCAACCGGGAAGTCGACGTCAGGAGTGGAGTTCAGGCGAGGCGGTCATCAAATGACGAAACCGCATTGCCCGTCGGTCGCACATAAAGATCGCGACTACACTGCTAGAGTCCGTCGGGTGGAGACGACCATGTTATCATAATGATGATGACGATGAGATCCGAACGGAGTAGATGTGTAGAGTCGTAGCACGCAAAACAACAATCGCCATGTCTGCCACTGCAACAGTAACTGACAAGCTGCACAATCGGCAGACGCGGCCGAGTTTCCGACTGCATCAGGATAACTTGAGGCGCGGAACGAACCGGATTGTGCAGTGGCTTGTTTCCATTCAATCATGGGCCAACATCTTGTGATTCTGGCTCGTTCGCTTTTCCCGGACGACAGATGGCCGGTCCACTCGTATCCCCGAGAATGTTCGATCATTGGATGCCTGATGGACGCCAGTAGAATCCCCAGACCGTGTTGTGCATGCCCAATCAGCGACAATCCGACGTAGTTCCAGCAGGGAAAGTAAAGGGAAAGTCACGATAGTTTTGGTGGCCGAAGCCCCTCCCCCACTTGGCCCTCATCGTCGTCCCTTCCGGTTTCTGCCTTCCTTTCCTTTCCCCCTCTCTTTGTGTCACCTTCATATAAACCCCCTCTTCTTCCCTTCCTCTCGCTCTTTTCTTTCCTCTTTCTTCTTCAACTTCCATCATCCATCCATCATCCATCCATCAATCCATTCATCTACTCCCAACCCCTCTCTTGCCTCTTGCCTCTTCTTACTACTCACCCTCCCCTCCTATCTACTTGACTCTACTACACTACCATCATCACATCCACCATGGCGAAGAAGGCTGTTCAGTTTGGCGGCGGTAACATCGGCCGTGGCTTCGTCGCCGAATTCCTTCACACTGCCGGCTACGAAGTGGTCTTTGTTGATGTCGTTGACAGCGTCATCAACGCCTTGAACGAGTCCGACTCCTACAATGTGACGGAGATCAGCGAAGAGGGTGAAGTCACCAAGACCATCACCAACTACCGCGCCATCAACTCCAAGACCAACGAGAGTGACGTCGTGCAGGAGATTGCTACCGCCGACGTGGTTACTTGCGCCGTTGGCCCTAACATCCTCAAGTTCATCGCTCCCGTCATCGCCAAGGGTATCGATGCTCGCACCGAGTCCAAGCCCTTGGCCGTCATCGCCTGCGAGAATGCCATCGGTGCCACGGATACTCTGCACGGCTTCATCAAGGAGAAGACCAACCCGGACCGTCTCTCCTCTCTCTACGAACGCGCTCAGTTCGCCAACTCGGCCATCGACCGCATTGTTCCCAACCAGCCTGCCGACAGTGGCCTGAACGTGCGCATCGAGAAGTTCTACGAATGGGTCGTCGAGAAGACTCCCTTCGGCGAGACTGGTCACCCCGACATCCAGGCCATCCACTGGGTAGACAACCTGGAGCCTTACATCGAACGCAAGCTCTTTACCGTCAACACCGGTCACGCCACCACTGCCTACTACGGCTACGCCCGCGGAAAGAAGACCATCGCTGAGGCCTTGAGCGACGAGGAGATCCGCGACATCGTGCACAAGGTCCTGGACGAGACCGCATCGTTGATCGTGGCCAAGCATGGCATCTCCGAACAAGAGCAGAAGGAATACGTCAACAAGATCGTCAGCCGCATCAGCAACCCTTACCTCGAAGACCAGGTGGAGCGTGTCGGCCGTGCTCCCGTACGCAAGCTTTCCCGCAAGGAACGCTTCATCGGCCCTGCGTCGCAACTCGCCGAGCGTGGCATGCAGTACGAGAACTTGTTGGATGCTGCCCAGATGGCGCTTCGCTTCCAGAACGTCCCCGGCGACCAGGAAAGTGTCGAACTGGCTCACATTCTCGCGGAAAACAAGGCCGACGGCGCCACCACCCAGCTTACCGGCTTGGAAGAAGATCATCCTCTGTACGCCCCTGTGCTCAAACGGGTGAGCCAAGTTCAGCAGGAGGCCAAATAAGCGAGACGCATGTTTGGCCAGCCTCCTCGCATGATCGGCGACAATGGAGGCGACGTTGAACGGGTTGAACCGCAGGACGGAACTCACACCGCATGGGAAACGGCGAAAATCGGGCTGGACGGAGCATATGGGATCTCGGAATAGCATTTTTTATGTGTAATGTCGACTTAGATGCAGGACAGCTGAGTCTAATGAATAAACGAGTATGCAATACCTGATACGTCCCGCGTAGGTGCCTAGATCTTTCATAGACAGACCGTAGATATCAAACATCTCATCACAGCTTACTATCCAGCCAGACGGGCTTCCTCTTCTCCACAAACGCCCTCAATCCCTCCTTGATATTCTCCCCTTCATTCAGCTTCTTCGACCACCCCTCCACCAACAACCGACTGCCTTCCTCCGCGCCCACCCCTTCCCATCCCAACTTCACCCCCTCCCGACTCACAATCACCGCGTCCGGACTATTCCCAGCAATCTGCCGCGCCACCTCCAGCGTCCTCCCTACCACATCCCCTCCTCCCTTGACATCCACCACCTCATTCACAAACCCCCACCGCTCCGCCTCCTCCGCCGAAACCCGTCGCCCGGTCAACACCATCTCCATCGCCCTCTGCCGTCCAACCGTCCTGACCAGTCTCGGCAACGCCCCCGCAATCGCGACAACCCCGCGCTGCACCTCGGGGAACCCGAAGAACGCTGCGTTGCTGGCAATCACCAGGTCGGCGTTTATGATCATTTCGCATCCGCCGCCGAGGCAGAGGCCGTTGACGGCGCAGAGGATGGGCTTTTTGCCCGAGCGGCGCGAGAGGCCGCCGAAGCCTGTTGCGGGTTGGTGGGGGGTGCGTTTTTTGGGTGTAGACTGGGTGTCGGAGGAGGATTGGTTGGAGTTCCATTCTGTGTAGTTCGTTAGTTAGTTTTAGTTAGTTTAGGTGTTTTTTTATTTTCCCATTTTGTTTGGTATTTATTTTTCATAGAGAGAGAGAGAGAGAGAGAGAGAGAGAGATTGATGGAGAGGAGGAGAGGGGATAAGCTACATACCCTTTAAATCCGCACCAGCGCAAAACGCCCTCCCTTCACCGGTCAACACACCCACTCGGATACTCGGCTCTTCGTCCATCCATTCCCACACGGCGTGGAGTTCCTCGTGGCCGATGCCGTTGATGCAGTTCAGGTCGCGTGGCCGGGCTAGCGTGACGAGGAGGACGTGCGGGGCGGGGAAGCTGAGACGGGAGTATTGGAGGTCGGGAGGGGGGATTTGGAATGTCATTTTATTTTAGTTATATATAATTTTGGAAACTGGGTATGGTTTGTTTGTTAGTTAGGAGGTTGGAATTGTTTTCTTTTAAAGCTGAGGGGGGTAGTTTGGATCGATTGATCTGGGAGGAGAGATGGTTATAAGAAGTGTAGGTTGGACATGCCGAGGCCCGAGTGCGGAGAACTTGGGATTAGTTATGTGGGGATTTGGCCGGGCCTGGTTCTAACGCTTAGGTGCATGTCATGGACTACTTTCATGGAACTACATGGCATGAGACACTGAGCAGATACTGGGTGAAATATACAGTGACATTCAAAGGGTGACAGATAATAAAGATGGAATCAATTGAATCAAATAACCTCGCTGGTGCAAAGTGGCTATGTATCTATCCTCATAACCACCCCATGCCCGCTCAACGCCCCAACTCCTTCCTTCTTGAAAGTTTGATATGGATTTCGATCCGTGAATATAAAGGTTCGTCCTGTTCAGTTCATCTCGCTTCTACGCCTTGTTGATCCAGCCACTGTGCACCATAAAATCGTAAATTCGACTCGTTTTCGTTCCGTCAATCTACAGATGGTTGTTAGTGAGTTTTCTTGTCACCAATCCCAGAGAGAGAGAGCCAAGAGAGCCCACTTACCTTGCAAATAGTTCGCGCGTCTTTCTTCTTTAAGCTGCCCCCCTGTTTCATGGACTCCTTTAATAGAGTCTCCTTGATCACAAGGTACGGCTTCGGCTGGATGTGAAGCACGTTGCACACCTCGACCTCTTCCTTGGTCAGCAAGTGGAGATCGGGCGCGCCGTCATTCTCCAGCTTCCAGGGGATTATTCCGTTCAGCGGCTGCACGACAAACTTGGTCTTGGCGGGCTGCATCGTTGGGAGCTCTCCCCCGCTAGCAAAGGCCCGATCAAAGTCATTGAGCGGTTGGTTGACCGGCTCGGGCGGCTTGGGTGCGCCGGAGGCCTTTTGTAGGCGCAGCGGGAGTTCGGGCGTGGTCAGCTGGCTAGCGGCCGAGGGCTGCTCGGTGATTTGTGACTGTTTCGGGCGGTTGCTGGCAAACCGATCGAACGATCCCTGAGGCGCCATTTTCTGCTGGCGGGACTGCTTTTCTTGTTCGTACTTCTCTCCGCCCTTGAGGTCGCCGATACCCATCTGTCGCCATTCCTGTAGCTGCGCGATGGCCAGTCGTAGGTTATGTTCGTATTCTAGACCCTTGTTGAATTCCTCAAAATCATCGTGGTTCATCATCCGCGCAAACGGTTTCCCCTTGTTCAGAAGATCCCGCTCTTCTTTCGTGCGTTTCTTCTCCAACGCCGTGTTCTTTCGGTACTCGAGGAGGGTATGTTCAAAGAGAATCTTCTTGCGCTCCGTGCGCGCGGTCAGTCGGGAGTTGTAGATATCCACCACCGTCATCTTCAGCTCCATCTCGGCATCGAGTTCCCCGTTGGCCGTTTCTCCCGCCCCCGGCTCAAACGCCATGTGTTGCACCGCCTCTTCGGCGTCGTTCAAGAACTCCGTTTCGAATTCCAATCGTCCCGGCATGTAACCTTGCACTTCGTGGCAGGCCGGTACACTGGCCGTCGGTTTCTGCTTCGGCGTGGTGGGAGGCGCCGCCTTGGCCGCGTCCTTGCGCTCCTCAATGCGGCGCTTCTTCCGCGCTTGGAACTCCTCCTTGGGGATCGAGTCGGACAGTCGTGTATCCTCCGGGTCGGCGCGTACGGGGAGCGGGAAATTGGGGCTGTCCACGTAGGTGCCGAGATAGTGATCCCGGACCTCCTCCTTCGTCCGATATCCGCCGATGTGGTCCGCGATATCCGCCCAGGACCCTAGCCCGTAGATATCGGCGCCTTCCAAGAGCAACAGCTCCTCATCAGCACCCCAATCCTCGTCAAAGATGGGCACCGAGTTCTGTTCGATCACCTGGTACCGATGTGTCGACGGGTCATGATTCTTCGACTTCTCTCCGGCAGAGAAACAGGGAACGCAAAGGTCGTATTCATGGCAGGCGGGGTCGGCACAGGAAACGCGCACCTGATGGGACAGACGGTCAGACATGTCTGACTTCGAGACGTTCCGGACGCAGCCATCCGCGAAGCGACGCGGCATCCGGTAGAAAAGAAAGGAAGTTCAGTTCACTTACCGTCGAAGTCACATCCACCGAGCAGATATCGCAATGGTATTTCGTCCCTGCCTCTGTGCCGCGCGAGGCGGTCTTCTTTCGAATTACACCCATCGGTCGCGGAGCCCTTTCATCCTCCACTAGATCCTGAGCCGTTTCGAACACACGTGAAGCCCTCCAGAAAAGGCAGAGGGCTATCTATAGAGGGATCGGACCGAAAGGGGTTATGCGCGGGAAAGGGTGAGGTGTGTGAGAGAGCGAAAACAAGGGGATGCAGTCTCCGCAATCGGCTGGGGATTTGCCAAGAGAATGACAGGTCGATCGATCGGCAGCAAATCAGGGGAGGCGAGAAAACGCGATGAAAAGGAGTAAGCCGAAAGTGTCACGACAAGAGTGGCGCTGTTGGGGGGGGGTGGAGGGGAGGTTGAGTATTGTTGTTGAGAGATTGAATGATGAAGTCGCAGTTAACTTCGGTAGATAGCGGTATCGCCAGTTCCCGACGGGGAGAAGTGCGGCCTGGGGCAGAGACCCGGCGGTGGCTGAGCGGTCGGGGAGGTGCTGACCTAAGCGGCCGTGCACCGCCCCAGGGGGAATGGCGGCCCGAGCAATCAGGCATTCAGGTGTTGAGGCATCCAGGCACACAGGCAGCGACGTTCCTGACCCAATCACGAGGGCGGGTTCGGCCCCCTCTTCGGCCGCCTTCTTTTCCCCTCTTCAGCCTCTGTTTGTTCGTCTTATCTCCCTCTTTCTCTCTCTCTCGCTCTCTCTCTTCCGTTCTCTCTCTTACTTGGTCTGGCTTTTGCCCCTCTCTCTCTCCCTATTTCTCTCGCTTTCCCCTTCACCAGCCTGGGTTTCTGCTTTGACCCTGGTTGTCCTCCCCTTGTGTCCGTCCCTCGGATTTCCTCCTCTGTGTGTTGCTGACCGCTGTGGCTGTGGCGGTCCTGCATTTCTGTAACGGCACTTGGTGATTTCCACCTTACCCTCTGGGGTTAAACAACTTATTCCTTGTCGTTTCGTTTTCTATCATTTCATCTCTTTCACTTTCTCTTTCAACCTCCCTTTTTCCTATCTATCTTCCTTTCACTTGATATTCCTAGCCTGTTCAGGTGAAGCCCGTTGATACTTCCGCCCGCCCCCTAACTACCCCAAAACCCGCCGCCGTCATGTCGTGGAAACTCACCAAAAGTATGTTCAGTTGGTCTTCCCTTCCTCCCACAATACCGTTACGATGGGCGTTACGTCCTTCGGTTGTGTGGAATACTAACACGTTCGGCGCTTTGCAGAATTGAAGGAAACTCACCTGGCCCCTTTGACCCAAACTTTCGCGCGATCCTCCTCCACATCAACCATCAAGGGTGAATCGGGTGAGGAAACTCCGGTGACCCCTCAACCCACAAATGCCTCACCCGCCAGCTCCAATGGAATAAGTATGTCTTTGATGGATCCGATCTTCTCTACTTTATTTTCCTCATTTTCCTTTCCCCGTCGTCGGAAATGACAGCCGGTCCTGTTCTAACATGTGATGCAAGGTGCCTCGGAATCCCTCGTATCCCCTCCGGTGGCCCCCGTCAAGCCCGGTATCTTGATTGTCACCTTGCATGAAGGCCAGGGTTTCGCCTTATCACCGCACTACCAGCAGATCTTCAACTCGCATTTTCAGAACAGCAATGGCTATGGCATGCGCCCAAGCTCTTCCTCTTCCCACTCCACTCAGGGGCAGGCCGCGTCGTTCGTACAAAGCGCCCGTCCGCAGTCCACCAGCGGAGGTATCAATGCCGCTCCCACGATCCACGGCCGATACTCCACCAAATATCTTCCGTACGCCCTGCTCGATTTCGAAAAGAATCAGGTTTTCGTGGATGCCGTCTCGGGGACCCCGGAAAACCCCCTCTGGGCCGGAGACAACACAGCTTTCAAGTTCGATGTGTCACGTAAGACGGAATTGAATGTGCAGCTGTATCTGCGAAACCCCGCCGCTCGGCCTGGCGCCGGTCGGAGTGAGGATATCTTCCTCGGAGCGGTCAAGGTGCACCCTCGATTCGAGGAAGCTCAGCCCTTTGTGGAGGACCCCAAGCTCAGCAAGAAAGATAACCAGAAAGCGGCCGCAGCCCATACGGAGCAGGAACGCCATCTGGGTCAGCTCGGGGCCGAATGGCTGGACCTCCAGTTCGGAACCGGCTCGATCAGGGTCGGCGTCTCCTTCGTGGAGAACAAGCAACGCAGTCTGAAGCTGGAGGACTTCGATTTGCTGAAGGTCGTGGGTAAAGGTAGCTTCGGCAAAGTCATGCAGGTCATGAAGAAGGACACGGGTCGTATCTACGCCCTCAAAACCATCCGCAAGGCTCACATCATCTCGCGATCCGAAGTCACGCACACTCTTGCCGAGAGGTCGGTGCTTGCTCAGATCAACAACCCTTTTATCGTCCCATTGAAATTCTCCTTCCAATCCCCCGAGAAACTCTACCTGGTTCTGGCCTTTGTCAACGGCGGTGAACTGTTCCATCATCTCCAGCGGGAGCAACGATTCGACATCAACCGCGCTCGTTTCTACACCGCCGAACTTCTATGTGCACTGGAGTGTTTGCACGGCTTCAAGGTCATTTACCGTGATCTCAAACCCGAAAACATCCTTCTCGATTACACCGGACACATCGCCCTTTGCGATTTCGGTCTGTGCAAGTTAGACATGAAGGATGAGGATAGAACGAACAGTAAGCTAACCTGCCCCATCATTGGCCTTAAGGAGATTTGTCACGACGCATCTGCTAACCCTTCCTTGCAGCGTTCTGTGGAACCCCTGAGTACCTTGCTCCTGAATTGTTGCTTGGCAATGGCTACACGAAAACCGTCGACTGGTGGACGCTGGGTGTCCTCCTTTACGAGATGCTGACGGGTCTTCCGCCATTCTACGACGAAAACACGAATGACATGTACCGAAAGATTCTGCAGGAGCCTCTGACCTTCCCTAGCAGCGATGTCGTTCCGCCAGCCGCTCGGGATCTTCTGACCAGACTTCTTGACCGTGACCCGCAGCGTCGGCTGGGTGCCAACGGTGCCGCAGAAATCAAGTCGCATCATTTCTTTGCAAACATTGATTGGCGCAAGCTGCTCCAGAGAAAGTATGAGCCAAGCTTCCGGCCGAATGTGGTATGTCCAAAGCCTATGCCCTTCTCAATCCCTGTATTGCGGTGCTCTTGGTCCTAACCGGTTTTTCTTCAGCTGGACGCTCGTGACACGGCAAACTTTGATCGCGAATTCACGCAAGAGGCTCCCCAGGACTCCTACGTGGACGGACCGGTCTTGTCTCAGACTATGCAGCAACAATTCGAGGGCTGGTCTTACAACCGGCCGGTTGCGGGTCTGGGAGATGCCGGTGGCAGTGTCAAGGATCCGTCCTTTGGCAGCATTCCCGAGTAGAGCGGCGACTTCTTGCATCGCGTTGGCCAATTTCCTTCTACCAGAAACGCAATGGTTTCGAAATACACAGAAATTGTTTGCAACGATTTTTCTTCGAGTTAGCCTTTGCTCTTGCATGTCCTGCTGCGTAGCCCGAACCATTTGTTTCCCTCCTGTTTCCTCCTTTCCTAGCGCAAGGAGTCCACGGGTATCATTGTTGGAATCCCTTATTTGCTGTGCGGCAGTGATCTCAACTGAGCGCTTTATGTCAGTTCTACCTTTGTCTGTTGCATTTCAGGTACAATCAAGGCAGGTCCAAACCGATCCGGTTATCATTTTCGGGTTTTGTTACTCGATTCTCCAGTGAAAGTATCCCCTGAAAAGGCACCCATGAAGCCCATTTCTGCCCTTCATCCCTTTCTGCACTTTAGTTTGTGTCATACCTGGAGAGCCGGCCCATCTTTTCCCTCTTGCGACTTTCGTACATTGATCAGCTGGTCCGATCTTTCACCCCCCATCCGCTCACGTGTATGGCCCTTTTCGCCTGGCGAGCATTTGAACATAGATTGATTTAGCATCGAGCTTCTCTATACAACGGGGCCTTTTCTTTCTAAATTTCGTTGATATGTTCTTCCGGGTGATATTCCGAGTGATATTCTTCCAGAAATCCGTCTCTGATGGCGATGTTGGTCGTCGTGACTGGTTCATAGACAACAGAAAATCTTATACTTATCCTCAGTCAGAACGGGGAATTCCTCCTTCATTCTATTCTTTTTGTTTCAGGCCCTAGATGACCCGAGGGAACCATTCTCGTCAGTGGTCCACGTGCCTGGCCCTTTTTATGTCCTGTAGAATTAGACTCACCTCCAATCTTCAATCTTCTATCTTCTAGCATCATTCTTCCGGACGCAATGATTCACTTGACCTGAGCCATCTAACGACAGTCATACGTAGCTGCACACCCTGTAGGCTATAGCGTGACTATATGCTATGCCATGCCATGCTATCGTGGTTAACCCGGACCTTGAGTTTCTTATCAAGAGCGTCCTCAACGTTACTAACCTATCAACTAGCCAGCCAGCTAACATGTGCATGCAAGGGAAAACCAAGATGTGATAAGTTACGACGCAGGAGGATCATACATAAAACGGGCAGGGTAACAAACGCCACCAAAGGCCATGGCAGTTCTTACTTAGTATCGTTATGAGGTTCAGATTTGGAATGCCGCACTCCGGTGGTCTAGCAAGGTTTAGCAATTGAAACATGTTCCCTTCTTCGAGGGTTCTATTAGAGCATGGTTAGGTGTAAAGAATTGTCTCCTTGGGTCCGTCGCCGAGAGCCAGGTAGATGCGATACATACTCGCGACAGACGAAAGGGGAATTTGAGAGTAAGAAAACACGTGTATATACTCGTTGCGAACGTGAATGAAATGGAAAATAGGAAAAGGTAGTATGATAAATAGACATAAAAACAACTCTAAAAAATAGTAGTTACGTTAAAAGGTAAGAAAAATAAAAAGATATCTCTGCCCCAGGCCATCGGGAAAAAACAAAACTGTGTCAAGTTACATAGCTTTCTTTTGATTCGTTTCATCCTCCCCTTTCGCTCTCGGCGTTCGTCTCAAGTTCGGTGGATTGATTGCCTGTCCTCCTTTCTCTCCATGGCCCACGTCTGTCGTTCGCTCATGTTCATGCTCATGCTTCGGCCTCGGCCTCAGCCTTGGGTTCCGTCTCGGCAGCAACCTCGGGTGCACCATTCTCGGCGGTCTTGGACTGTTCCTCCTCGGGTCCGTCAACGTCGATCAAGGATTCCGACGACGGGGGCTCGGGAGCAACGCCCTCTTTTTCTAGACGGATGTATTCGTCCCACTCGGGGAAGAGATCGTCGTCTGTCGTGGCGTCAGGGGCACCGGGGGGAACACCGATAAGGCGGGCGATCTTGGTCTTGCCGGTCTGTTCGAGCGACTCCTTCCACTGGGCGACGAGCTGGGGAGCCCGCGAGGGCTTGTAGGTCTGGGCAAAGAGAACGGCTTCGGCGATCCGGCTGGTGCGCACAAGAAGGTCGATGCAGCCGTCGACGTCGCCGAGGGACCAGAGGGTGGAGAAGGAAACGTTGTGCAGGCCCGCCTCGGAGGCCTGCTCGGCCAGCTTACGGAGACCATCCTTGTTGCCGCTGGCGGTGTGTAGGAGAAGAAGGGAGCCAAAGTCCTTGGCGTTGGTGAAGCATTCCTGAGCCAGAGCGAGGTTCCAGCCCGACATGGCGGTGTCACCGACGATCTTCCACTTGTGCTCGACGTTGGCCTCCCGCGCGATCTCGAGGGCAATGTCCAAGTTGTTGAGGGCGAGGGAGAGGTCAAAGCGGTGCTCTTGGTCCGTGGCGACCTCCAGGGCCATCTCCTTGTACCCTTGCCCCTCAAGGAAACGGGCAACCTTGTTCATCTGGTCCTGGGGCACGTCCTGCAGCAGCTCCGCGGCCAGGTCCATGTCGCCACGCAGCACCACCGTCTGGTATTCAACCATGCTGAGAGAGAGACCGAACGAAACAACGTTGACATCCTTGTCGGCAAGGTAAACCCGGCCATCCCGAGGCAAGTAGCCAAGGACGTACATCCCTTGGTCGAAGTGAGAAATTGTGTAGGTCTGGTCACCAACAAGGTAGTTCAGGCGGTTCGTCGAGTTAGTGTAGATGAAGCAATCCCCGACCCATTGACCGGTTCTGACGGACTCGTTGACATCAGTCACGACTTCGAAAGCTGACTCGACACCGTCCTCATCGGCCTCGCCTTCGTTCAGGCCATTGACGTAGTTCTCTCTCGAGAACCGGAGGACGTAGAAGCTGTCCTCACAAGCAAGGGTGACCAATTCACCAGACTCCGACCAGTAAACCTAGTCAATTTGTCAGTAGTATTCACGGGCGATCACCAGTGAGAAAGTGCTTACAGCTTTCGGCTCAACCTCGATACGTCGGACCAGGTTTCCGGTTTCCCAATCAAACATGCCAATACCCCCTTGTCCCTTAACACCGAGAAGGACACCGTCGGTAAGGCCTTCGGCCTGGAAGCCGACATCAAGGCCACCGCTGACCTCCTTGAAGTTCTTGAAGATTTTGACACTAGTGGATGACTCGCGGATAGCGTAGTCGTTGCTGTTGTCCTTCGATCCCCACGCAAAGTCCAGGGCTTGTCCGAAGGCCTTGTTTCTCCATGCGAGGGCAGTGTAGATGATGTACTCGCCATCGCCACAAACCGAAACAAACCGTCCGTTAGGAGAGTGTGACAGGGTCTGTGGGTAGACCTCGCAGGAGCCCAAGTCCTTAGTCGGTAGCGAGATGGGTGCCCCATCCTTGATGCTAGCATCGCCTCCCTTGATAACTGTGGAGACAACCTCGTTGTGTCTCGCCCAGATAACCTTTCCTGAGCCGTCCATGGACACCGCAGGCTCCTCTCGACCCATCTTCACAACCACTGCACCGTCGTCGAAACCCATCGCGATACCCTGCTTACCACGCTGGTAAGAAATACACCAGGCTCTCTCGAGGCCATAGCTTAGCGACTGTTCCAGTCGGTATGTGTTGGCATGCCAGATCTTAATGGTTCCATCCTCGGATCCTGAAATGATGACCGGCAACTCCGGGTGGTAGCAAGCGAATGAAACGTTGCTGGTGTGGCCCTCCAAGGTCGCAATCAACGCTTTCGTCGTATAGTCCCAGACTTTAACCGTGCGATCATCGGATGTTGTAAGGAGGTATGGTTTATCGGCCTGCGGGTAGTAGTCGACATGGTTGACGCCCTTGGTCTCGTGGGCTTCGAGGGTAGAGTTGGGGTGCGGGGAGCCCAGACTCCAGATCTTGACGGTTCGATCCAGACAAGCCGAAGCGAATGTGTTGGTATCCTTGGGGTTGATGGACAGTCCCATCACGTAGTGGCTGTGTCCCTCGAATACCTGGACGCATTTCCAGTTCTTCTCCCAGTCCCACAATTTGATTGTCATGTCATCGGAGGCGGTAAGAACGAAGGGCTGAGTAGGGTGGACTGCGATTGAGCGAATGTAGTCGGGATGGGCCTCGAAGGAAGCGATCTTCTCGGAAGTGTTGTAGTTGTAGATGCGTAACTGGAAGTCATCCGAACCGCAAACAATCCAGTTTTTGCGGGCAATAAAGCGACCAGCTCGTACGGGGACATCGGTGAGCTCGAATGTTTTGATTATGGACTATAATATAGGGGAAGTTCATCAGTCGCACGTTCTCTTTAGGAATGATGCTTATTGAACTCACCTGGGACTCGTAAGACCAGATGTAAACGTGACCTGTTTATATTCCGAATTAGCGCATTCAATGGGGCAGGTTTTGGACGATGCGTTGCTCTACGCACCGCTATACAGTGTGGTCAGGATCTAATCTCCAGTTAGCAAGCAGGGAATTCCATGACGATACAGTCACTTACCCATGGCTCCGTGGGGTGGAAGTCGATGCCCTTTACCCGCTCGGAGCGGGCAAAGAGTTGCCTCTGTAAGATCGCAATTCTAGTTAGCCACAGGACTCCGACCGGCCAATTCCAGCCAAATTCCATCCAATTGTCCGCCTCTGGCAGGGTCGCATACCTTAACGTCCAATTTCATGGTGTGGTAGAAAGGAGAATCGCGACGGTGTGCGGGTTCGGGAGACGGCTTATGAGAAGGAGGGGGGGAACCAGGCCTCGAGCCGATCAGACAGCCCAGCCCGGAGGTGTAAGTAAGGCTTCCTAAGGAAGAGTGTATCGGTAGTGCAAGCAAAGAGGAGGCCCCCGGCCAGAACGGGCAGCAAGAATAATGTCGAAGCGACTCAGGGACTGGACTGGCAGCGATGTGTCCACAAGGAGATCCGCCAGCTATCTGGAACTGGCTAGCGACGGTTCGTCTTCACCGCCTGCGCTTCCGGGCGTTTCCCCTGCATCACTTCCTATGGAGTATGCAAGTCTTTGGTTGATAGTTATTATTGATGTATAGGGTCTGGAGGATTCTACGGACAGATTGAATTGCTCCGGTGATCATTTCTCTTCCACGTAGCAATTGATGATCTCTGGTTCCCCTTCGTTCCCCTGGCTGGTCTGTACGGCCCCCACTGTCGTTCTACTGTGGCCACAGTCCCTACATCATTCCCCCGTGTACCCCTGGGCAAACAGCGTAGTTCACTAAATTAGGTCATCAAAGACAAATCGATTTTGTCATAATGGATATAAGTATGGCAAAACAATGTCCCCCTCGATTTTTAACACACGTCGGCTAATAAATACAAGTTGTCCGAAATCTCTGAGATCTAAGCCCTTATGACGAGCCGGACGTGTTGCGCTCAAAGTAGGTCCACTGGCCGGGCTTGGGCTTCTCCTCGAGTTCCTCCCAGCTAGTGATCAATTAGATTGGTCTCATATACAACGGAGTGGTTCTCTCGGATACTTACACCTGGGCCTGGTACATCTCATCCACAAGCTTCATCTCACCCTCAGCGACCTGGATGACTTCTTCGATAAGACCGGCGGCAATCTTGTTCTCAATCTCGGAGATTCTAGACAAAAAAAAAAAAAAAAAACGATCAGCGTCTCGAGCCTCACTGTTGTTGAGCAAAAGTCCCCTTAACGTACTGCTGTGCTTCCAGAGCAGGCTCGTTCTCCCACTTCATGGCCTCGGGGAAGAAATCCGTCTCCTTGTCCTCGGGCTTCGTAGACTCCTCAATGACCTTTTCCCATCGCGCCTCCTGCTCCGCAGTACGGGTAGGACCTTCGGTAGTCGCTTCAATGGATTCGCCATCCCACTCCTCACCGCGGGGGTTGTCGCTTCCGTCATCCTTCTGGAAAGCGGCATACGAACCATCCGGGCGACGGAGGGAGGCGAATCGAGCGGGTTCGGCGCCCACGGTCTTCTTCACCCGTTCCAACCAAGCGTCGAATCCGGGCGGTTTCGTCGACTCGACGATCTCCAGGCGGTGGCGGGTGAGGGCCTCGGTAGACTGGCGGTAGACGGAAGATTCGGGGAAGGCCTTCAATTTCTGCAGAGTGGTGGTGTAGAGATAGATCAAGGTCGGGCGGGGACTGGGATGGGTGACCAGGCCGGCCAATCCGGTGGGAGCAAAAGGCTCCAAGTACCGGGGCGACTTGACGTTCGCCAACAGACGGAGGGTAGACCTCATTATGGCGGAGAGAATGAGCCAGGTAGAAGAGAGAAAAGAGGGAAAAGAAGGAGGAATTGACCCCAATGGCTGGCGATACTTCGTGAATCTCGAGGCGGATCGGGAGCCGAATGAAGGATGAAGTGCCGTCGGAAGGCGGAGAAACCGAGATTCCAGGCCAACAGCCCCGTGCAGCCACTTTCGATCTCTCCTCGCTCATTTCCTCCCTCAGCGCTGACCCTCTTATCAGACCACAGGGCGCCTTAGGGGCTTCGTTTACTCTTCGGTCTACTCTCCTTTTCCTTTTTTTTCTTTTCTTGAGGAACTTGCGGAAATTTCGTGTTCTTCGACCTTTGAACATATCTATCGATCCACTACTGTAGATCCTCTTTTATCGGGCAGTGGCTGATCCGGCCTCTCTGTCTTCACTGTTCGCGCGCCGCATTAAGACGTTCGTTATCTTGTTCTTTTTCGAATGTGCTGCCGATATTGATTCTCGTCACCTATCTATTCCAATCTCTTTTCGCCTTTCGTCCGACAGACTCCCCGACCTTCTTACCCTCGTTTATTTCCCCTTTCCAGTGTCGCATTCGGGTCTTCGACCTTGACCTACAGCCAGGATGAGGGCTTCATTGCTGGCGTGGTCACTCCTTTGGCTATTCTCCGTTGCCTCTTTTGCCGCACCCTCCGATCAAGATGTAAAAGTTGATGCGGAAGAGGTGAAGGCTACCACCTTCAATGGCATTGAAGTGCCTCAAATGAAGGAACTGTCGCCCGATACCTTCAAGGACACAATTAAGGATGGTTACTGGTGAGGACCCTCCGCAGCCATGGCTCTTAGGGTGTTCCTCCCTTGTTCTAATCATTACTAGGTTTGTTAAACACTATTCTCCTGTTTGCCCGCACTGCAAGCAGATCGCCCCAACATGGCAAACCCTCTACGAGTTTTACCAGGTGAGTCTCGTCCTCGACGCGGATACCTGTCTTTCGCTTTTTCCTAATCAACAAATCCCCTAGACGTCCGATCCGCTATCTTCTTCGTCGTCCAAATCTCCCGACACCAAGTCGCTGAATTCGTTCCAACCCTTTTACAACTTCCACTTCGCCTCGCTGAACTGTATGGCATACGGGGATCTGTGCAAGGAATTAGGCGTCAAATTTTTCCCGACTTTCTCGTTCTATCACAATGGTGAACTCGTTGAACACTTCGACGGCGAAAAATCGATGAAGGGCCTCAGCGACTTCATCGAAGGGAAACTGGAAACGATCAAGCCTGGATCTCGTCCTCCGAACGGCCTTAAACTGCCTAAAGCGGGTGATAAGGAGATTGACCCGAAGGCTCAGCCAGAGGTTCCTGCCGCCAAGGACAAAGACCCCGAGGCTGGTGCGAAGGCTGGGGAAGAGCACAACGAGAAAGCTGCCGCGCTATCCGACAAAGACTCGTCCGCCGAGAAAGATGCGACTCCCAAGCCCAAATCTACCCCGCCGGCAGCACCAGCCAATCCGCAGGGAATGTCCGTTCCTCTCACCGCCGAAAGCTTCCAGAAACTTGTGACGACCAGCAAGGATCCTTGGTTCATCAAGTTCTACGCTCCTTGGTGCCCGCACTGCCAGTCGCTGGCCCCTACCTGGCGGCAAATGGCCAAAGAAATGCAAAACGTTCTCAACGTCGGAGAAGTCGACTGTGACGTGGAGAAGAGGTTGTGCAGCGATGCCCACGTTAGCGCGTTCCCGACCATGTATTTCTTCCGCGGCGGGGAGAGGGTTGAATACACCGGTCTGCGTGGTCTGGGTGATCTTGTCAGCTACGCCAAGAAGTCGGTCAGCGTGGGACTAGGTGTGCAGGATGTCGATGCGGAGACCTTCAAGGAGCTGGAAGAGAAAGAAGAGGTTCTTTTCTTGTACTTTTACGATCACGCTACGACCTCGGAGGACTTCGAGGCTCTGGAACGCCTGACCTTGAGCTTGGTTGGTCATGCTCGAATTGTCAAGACGAACAGCGGCGCTCTCGCCGAAAGATTCAAGATCAACACTTGGCCGCGTCTCCTTGTCTCGCGGGATGGCCGCGCCAACTACTACACCCCGATTGCCCCGAAGGACATGCGTGACTTCCGACAGATCCTGGCCTGGATGCAAACCGTGTGGCTGCCTATCGTCCCGGAGCTTACGGCTTCCAATGCGCGCGAGATCATGGATGGCAAGTACGTCGTCCTCGGCATCCTCAGCCGTGCGCGCTCCGACGAATTCTTGCAGTCGAAGAGAGAGCTGAAAAACGCCGCACTGGAATGGATGGAGAAGCAAACGCAACTGTTCCAGTTGGAGCGACAAGAGCTGCGAGATGCTAAGCAACTCCGCATCGAAGAAGCCGACGACCGCAACGACCAGCGGGCCTTGCGGGCTGCCAAGAACATGCGGATCACCATCCGTGAAGACGACAAGAAGCAGGTGGGCTTTGCCTGGGTCGATGGTGACTTCTGGGAGCGCTGGCTGAGAAACACCTACGGTATTGACGTGGCGAACGGGGAGCGCGTTGTAATCAACGATCAAGATGTAAGTGCTGTCGTGCAAATTTGGAGCGGCATTATGCGCGGGAACTAATTTTGAATAGAACCGACGCTATTGGGACTCTTCTTCCAGCGGAGCTTCCATCATGGCTTCGCGTACCTCCATCCTCGAAACGATTCCTCTCGTGGTGGCCAACCCGCCCAAGCTGTCCCCCAAGTCGACGGTGGGCACCTTCGAGTCCATCTTCTTCTTCACCCGGAGCTTCATTGTCAGCCACCCCATCCTCTTTGTCATCCTTCTCATCATCTCCGTTGTGGCAGCCACCGTCATTGCGCGCGGCAGAGCCCGACGTGGAGGCCGCGGTGGTATCCTTGGTGTGACGAATGGCAACGGGTTCTTCCACCTCGACGGAAAGGAAGGTCTTTTGAACGGCGGCTCCACGGGCAAAGTAGATTGAACGGAGTTCTATGACTTATTGTACAGTTAGGGTCTTTTTGTGTTTACTCTTTTTCTTTCTTCTAAATTGTTTGTGATTTGCATTTTCTCCCTTAACCCACTCTTTCCTGGATCACCAGGTTTCACTTGAGCTTCTTTCATCCTTGGTTGATGAAAAGCCATGGTGTGTCCTTAGACTTTTGACATGTTTCCATGTTTCCCTATATCTATTTTATTGTTCATTATCTCTCTTACTGCCGCATCGGTGTCCGAGTTGGTTCAAATGGGTGCACATGAAATACAATACCGCAGATAATAATGGTGATCTGATGTTCCATAATATGTTAATACTGTCGTGCTTGTGCTATAGTGTCGAAGTAGATGTGATGTCTTGATGCCTGGTGGCCTGAAGAGTGCAAATGGACGGCCTCTGATTGGGTTTGTTGGATCACGTGGCTGCACCGTCGGCGGTGTCTGCTTACCTCAGCGGCGACCCTCCCGAAGGTCGCCGGTTTTCGTCGATGTCGAACCCGTAAGTTTGTCTGTTGTCCGTCGTCCTTTCGCTCTTCCTGCCCGGTCGTTCTTGTCTCCTCGTGTGATCCTCGAGTCTTCGCAAAGATGGTACGTACTTTTTCTTCCAATTGTTCTCTCTATCTGGCGTCGTGACCGGCTCTCGAACTGGTTAGAGCAGCCAGATCCTCAGCGCTGATGACGTCCGGTCACATCATGCAATGCGCTTTGATCCCACGGCAATGATGTTCTGGAACTAAATGCATGGGTTGCTAATTCAATTCTTTTCTTCGACTCTAGGTTTTCTCTCAGACCCTCCGTCGCGCTGCGGCCCAGTCCGCCGGTGCCTACCGCTCTCCCTTCGCTCCCAAGTGAGACTCCCTGAGATTTGATCCTCTCAATGTGCCGAGCACTGTGTGGCAGATGCTTCTATGAGGTGTACGATGCTGTGTTGGTCGTATTACTTGTTCATGCTCCTCTGGCGTGGCCATTGGCATTGAGGCATCCGCATCACCGCAATATGTCCTGGACAAGACTTCAATGTTCTTGTGTCGACGAGCCATTGGAAGCTACAACCACATGCGAAAGCGAAGAATATTTGAGAATTCCAGCTGACCGTGACTTGCAATTATCTTAGGTACAACACCAACCCTCACTTCCACGGTCTGACCGTGGGCGATGCTACCAAGTAGTGAGTTTCTCCCCGCTTGATCTCCCGCGATGACCTCTTCAAGAAGACGAAATGCTAATGCACCGGGACGGTACAGTGGTCAGATCGCCGCCACTTTCGGCGTCAGCGCCGGTGTCTTCGCCCTCTTCTTCTTCGGCGAGGTCCCTCGTGTGCGCAAGGATATCCTGCAGCAGTTCCCTTTCTTCGACAAGTACTTCGACCGGACGGTCGCTCCTGAGGACAACGTATGTTTTCTAGCCTTAGTTTGGACTGTGTGGACGGCTATCGTACTGACATTTGACCAGCCCTTCTAAACGTGTTTTTGTTTGATCCTCCAAAGTACATTTCTTCAGCCATTATTCATATACAAGACCTTATACAACATTTGCCGGTATTCTGTTCCTATTGACTAGATTCTCGAGGATTAGGCGATGGAGATGTACTGTGTAGAATAAAGATTGAGTGTTTGATAGCACTTAAACCCGTCCTGCCTTAATTAAGTGCCTTTTGTTACTTTACTCGCCCCCACGTGAGATAATCGAGGCCAGTCCAGACAGCGGATCCTGCCTTATCTCTCAGGCTTATCATCCTATCATCCACGCGGCGCTGATAAGCTTCATCTCTCTCTTCTCTCTGCGCGCCTGGAGTTTCCCCTTGGAGTATGGACTGTTCGCCAAGCTTTGTCTGAACACACCTGGCCAGATTGATGCGGAGCAGCCCTTGGTCAGGCCAACTCTGGTCCAATCCAGATGGTCCTGCATTCCGGAGATCGCATCGACAGCGTCACCTGGATGCAGCGTGACCTGGCGCCAAGCGAACCAGCGTATGAACCCCTCACCCTGGTGGCTGCAAGGCAAGGAGAGCATTGTCATTCTTCTCCTTATCTCTCCGTCGATCTGCCGGGATACCATGTGTCCAGGATACGAGCCTGTCCCCGAAGGGATGCTTTTCCCGTACGGCTGAGACATGACTCTTTCTATATAAGTACTGGTCCTACCTAAACCGGTTTTTGCAAGACTGCGATCCCCAGGTACCACTTGTCAAACCCTAACATACCCCAAAAGCGACACAGAATCGCCATAAACTTTGAAACTCCCGACGGAAACGCCGTGCTCGGTCCTTTTTCTGCTCTCCTGTCGGCTGGCTGGTCTTCCTTCGTGCGATTCTCTTCTATATCGGCACTTTTTCGTGGTCAGGACGAATGAGGGTGTTGCCCCGCCTATAAACTTCATCATGGACCGAAGTCGGTCGTCGAGTGGACCTCCGACCAAAGGCTCGGTATACACCAACATCGACCATGCCCCGGTCACTTCGGTTCTGCCGAATGGCGACGTCCCGTACACGGACCATGCGATGGATGCGGACGAGAGGGTGATCACGGCGTTAGGGTACAAGCAGGAGTTCAAGCGCGAGTTCTCGTTATGGACTACGTTCTGCGTCAGTTTTGCGGTTCTGGGCCTGTTGCCTTCGTTCGCCAGTACGATCTACTATGGTACTTGGCCCTGTGATCCATGAACGTGCTATCCAACGCTGACTCGGAGTAAGGAATGGGCTATGCTGGCACGGCGGGTATGGTCTGGGGCTGGATTATTGCTATGCTTTTCATCCAATGCGTTGCAATGTCGATGGCCGAGCTATGCTCCGCCATGCCTACCAGGTATGTACACGTCGTCGTCGAGGTATAGGGCAGGACTTGTTTGGCAAACGGTTAATTGACTCCTCTCCAGCGGCGGACTCTACTATGCAGCAGCAGTACTCGCTCCTCCAAAGTACGGCCCCTTTGCAGCATGGATCACGGGCTGGTCCAATTGGATTGGTCAAATCACGGCAGCACCATCCGTGGACTATTCCCTGGCTGCGATGATCCTAGCCGCAGGCTCCATCGCGAATCCGGAATATGTACCCACGACCTGGCAGACTTTCCTCTTGACCACGCTGATCATGATCATCCATGCCGCCGTTAGCAGTATGCCCACCAAGCGGGTGGCGCAGTTCAATTCGTACGGGTCAACATTCAACATGCTGGCTTTGGTCGCCGTCATCATTGCCATTCCGGCGGGCACCAAGAACGAGCCCAAGTTCCAACCATCCAAGCAGGTCTGGGGAACCATCACCAACCTAACTGATTTTCCAGACGGAGTGGCTGTTCTCATGACTTTTGTCGGCGTCATCTGGACCATGTCGGGTTACGACTCCCCGTTCCACCTGAGCGAGGAATGCTCCAACGCAAATATTGCTTCGCCTCGCGCGATTGTCATGACGTCCGGGGTGGGCGGTCTGATGGGCTGGTTCCTGCAGCTAGTCGTCGCCTACACCGTGCTGGACATCGAAGCGGTGATTGACTCCGACCTTGGCCAGCCCTGGGCTTCCTACTTGCTGCAGGTGATGCCGCGGAAGACCGCCATGGGCATCCTTGCCCTGACGATCATCTGCGGGTTTTCCATGGGCCAGGGCTGCATGGTGGCCGCATCTCGGGTGACGTACGCGTATGCACGAGACGACTGCTTTCCCTGGTCCCGATACTGGAAGAAAGTCGACCCTCGCACGCACACGCCGGTGAACGCCGTGATCATGAATGCCGTCATTGGGATCCTCATGTGTCTGCTGATCCTGGCCGGCGACGTGGCGATCGGTGCCCTGTTCTCTATCGGCGCCATCGCCCAATTCGTTGCGTTTTCCATCCCCATCGCGATCCGGGTCTTCTTTGTTGGAAACCGCTTTCGTCGCGGACCCTGGCATCTGGGGCCCTTTGGGCGCGTCATTGAAGGCCTTGGCGTGTCTTTCGTGCTGCTGATGGTCCCGATTCTGTGTCTGCCTAGCGTCACAGGAGGGAATCTGACGCCGGACCTGATGAACTGGACGTGCCTCGTGTACGGCGCGCCAATGCTGGCGGTCAGCATCTGGTGGGTGGTGGATGCGCACAAATGGTTCAAGGGGCCCAAGGTTAATGTGGAGCATGCCATTCACCCCGTGGAGGAGGATGGGTCCGCGATCGTGGATGTAGGGGTCGAGGTTGAAAATCCAGAGTCTGACGGTGATCAACCGAGTCCGAGGCAAGGGTCGAGGAAGTCGTCCAAGAAGTAGATAGAACGGGTGTGCTTGTTTGAAAATCTTGTCTTGCATTCACATTCATACGTACATTCTTATACCTGACATTTTGAACCAGATATATCTCAATCACGGGCATATATTAGAAGTCACATTCTACATCTCAGTCCGGAACTCCTATATACGATTCTAAACAGGTTTCTCATCAAAACAATACCCTCTCACCTACCACCTTAACCTATCCTACGCTTCCCTACCAATCCCACCACACCTCAAACCCCCCTCCATCCTCTCTCTAAGATGCTCCTCAAAACTCGTCGGCTCCTTCACATACGACAAATCCAAAACCGGCTCCTTAAACTCCCACGACCCTCTAGCCGCAACCACACTCGACGACAAACGCAGTCGATCCCAAACCCCAGCACGCCCCGTCTCCCTCTTCTTCGCATCCAACTCCCTCTCCCCATCCTCCAAACTCCCCCTACAAACAACCTCAACCTCCTGACCCGTCACCTTCTCATAAATAGCCGCCATCTCACGCAGTGTCAGCTCCCCAGACCGGAATCGGAAGACCCCTCCCTGTCCCTCCCGGATCGCGGGGTTGCTGCATAAAAGCTCGATCGTGTACGCCGCTGCATCATCCATCGTCGTCCACGAGATCCGTTTCGTATCGCCGGTGCCCCAGTATTCACAACGCACGGAGCCCGAGGGTTTGCCATTCCCCTCAGAACCGAGACCAGGAGTAGCAGCCCGCATCAACCACTCCGCAAACGTGCCATTAACCAAATACACGGGCCGAATCACACTCGTAGCAGCGACGTGGTCCACAAACGCCAGAATCGAATCATACAGCTCGAAATCTCCGTGTTGGATATTCGTCCAGTCCTGGGTCCACGACGCAGCGATGAAGATCTGGACGTTGGCGTTGGCGGCTTCGGCGGCGCGGAGGAGCCACAGGCCGCCTTCGAGGTAGAGCACCGGGTCTGTGGTGTAGGCGCATGCGATGGCGTCGACGCCTGTGACGGTGGTGCGGAGGGCGGGGAGGTCAGAGTGTGAGGTGCAGGGGATGAAGGATTCGAGGGCTTGGGTGAGTCGAGGGGGGAGTTTGGAGGGATGGCGCCCGAGGCCCCGGACGGAGAGGCCGCGGGATAGGGCTTGTTCGGCGAGACGTTGGCCTAAGGAGCCGGTGATTCCGGCGATGAGGAGGAGCATCTTTTCCTTGTGGTGGTTGGTGGGGATGGGTATGTATGGTGATGGGGGAGTAGATGTGAGGGGGCAGGGATGCTGGGATGGAGGTTCTCTTTTATATGTAGACAAATGGATTCGATCTCGGGGGGGCTTGTCCGATGCTATCCTTCCATGGATGGAGGAGGAGAAGCAACTCGGAAAACTAGCCCAGATTGGCAATCGAATGCAGTGGATTTCGGCTTCATGAGTTGCTATAAATAAGATATCATAATTCGAAGTAGACCTCCATTCCACCCTCCACAGTCTACAGTCTACAGTCTACAGTCCACTACTATTCAGTATTGACTATTCTGTGATTCACAATGACCACCACTACCGGAAGTTGTTTATGCAACGCCTGCGCCTACGCCTACACCGACTCGCCAGCCCTCAAAGTAAGAACATCCCTTCTCCTCTCCACTACCATCCTCCCCATAAGAAGACACAAACTCAAAATAAGTCTCCTCTAAATAGGCCCTATGCCATTGCATCTCCTGCCGCAAAATATCCGGCGGCAGCAACACCATCAACTACGCCGTCCCCGAGCAGGCCTTCCGCCTAACGAAGGGCAACCCCCGGTCATTCTCCAAGGACCATGAGTACGGCATGGTGTTGACGGTCTTCTTCTGTCCCGAGTTTGGCACTACACCTTGGAAGGAGGCCACGGCCGAGCAATTGCAAGGGTTGAAACTAGTTCAGGCGGGCACGTTGACCGAGCCGTCGTCGTTGGATGAAAGTGGCGATGCGGAGTTTTATACGTCCACTAGGGTGTCGTGGACTCTTCCTTTGGGTGGGGTTGAACAGCGGGCACAGTTTTAGGTTGAGGCAGCTGTTGCTGTTGTTATGGATGGTTCGATTTGCGTATTGCCAGCTTTTCTTTGGGGAGTCAGCGTTTGGGATGCAAGAAGGGAGGGCGAGCGTACCATTGAACTGTTTTCCTTCTGACCCACAAGAGGAGACCCTTTTCTCGGAGAAGACATTGGACAGTACAAGTGCATTGAAGCCCCAGTCAATTCAGCTTCCTTTCCGTTCTGACACGCTCAACACTCCAAAAGCACCATAACCACCGCTATATCATACACAGGGTGATAGAGATTGAGATGTAGTATCACGGTATCAAGACTCCTTTTTCCAGCCTAATCGATCAAGGTAAATCCTGGCTTGCGCCTTTTGCGTTTCACACGGACTATACCGCCGTACTACCTCCAACGGAAAAACCAGCTGCATGCACGATCCCTCGTTCAGTCTGCCTAGTAGGTCACGTTGGAAGAGAGCGTGTGTGAACTGCAGCAAAACGGAGCACCTAGTCGTGCGCTCCTCCGAGACATAGTCTTCGGCCCTTGCCCGAAGCCGGAGATAATCAACCAAGATGTGAATGGTGTGAAACATCACGGCTGGAATGGCGGAGCGGAAGTCACCACCGCCGAGCCATATCTCGTCATCCAGTCTTTCGACTTCTATCAATTGGAACGCGAGGCAGTTGGAAGCGATGGTCTGGGTCGAGTAGGATGAACGAAGTTCGTGGAGGTATACACTTTCGCTGTGGGCAACCGTCTCCGCGAGGCTTTCTAGCCGGCAGATTAAGGGATGTAGCCTTTCCTCATCTCCGTGCTCTTCACTCTGGTCGAAGCGAAGCAATTTAGCCACCTCGTGCATCGCGTCGAGGAGAATATCTAATGCGGTCTTCTTGGATAGAGCGAAAGGCATATTGTACCAGGCTGGAGAGGCGAAACATGACTGCTCTTGGATTGTAATGGATGCTTGAGCCTGTAGCAGGGTCTTAGTCCAGGGCCTTGGCCTATTGCTGAACGACAGAAGAATGAAAAACTCACTAGCAACAACCGTACTGAACGGAAGACAAGATGAACAGCGCCGGTCCGGCAGTTCTGCGGCCCTCTCAAGAGTAGAAGCTGGGCAGTTCCTCGCAGGTGTGTAGTCCAGCTACCTATAGAAGCCGGGCTGATCAGTTCGTAGTACATCAACATCAGCGATGCGTAAATGTCCTCCTCGGTGGGTACTTTCGAGTGGCCATTGCTCTGGCCACTGAGCCCCTCGAGGCACTGGCTCACGGAGACACTCTGGCCTCGAAGAGCATGTGCATAGCATCGGCTAGCTTCTTGGTACAGAGCCGTCTCCTGGGATACCTGTGCGTAAAAGGCAAGCGTCGCTGCTCTAATGGACCACCCCAGCGCTTTGGGAGAGGATGCCCATTCGGAAAGGTATCGAGTCCAGGAGTCGGATTGAACCGAATGAAAGCCTGATAGAGAAAATGAAGCGATAAAGGTGGATATGAGGGCCTGTTCAAACAAGGGCCCGCAAGTCGGCTCGACTGGAAGGTCTAGAGCGGCTCTCTGAAAGGAGGGATGGTCAGGCAGAGCGGCAGCGTTGACCATGAATAGGCCGCCGTAGACACCAGGACAGGGCTTCCCGACTCGTCTACATTGCGAACATTCCGGACGACGCTCGTCACACTTGATAGGCAATTAGTGGAGGCCAAGCGGACTAGAGGGAGTTCGAAGCAACCTTGATCTTGCGTCGTAGACACAGGGCACAGCCCCTGCTTCGGCTCACTGAGCGGACCATAAGACTGTGAAGATGACGAGTGGCATTGCCTCATGGTCTTGAGTGGACTGAGGATGTGCAGAAGAGAGGATGAGAGGATGAGACAAAGATGAAGTGAGTGACTTGTCTGCAGACGATTAAAAAGCCGATGGGGCCCCTTCTGCTTCGGGTTAGCTTTGCGAGCGAGCCGCTGAGGGTCCCGACATCATCTCTAGAAGACTCCACCATGTAGAGTACTCTGTATGGCGAGAAACAACCTTGAAGCAGTGAGGAATTCAACAAGAGCGTGAGATCTACCCAAGCTAGTGGCTCAACAATAACATCTTAGTTACAGAAAGACATTTCATTCCATTCCGATCCAGTCTAACGTTCGACCTCGTCGAATGCTTCCAAAATTGCCCTCTTCTGATTCACCGAAATCCAATCCAGCTTGACGTCCCCACAAGAATCATCCTGAATCTCTTCTCTTGTGGCCCACAGGTGCACTCTGTGTTCGTTGGGGTCGAGTTTGATCTCTAATTCCGAGCTTTCATCGTCGACAATTGCCCGGAAGATGAATATTGTCCACTTCCCTCTTCTAGAGGAGTCACTCGGTGGGAGCAAGCCATTGTCATATTTGAACTCTCCAAGCACATTCGTACCAGCTGACGCCCGTAGACCGGTCTCCTCCCAGACATTGGGGTAATCGTCGTCGGCTGCCCGTTGGATGAGCAATACTCGACCCTTGTGGAGGATGACAGCTGCGCAGAGGATGCCGACGAGTTGCTCGGAAGGCCGGTGCGAGATATATGTGCTTGCGGAGGTTCGGTAGGCGTCGAGCGCCGGATCAATATAGATAGAGGGAGTTGTCGGGGGCGTCATCGTAAACCGGACTGGAATTAAGTAGATCCAAAAACGACACAAAGTGCAGACAGGTTGGAATATATCTAGTTCTTTGTAACCTTGCTCGATCCGCGCCTTCTCCACCACTTAGTAGTCATTGATCTTCCCTATAGGCACGCCTACTCACTATGTAAAGGTTCATCGCCCGCTCTTCTACTCCACCGCAGATTCAACCCCTCGACTATGGCCGTCATTTACAGTGGCACATTCTCAACCTCATCCACTATACTCAATTTCAACGAGTGCAGCGTACCGACTTTGCCCCAACTCTCCTTAATTGCCCCCTCACACTGGGCCCAAAACTAGATTCATTAAGGCATAAAGGTTCATCCTATTTGGACGTTAAGTGAACTGATTGCCCTTAGCTCGTGTACGCGTAGCAGCTGATCGCGGGGCAAATCGCATATACGATCTTCTCCAATGTGTCCCGAGCTCATTCGTTCCGGATGTATGTAAAAGCAGCCCAGTGCTGATATCAACCGACAACCTGTACCTAACCCGCGATAGAAAAGCCTAGACGCAATCGTCGGCGACCTAGATTCGCTCCGGCCTAATGTTCGAGAATACTTCACCGCTTCCCCAACCCTACTGAAGTGATTGAATACCGTAACCAGGATCTCTATGACCCCGATAAAGCAGTCTACTGGATCCGGAAAAGCTACGCGGACAATATCGACATGGTGATTGTTGGAGATCTCGGTGGTCGTGTTGATCATGGACTTCGTCTGGTTCATTACCTATATCTATTCCTGCCGGGGCCCGGGCTATGACCGTGGGCAAGTCTTTCTAGTGGCGGAAAAGGGCCTGTTGGTCCTGCTTAAACCCGGACGTCATCGGATTTGGGTGCGGGAAGAAGATGAGGACCTCGCTGGGCAAGACGTCGGGATTGTGCCCTTCGGGAAACCCAGCAGGACTACGATGAAGGGGATATCGACGGGGAGATGATCATGCTGGGGACGAAGATCCATCGGAGTCATGTTATAAAAGGGACATCGACCTTGAAGATCGAGACATCCGAGACGGTCCTGTTCAGCATTGGTAGCGAGCTTTCGCGCCCATCGAGGAGGGAGATGCAAGAAGAGAACTCACCTCACGCCTCATACTCGACCCCAGCACTCACTACTTAGAACTTCTCGTCTGGCCCAGAAGATCGAAAGGATAGTATCCAATGTCAAGCACAGACTGGTAAATTGGATGTAAAGATGCTTATAGCGTTGTTTCTGTTTTGGAAGGTCAACAGTATCTCTCATCGCCCTCGGCTTTTGCTTTCCCCCAATACATTGTCTGGCCCACACAAGGTAATATAGACGATTATGCAGATTGGTAATAGTGCCTGAGTCCATATAAAACTGGTATGACCTTCTGAGCCACCGATAAAAGACAAAATTTTTCGATTGTTTTGCCTGTTGCCGGCTTACTGCTCTTCTAGTGAGCGAGTGTTTATCTTGGTTTGACGCTGAATCACGGGCATCCAGTAATTCATCGCCTCCATGTTGGTTCTGTCCGTGTGCATCTTAGCTGGTGAAAGCCGTTCAGTATCGTTTTAGAGTACTTATATAGTAATAACATCGTGACTTGGAGGTAAGGAGAGAGGGGCATGAGCGTAACACGAATAAAAGCCTCGAACAAGAGACCAAAGCGCCCCAGTGCGGAGTAAGTATCCGCCAGCTCAGTATATACTTCCATGTCCTCTCCACAAAGAGCTCCCAACGCTGCATCATGAAACCCGCGTCCTCATCCCTACTCAGCTCTCCCAACAACCAACCCCAACTTATCTACTCGCATAGGCAGAGCAGGCAGGCAGGTAAGTGGCCGGGAAGCTGACTCGCGAGGTATCACAAAGCGCAACGCGGCGGGCGCATCAATCAGGACCCAAGGAAACGGGAGAGAAAATAAATAACAATTTGAATGCATGCAGGGCAGGGCGCGTTCGGACCTATCAGAACCTCCAGCTCACATGCAGGTATCCTTGCGGTGGGTGTCTAGTCTCTGCCTGGGATGCAGCATGGATGCGTCTGTGCTCGATGATGCATGCATGTAGGTGTTATGTATTATGTATGTATGTGGGTATGGGCTTTTCTCGGGTTAACTGGCTGGTACGGGACTGTACGGTGTAGGGAGTTGTCCACTTATATGTATTCTTATGTATGTACTGTGCACCATATGTATGAGGTACTTGGCCAGGTAGGATGTAGGTGTGTCCTGAGAGCCCCTGCATATCACATGTTTCAGAGAGTGGGTTTTCTTGATTTCCTGAATGGATCGGTTGGGGTGGTCTTTCGAGTAGATATGATAGATGTTCATGAATTAATATACGCATAGTAGTTATATTAACTGGAAAAGGATGTGTTTTTCGTCATATATGTTTTCGGTAGATATATCAATTGTCAAGTGTTGCTGCTATTTATGTTCGTGCTCCATCTACCTGCAGGGATGTTGTGATAGAGTCCAGATCCGACCCTATATGTGGATGCTGGGAGGATCAATTCATTTAGATCAAGTGGGCCTGCATTAGACCTCCATAACGCTGTCTACCAGAACGCTACTGTAGAAATATACAGTCGTCACGCGAGACAATCTAGAACAAATTAGAAATAAATATAGAAAGAAAGAGATAACATGTCTCTGGTATCTATCGCAGAGCAAAGTTTCCAATCTAACATTAAACAAAAGCAAACAAGAAGCTAGAGAGAGCCTAGAGTCTAGACACGATGAAACCACTTCCCGCCGACAGGGAACTCCCCTGTGGCTACTGACTTTCCCCTCTCTCTCGATCCACCTCCCCCACCGGAATCTGGACAAATAAGAAAGCCAAAGCGCCGGCCTTGCGAATTGCCATTGATGGATTCTGTTCCTGCAGGTCCTCCGTACATTTTCTGCGCGAGGACTTGCCCGCTGCATTGTGAAATTGGATGATTGGGGTTTAATATTGCGATCCTCGGGTTACTACAGGTGCAGGATAGCATTACTACTTAGGTTCGGAGTATGAGGTAAGAAGCGGGTGATTATTAGTCAATGACTCTGAGTCTGTTCGTAACTCTATGTAAGTCTACACGCTATATATAAAGTTACCGACTGGAAGCGCGTGGTGTTTAAGGTACGGTCGACCATCAAAGCAAGACATCAAATCTCCCGGATCAAGTCGGCATCCATCTCGTATTTGATTCTGATCGACTGGTTGACCAGGGTTAAGGGGGAATCTCTTCGACGTCACGATTGAGCGCCTTACCAAGGCACGAACGGTGTATATCTACCATCTAGCGTGTCGATATTCATGAACTATCCAATTGATAGCCTTCGATTTGCCTTGTGTTGCTACTTACCGTTGGAGAAGATACATGTGATCAGATCGTGCACGATCGCACTGACGTATGTACATGGGTTATGCTCTCGTAGAGATTACTATTCTTATCGAAAGCGGGTGCAAAAAAAAAAAAAAATAATAATAAAAAATAAAAAATAAGAAAGCACAGCCTGCTCTATCTTAAGCTTTTGTCTAGACTCCGATCCCATGACCAGTCAGGGCGCCGGGGGAGGCTGTGGGATGGCGACTTCGGCGATTGACAGGGGCAGGGAAGAAGAGTACACATAACGAAGAGTCGACCAGGGGTAATTCTGTATGTAGGTAATAATGTATCATGTCTGTAAGGACGAAGATTTGTTCCATACATGTGTTTCGATTTCTCCCCCTTTTTCCCATTCCTCACCCAAGGACAAGTAAAAATACGAACACGCAATCAATCCTGTCGGAGAGGGCTATGTTAATCCGAATCCTTTGTCTCCTAACCACGGAGAGATCGGAGGGACGGGTTTTGCCCGATGATTTCTAATGGTGTCGGTGACGGGTTAGTTAGTTAGCATTTAGCTAACTAGTTACGTTAGTTCGTTAACAGGGGGGGTTTGTTTGGGCTGACGTAAATTATCGCCGGTGATGTCGACCTAGTTTTACATCGTGACTGTTGGATTCACGCCTCATTCCTCATCTGGAAATGCTCCGGCTCCCTGCCTGATAATGTGAGGAATTGGCAAATGCCCAATGTTAGGCATGTTGGAGTGGCTGCACGCTGATAGTGTAGAAGTTGGTAAGTACTTGATAGGGTTGGCGAGCTAGAGAGTGAGGGGGAAGTGGAGCTACGTTATGTGGGCTGGAGCGTTGTCAAAATATATCCTTGTGCAACTACGAGGTAAAGCATCATTTACGGAGTAAGGTAGAACAAAGTACAATGCACTCCATACGCCTGCATGGTGATTGTTTGTTGTTTATGTATAAGCCGTGGGACTTGAGCCTATCCATAATTGCCAATTAGGTAGTTCATATCCACATAGCAGGCCGGAGTTGGAGATTAACATGCAATTGCAGATCAAGATACACCTACTACTATCTTGACAATCAAGCTTTAATCAAAGCCTGATATTGCGGTCAGTATGCACGTAGTCTGAACAGTTAACACTCTATCCCCTATCCGACATAGGGGAGAGACCAGCATGTCATCTTCAATTCCAACTGTAAAACAATCCCTCCCAAACCTGACGACAAGTGAGCCAGTGTTCCATCTAAGAGGCTGGGCATTATTCGGAAGTCGTTTGTTGTTCGGACAGAACGGCGGTCGCGGATAAAGCCTCCAACCATTAAACTTCTGGCTAGTTTAGCCTCAATACGCTGCTGCCTTACTCCTTGCTATCAGGCCTGTCTTGTGACTTTGCGGGCTTGCAACCCAAGAAACATCGTACATTCGTGGACATGAAGACGGAGTATAGCGTCGACCTCCCCGTGTTCCTTTGACCAGGGGGGTGATGCGCTAGACCGTTTCCAGCAATGCGACGTTTTCTGTATGGTGTAGGTCCTGTACCTCGACTAAACGAGGATCATGGCCATGATTCCGGCGATATTGTTAGACCAAGATATGAACAACTGTCAAGCAAACCAGGGCTCTTGATGGTTTATCCCGTAGTATTTCCAATCCATCTCATGTGCTACA